GAACATACTGTACCTCTAAAACTATATTTAAGATTGAAAAATATATTTCAAATGTGAAGTCATCGTTTAGAGGTAGAGGTCGGTAGATATTATAGACCAAAAAATTATCCAGAAGAGAGAATATGCACTAAATTCAATATTTTAGAAGCTGAAATTCATTGCTTTATGGCATGCGATATAAATAGGGAAATCAAGGAACAGCTTTTTGAACAAATCGAGCATCAGCACCCTATATTTAGTCATATGAATGATAAAGATCGGTTCATTTATCTACTGCAAAATGATGACCCTAATCTTAGTCCTCTGATACAAAGCTTTCCTGTGAATTGTGTAAAAGCTTCATACGACATAAAAAGTTCACTGAACACAGCCCCAAATGTACAATCTTTATGATTTCTTTCTATTCGCCTTATTTGTAGTCCTAGTCACGTTCTTTTAGACATATGTTACTGCTCATATTGTTTCATTTAGTTTGTTCTAGTTTCCTCAGTAGCTGCTTAAATATAAAAGTTGTCTTTTACTAGGCTATTGATGGAAGAATGAAAAATCTTGAATAAAATCTTGTCTAACTCGGCTCATACTGCGTACTGCCAAGTCAGGCAAATTTGTTTACTTCCGCCATTTTAAATAGTGGCAAAAAGCGAGCTGCAATAGGGTTCAGTATGGAAAATTTCTTGTTTTAAGGACTGGTTATCTTGTGGCTCTCAAATTTTTCAGTGTCCCTTTCTGATGAATCTGGGGATGAATCTGGGGATGTATCTGGGGATGAATCTGGGGATGAATCTGGGGATGAATCTGGGGATGAATCTGGGGATGAATCTGGGGATGAATCTGGAGATGAATGGTACGTGGCAGGGGCGGACTGGCTAATTTTTTTGGCCCGGGCAAATTTTGATCAAACCGGCCCAAAAAAATAGCAGATAAAAAACTCCACGGAGAATGCAAGTAAATGTTAGTCTGTAAGGAAAACAAGTTTTTAAATTCAGTAATTTTGTGCATGGATGAATGCTGGTTAACAGAACATGTTAAATATGTCATTTGCTGACTAAATAGTAAATAACCAAAAAATTTAACTACTTGGTTTGACTTTCTTTCTAAATACAGTAACTTATATATTGATAATGTGATCGTTCTAGATGTCATCTAACAGGTGTTTTTCTAAGAACATTAACATGAAGGACTCCAGGTTTGGCTGCGAAAAATTACCACGTAATCTGTTCTTTATATATTTAAAGTGGAAAAGCTTCTATCACACTCAACTTGTGACAAATAATTTTCTAATCCTCCGGAAAACCACAATGATTTTCAGCAGCCCAAAAATATCGATTTGTCAATTTCTGACCCCAGTTGAAATTTTATCGTGTAGCACCATACACATTTGGGCGGGGGTCCATTTGACTTATGATAGTATATGCCTAATAAATTTACCATAAAGCCCCGGCAAAACGACTGGACATTTTCACTGAACATGCACTGGACAAATGTCCAGCGTAAATGTTGCGTCGTTTTGCCACCTTGTCCAGTCTTGTTCAGCGATGTTGAATGTTGTTCAGTCGATTTTGAAGGCAGCCAAAAATGTTCAGTGGACAGGATTGAATTTCTTTTGTTCACTGATGTTGTACAGAAATTGTTCAGTCGTTTTGCCACTCTACTGAACATTGTCCAGTTCGCGCACGCGCAATCGATTAATGGTTTGGATTTGGCGTCAATTTATTTCCCATATTCAAATCTTCAACAAACTTTCCTAGTCAACACCGCGAACTTTCATTAGTAACGACGAGTCCTCTGATCAGATTGGCTTTAGTTCCGATAAGGAAAGCGATGTCAGAGAGCACAAGGACGGTGATTTTGATGAACCTAGCAGTCCTAGCCACTTTTCAATAATACACTTTAATTCATACGATAACACGGTTAGGGCTCTGAAAAGTGTATTTTCAAAGGTAAAGAGATGCCCTGTTGCCAGTTTTCCCACCCGCATTCTTCAATAGGGAAAAAGTTCATTGGACAATTTTCAGTCGTTTTGCCATAACCAATATTTTCTTGATGTCCATACTCTCTGAACAAGTGAGCAATGTCCAGTGTGCGACCAGTGCAAATGTCCAATCGTTTTGCCGGGGCTTTATGTATCGCATTGAAACAGGGATGTTACAGTATAATAAGTCGCCAAAAGGGAAATACCGTCAAGAGAAAATATAACAAAATGTCAATAACAAAAATGAATTCATAATTTTGATGGCTTTGGAGTACTCGCGTGTATATTTATTCTTTCCCACAAAATCTCTGAAAATTCAAGGCAAATAGATCAATGCGTGGGTATACTTCTTTGCCTCGCATTCACTTTTTAAGCTAATTTATTTTTTTGCACTTTTATCAACCGGCCCTTAAACCGACCGGCCCTTCGGGCGATCGCCCGAATAGCCCGACCAGCCAGTCCGCCCCTGGTACGTGGTTTTCCTTTTTGCTACTAGTCAAAATGGCGGAAATATGTAAAAAAACTTTCTCACAGCGTACCCATGAGTTAGACATCTAGCGCCTTCGGCGCTTCTATATCATTGGATGGAGGTAGCACACATGTGATAGAGGCAGCACTCATGTGATAGAGGCAGCACTCATGTGAAGGGAGACAGGCTTTTATTCTCCTTTCACCACGAATATTGCCTATTCATGCGATTAGGGTGCCAATTTTACCTTGTCTTAGAAGTTGCTTTGACAACTTCCCTAGCGATCATCAAGCACAAACGGTTGCAAAGCGAATTCTTGATACCTATTCATCGAAAATATTTTCAAAGTTAAGCAAAGTGTCCCTAAAAATGGCACTGCTACCATACAGTTATCTAAACACATAATACTTCCATTGTTTCACGGATATTTGAAATTTTACTCTATGGAAGGTCTATAAAGGCTACTCTTTGAAGAGCAATATCAAAATTTAGGCTTACTGGCAAATAGGAAGAAAATGATTAGAGACTCTCATCTCTTCCAGCACACAAACTTGAAATCTACCTTAGAACTTTAAAAAACCCAAAGAGCAATTAACTTGTTTGCAAAGTCGAAACTAAGATATTGATTTCTTTTGGCTTCGTTTTCGATTTTGCTGAAAAAAGAAGCCTTGCAGTTTCGTCGCTGGAAAATCGGTTTTCAAAACTTCAGTAAAATGAAACTTATCAGATTCAAAATTGAAACAAAACGAGACAAGATATCTCCTTGACGAAATTTACGTAAAGCGTCTTCATAACATGATGCTGGATTTTGCTTGCCATGCTGGATTTTGCTTGCCGACTTTGGGGTGGCCTTGCTCCCCCAAAAACATAGGTATTATCAATAAAATACTTTTATTTTGTAAAATATAGCTGTTTTTCACTTACCTATGAGGGCTGCCCCCTCAAACAAAAAGTTGCATCTCGGTCTTTGACCCTGGGTACAAAAGCCGTATAAATTCAGGCACAGAAATAGAAGATAGGAGAGGGGAATGGAGGAGCGTCTCCGATTCCCGCTCCTACTTTCTATTTCCATTCACGAATTTATGTGGCTATGATACCCAGGCAGGGCCCACACCACGAGATTTGAGGTGGGGGGAGTAAGGCTAGCAAAAGAGAGGGGTCAAGCGATATTTAACTTTTAATTGCAGTTTTGAAATCATTTGCTTCGCAAAAAAGCGGGAAGGCCGTGGTCACCCTGGCCCCCCGATGGTATGGGCCCTGCCAGGTCAAGACCCTTTTTGCTATTTGAGTAGTGTGGCAGCAACCTCGTAGAGTTATATGTAATGTTTTCGATAAAGTAACGTGCTATGACGTTAAAGCGCGCGTAGAAAGGACTAAATTTGAGTTGAACACAATGAGATATGCCGCCAGAATTTCGCCCAGTAATTATACTGTTAAAAAATGCTCTAAGCATGGAGTAAAAAAGGAGCCACTGTTTGACTTTTTTTCTCAAGTCTTTTCAGGGAGCTGATTTCATTGACTGGCTAAAATCAATTCGAGAAGATATGTATCTGCAAGTTGAAGACAATATCTGCCTGGCTGACAAACAGGGATATGCTGATTGGGGGATGTGGGGATGGGGGCGTCACACCCCCCCCCCCCAATGTCTGCAAACTTCAAGAAAGTTGGTCATGCAGTGGAAGCCTTAGCATCAATTAGGAAGTTTTACCAAATTTCAACCTGTTATTCATTCGTTTTATTGGTCATGGCTGGTCATAGTCAACTTTCTTTTTTGTAATGCACTCTTTTTTCATAAGGACAACTTTATCAGAACACGAGACGCTAAATTGGTCAAAAGTTAAACTCGAATTCACTGGCTCGTACAAAAAAAGTGTATTGCAAATAACTTGCTATAAGGAGCAAGCTAACGACTATAAGAAATGACTGCAAGAAATCACTGCAATACGTTTTCTGAGATGCATTTCAGGCTAACCTGAAGGGTGTGGTGAAGGGTGTGGTCGAAAATTTCCACTTTTCCAAGAAGCCTCTGCAAACCTTCAATTTTTAAACAAATTCTATAGACTAGAGACAATTTTATAAGCTGGAATTATTGTTATGAGAATGTTATAAAAAACTGTAGTATATTTTTTCAGATTAACCTATAATTGATTTTTCGCAAAAAGATGCTCATGGATTCACCCAAAAACGCGAAATCCAGGAATATTAGTTTCCGCAAACTTAATTTCCTTATACTTTCTTGCCATCATTTGCTCTTACTTGTTATCATTGAGTGTGTATATGATTATTTATTTCATTGTTATTTAATTTTCTATGTAGAAGTAGTCGGTCGAAAAAGTAAAGTTGGTCACTTTTTCTGAACCCACACCCCCCCCCCCCAACAAAATTGTCAAGGCACATCACTGCAGACCAATCTCAGTTTTCAAAAAGCTTTTCTTTCATCCAAGGCCGGGAAATGCTCCCCCGAAACCAAGAAATCAGATTTGAAGGAAACAAAATTAATTTAGTCTAATTATGAAAATATTCAGGCTTGACAAAGTTTATAGCTACCTGAATGCCCAAATGAGGTGAATTGTTGTCAGCCTCTTCTCTGCACATGAGGTTGAGGGGAAAATGGCGGAAAAGTATGAAGGATCGTTTGTATCAAAGAGAGCCTTGGACGGGGAAAGAGATACAAAAAGGTTTTATCTGGAGCAAGAACTAGAAAAGGTTTTAATTTTGACCTTTATTCATTGTTTATGCTTTCTGAAATGTTACGTATTTGTACAGAAACGGTAGACTATTTGTCTCTGGCAGGCCGCCAGCCAAAAGTGCCTATGTTCTGATTTAAAAAAAAAATCTATCATCACACGTAGAGGCCCCATACAAGATCTATAAAAACCTAGTAGCCAAGAGTGGGATGTTCTGGTATATATAAGACAGGAGTGCTCTTGGGTGGCTATCTAATTTAAACCAAATAGAGTATTTTTCTGGAACAAAATTTATTTAACACTTACGTTAAAAAAGTATTGGGACAAACTTCGAAACTTCGAAGACATTTTATGCAACAAGTAGTCATTCTCACAGAAAGGTACGACAGCTATTTCCATGAAATTTTCACAAGACATTGTTGATGTTTTGAAGCCTTTTATGTATGCCACACAATTAAGAAACATCGACCATAAAATTTCTATAAGGCCTTGAGACGTAAACATGGGAGTTCTTGAACTGAGTTAAGAAAAGCGCTTACAAATTGCTTTCTGCCAAAATAACGCGAATGGATTTCATAGAATTGCATAAATTATTGGCTGCTAAATAAGTGCACCTTTTTTGCCTGTAAAGTGTTTTTCCATGCAAGAAGAGTAAAAAAATTAACCAAAGTTGGTAAACCAAAGAAGTTTACGGTGCTGAGGGATGAAAGGTCCTTCCTGAGGGAACTGCAAAGTAATAGGTTTGAATCCTTACAAGAAATTATTTTGTCATGTAAATAGAAGTAAATCTTGGAATATTAGCAAAATCATGGCTATAAAAGACATAAAAAACAAATCTTCCAGCTTTATATGAAGAAAATGGTCTCTCATAACAAAAATTAATCATTCCTGACAAGTCCAATGGCTTCTCCTTGAATATTACATTACACAGTTTTAAAAGTTGCTTGAATGAGTAAGTGCAATAATTTAATAAAATTGCAGCCTTTTCATTGCTGTAGTAAACTTTTTTTAAAACTTGAAAATTTGATTTTGTAATTTCTTTACTAAATTTTTTTTTATGCAAACGTAAAATTAAAAAGCTGAATTTGTTTGGACATCTCTTAAACATTATGAAGGTCATGTGATTTTGCCGTTATTAGGCCATTCAACCCTTCTGCATATTTTGCAGTTATATTCAGAAAAATCATAATAATCTTATGTTTTTGTGGTTCTGCTTCAACAGTTGAAGAAGCCTTTTTAACTTTAAATTTCCTTTTGGGGAGACGTAGGCCTAGATTATTCAGAGAAAGACTGCCCAAATCTGAAAAAGTTTCCATTGCAATACTGAATCCAAGGCAACGCCATAATCCGTTTATTGAATTTGTCCCCATAAGTGTATTAACAAACAGGGGATAAAAATATTTTTTATAACTTCATTTCACTACTCAATAGCTGTTTTGGATTTTGCCAACACAGACTGGCATAACCTTCTTGGTCCACTTTGGCATAATAAAGATGTTTATGATAAAAGACTGTTACCACCATCAACATATAAAAGATATATATACCATTTCCACTTTTCCAAATGCTTTATATTCTGTTTAAATCCAAGGCATTGTCCAAAGTAGTTTCCTATTATGAACAACATTGTTATGCTTCCTAAAATATTTGCACTGCAGCATTACTACCTACCCAAGCAAACAGTAGCATTATGCTTCTTAAATATCAGTGTCATGCTAGATATAAGTACGAATAGCCAGTGGTTGAGGTCTCACTTTCTCCTATAACACATGGCACCTAGACAATATTGACCCAACACAATGGGTTATTAACAAGGAAGAAACACAATATATGTTGTATCAGATGGAATTTGTTTAGAAAGGTCAAGAAGAAGTATGATATAATAAAAAATTCTGTTAAAAACAAGTGCCTTATAAAACAGGGTACTTTCTTAACCTTAAGTATATGCCTGGACCATTTGCTTTTGTGAATTGAGCATGTGTGGTTAGAAGATCCTTTTGTTTGTGTTTGTGCGCAGTACTGTTGAAAGGATATTGTTCATTGATCAGAAAAGAGAGAAATATCATAGAAGAAGTGGATGAATATGGTTACCTAAGTCAGCTACTTATAACTAAAAAGAAAATAATAAGAAAATTGACAGAAGAAAAACTGCAGGAGGGCAAAGATTTGGGCAGTATGTTGATTCATGAGAAAAAATCAGGTGGAGTCATACTAGCAACAACATTTTGTGTGAAACGATGAACACTGGCAAAAATTGGCAGTGGCACAAAAAAGCATGGAAAGAGCAATCTTTAACATCACATACCTTGACAAGTAGACGAATGGAAAGCTTTAGATTACAAACCAAACGGTTTGACCTTTAAGAGAACTCAAAAAAAATATGAGTGGCAAATGAGCAAGCCATGAAGTCAAATGGACACAAAAAGTGAACAGAGAAGATATGATGATCTGCAGAACATCACATATATCACTAGGATGAGATGCATAAAGTATAACGCAAATAATGAATTGTTCAATGAGAAGATCTCCTAAAAAGCACAAAATGTGATATTTTTCTGAAAAGCGCCAATGAAACGCTGTTTTTGTTTTTCAGTTTTGCTTTATACTTCCTAAGAATTTACAACGTATGTCACTGCGAGCAACTGATTTTTTGCTTGACAAAATTTGAATCTAAAAAGAATTTTGTCTATTAATTCTGTCCATATATTGGTGTTTGGCCTTTACTGAGCAAAAATGTTTGGAGAACTCAGACGAAAGACTGTTTAAGAAGATTTAAGTTTCATATTGCAATTTGTACTGTTTTATGCATTCCCACCATACAAGGTAGTATCAAGTGGCAATGAGTTTATTAAGGTCAACCTGCCAGAAATGGACAGTGCCAAATGCTGACCTACTTTAAGTTGGTATTTAGGAGTGCACATTTTTCTTGATTTTGCTTATCACCCATGCAAATGTCTTAGCAAGTAATATTTTCAACAAAATTCACTACCATGTACCATGTCCAATGGAATAAAAACATTTCAGTCTAGTTCCAATCTGCAAGTATAACAATTCTGCGCTTTTATTTCCAAACATTTCAGCTACATATTGGTTACATATGAAAAAATTTTCATTATCGTTTGGATGGTTATTATTAACGATGCTTGAGAGAACCCCTTCTTAGCAGCCTGTGATTTGTCACTCTCTCTCTAATGCTAGACATTATGCTTTATTTTGTAATGGTACATAAAATAATTTTTTCGTAGCTTTTAATCGTGTGTAGCAGTGATACATTTTCAAAGTGGAATATTCATTTACCTTTATCATTTTAGATTTGCTCCAATATTGTAGATTTGGTTGAGTATCTTGTTTTAGCATGCAAAGCTATTAGTTATTCTAAATTATCTCTTGCTAGCATTAGCCATACTCGACAAAATTTGAACATATCATTTTGTCATTCAGTGAATTGATATGAAGCCAGAACATCAAAGTGCAAGAAGTTTCCTTTTATAAATCTACACTGACAGCACACTTGATTCTCTTCTTGGCTGGATCATTAAATTACTGTCCTCTGTCATCACATTGTCATCTGATCAGTAGAATGCAGTGCCATTGTGTTGCATGTGTAAGTTTCCCTTCTAAAACATGAAACATTGTTTCGCAGGCAAGAATAAAATATGAAAATGAAAAGAAATTGAAAGAGTTACAAGAACAACGGGGTGAAACAACTTGGATGCTACCATCTTTAAACAAAAGACTCAAACAAGAGAAAGAAAAGGTTTTGATATGTTTTATTACTTTCTTTCTTGGTTATCCCTGATTTCTTCCTATCTCCTCCACAATTCTTCAGAAGATTCCCCTTGCTAAAACTTTCATTACACATTCATCTATTCAAACCATTTCCATCCCTATAATATTAAATGTACCTAATCCTCTATCACAGGCCATCAAGGGTGCAAAACGTTGTTGAACTTTCTACAAACCTGCGAGATATAACCTCAACCTTCCTCCTTCTAACACAATGTTAAATTACTGGAAACCAGTTCAGCAGTAATAACATGTAATTTGGGACCTTTGTGTAATATTTTATGTTCCCGCACTGCATAAGGGCTCTTACCAAGTTTTTCAAGAAAAAATTTTCCTAACACAGATAAATTGTTTATCATAGATTTTCTTTTGTTGATTTTATTGACCATTCAAGCCTAATGAAGTATACCCCAAACATTGTCATGAAGTTGACACGATTTTCAATCGTTCCAAAGATTATTTGTTATTTTTTTTCCACAATTAAAGGAACATAAACAAAATGTAAATTTTTGTTTTTATCAACAAAACCTTCCTCATTTGTTAGCCAAAACCTTCCTACAAAGCAGGTTTGGAGGTTTGTAGGGTTTTTCTGACGTCTCTACAGGCCACGTTTCACTACCATACCGCACATCTGGATGTCTAGAGATTGAACTGCTTCCTATATTTGTTCCACCCAGATCACCAGCTCCCTAGATTTGCTACCTTTGCACCATCAACTGCATGCAACATATGAGAAAGATAGCAAAACTCATCTACAACTTCATCATTACCATTTCAAAGATTGTATTTCTTTGCTGTTTCACATTTCCTGCATTCAATATTGCGAATATCTCTCAGTTTTTCTTTTAATTCACTGCAAAGTTTATGCACCCATTGGCTGTAACATTATTGCCCTTTGAAACACAAGGAGCCTGTTTGTTAAGCAAAATTCATGTCCTGCATCAATTGCACTTAATCAGGTTATGTTAACTTTTTGTGCTCCATGTTACTGAATAGTATGATGATATATTTTCCAAAGCTCATCTTAACTCTATAAATTACCAGATCATCTGCATGCAAACAATTTTTAAAATTAGACCAATCGATCATTCTTTGAATATTGCTTAAGTGACCATAACAAATGAGTATGCAATGCCCTGATGTACACCTATTTTTCACCTTTAACTTTTCAGGAAGTATGTTCTCTATCTAAATTATCCAACTAATTGATGATGTTAAAGACGTATACAAGGACATCACTGCTTTTATTAGCCAACCATCTGCATTTAGTTTCTTGTAGCCCATCTGAAAAAAAATCTGTCCCTAGAAACTCTAGCAAAAGCTTTATCAGGGTAAATAAGCCAAAGTAAAGCCTTTTCTTTTATTCATTTGCCTCCTTCAGTTTGTGATAACTCTCTCAAAGACTTCCATTATGTGTTCCAGAAATCTCAGCTCTCCGTGATAAACCCTCTCAATAGCTCCACTTTATCCTCAAAGCCGTTTGCAGTTTCTTTTTACCACAAAAACTGCAAGACGTCTTCAATTGGTATATCATTCATCTTTTTACATTGAAGTAAATTGTAGCTGTTTTGTTCTAATCCTAATAGAAATTTTGCATCTATTGTGATTTACAATTAAAAAATACAAAACCTGATTTTAATTATTTTTCTTTCTTTACATTGACACTCATTTTCACCCTGCCATAGGTATTCATTCCTTGCATTAGTTTATGCAGCTATCATTATCAAGGAATTTTATTTATTCAAATTGTTCACTCATTTCATTGATAGATTGAGAAAAAGAAAAAGAAGAAACACGATAAAAAGTCAAAGAAACACAAAAAGGAAAAAAAGGTTTGTTTCCAATTGTTGTTTTTAAGTAACAGCAGTAATTTTGAATTGGTGCTTACTTAGTTTTTATTGGTATTTTCTTTCAAGCTGGCTTTGCAATAAAAATTAATCCCAAAAAAAATCAGTCAGTTTAATTTTTGACTTGACTTTTTCGGACAGGACAGACAAAAAACTTTGATTTCGGACAGTATCTTGTAGTTTCCCTATTGCTTATTGGCAGTAAAATTTTCGGACCATGTTTTTGTCCGAAATTTTTGGAGGTTAATGTATAGCCGTTTAAAATGTTTATATAAACAGTCAACTCTTTGTAATTCAAAACCTCTAAGGGATCATAAAGTTGTTCGAATTACAAAGTGTTTGATTTTACCAGTATTTCGAAAATCCTGGATTTTGTCTCAGTTATCCCTAGATAATCGTTTTATAGCAATTATCCAAATAATAGCAACTTGCACAACAGTTGTAAATACAGCTGATAGTACGAGTGTTATTGACTGTATGGCACGGGGGGCAGATCATAGAGATTCGAATTATAAAAGTTTGTGTAATAGTTTTTTTGGAGATTCTCAAGAGAACTGAAAATTTTGTTCGAATTAGTAAAACCTCGTTTAATTTACTCTATGACATCATAACATATGAATTGAAAAAAACAGTAAATTAATGCGAAGCTAATGTTAATCTTTTTCAGCACAAGAAAAAACATTCAAAAAGAGATGATTCTTCAGCTGATTCTGTAAGAATATTTTTTGTTTTATCAAATTTATAATGTTGATTCTAGCAAGATATTGATTCTAGAGAACTTTTGTTGATTCCATTGACTGTGCAGGAAATTTTGAGCTTCTGGGGATCAACTGTATTGTGAAATCATATTTTTACTTTAGCGCCGATTTTTGGATGACAATGGTGTTGTTTGTAACTTTCAATCTGAACTATGATGTATAAATCACCATGGTTGAAGACTGTTTAAGTGATGTGCCTTTTTCCTTATGCTCATTTCAAATGGTCAAATTGTACCCAACCTATTTTCAACTTTCACCTTATTGCTCGAAATTTATGTTGTACATTAATTAGCCCGAGCTGAAAAAAGCGTTGATTAAAATCGTTATGATTTCGTCATTCGCGTTAATTTGTGCTTGCTAGAATTTTCGTCTCGTTAGCAGTGGTCAATTCTTGATCTTTAATGAACCATCTTTTAGCGACAATCAGCCATTGAATGGTGAAATATCAATTGTATTCTTTTAATTAGAATGTATTTTCTATTTTTTGTGTGTGATGGTCAGATGTTGTTACCCATAGTCCGCCAGTGGCTATTTCATTATATACCCCATAATGTTTTGAACCTTTTTGCTCCATTGTGTGTGGACCATGTTCCGTTGTTTTTAACATTCACTTCAAGGTTTAAGGACATGTTTTCCATTTTAGGATGGGTCCTCTAATGATGATTGGGTGGAAAAGCCTTCAGACTTGAATGATGATAAAAACCAACAAAAAGTGACAAATTGCAATGAAATGACAGAAAAGACTGAGGTTGTGTTGAACAGTGAAGATCAGTTAGCAGCCACTTCACAGGTTCCAGTTTGCATTCATACATAAAAATATGGCAACTGCAATCATTTTCATATTTCTCTAAGCGTCTTTTAATCAATAATTATTCGAAATTTGTAACAAACAACGTTTTTGTCATAATCAAGTAAGCAAGAACGATTTTATTGTTGTAGAGAGAAGATTGGATGATGGCTAATTCATTTCTAGATGTGGTGGCAAAAAGGTCAGAATCGATTGCAGAAAAACGTGCGAGGCGAAAAGAAGAAAAGAGAGAATTCATGAAACCAGTAACTTACGAGGTATGCATGCAATTGGTAACATTTCATGAACTAATAAATATGTTATTCTCATCATACTTGTAATGAGTTTTAATATATACAAGGCTTTCTCAGTAAAGCAAAATTATCTGAAACATTAATCTTTTTCACTGTTCCTGGTTTTAACCCATCAGAGAGGTAACTTACCTGGTTATTCGTTGTTATGAAGTTGCATGCTTTGCGGGACATTGATATAAATTTGCAATCGATTGGCACTTTTTATTGCTTCAAAAGCCAATGGATATCAAATTGAAATACTTGTGACAATGTTAATCGAAAAACCTGGTTTTTAAGAGTAATATAAGTACTTTATCAAAGATTAAAAACAAAACTCGAAAAAATATCAATTTTTCTTTTCTCAGTACACGGTTTAGTGATCTGTTATTTGATAATTGCATTTGGCGTGCAGGCAGCAGTTACAACTTTGAGCAGTCCTGTTCTGCACACCAATGCGTATCGGTGTTAGTTTGGCATCGATAGGTGGGGTCGGTTTTGAGTTTGGATGTGACAGTGACGTCAGAGTGACGTCAGAGTGACGTCACAACTTTTGAAAATTTTTCGACTTTGAGGCTAAATAGCTTTGGGTAGAATGTTTGATTTGAATCAGAAAACAAGAAAGAGCAGCATCTTTTTTCGTCTATTTTTCGACAACTACTTTCTTTACATATTCTATTTCAAAGCACTAGTCGTACGCAGAGTTGTTAAAAACGCAGCGATAATCATTTTTAAAGGCGCTGACAACATCGCTAGGGTTCGTTAGGAAAATTTCTGGTTGTTCCTCGTAATTTCACACAAACAACTGTACATAAACTTATGCAAATGATTTCTTAAAGCCAAAACTGTTTGAGGCCATTTTTAGTGAATCAATAGTTTTTGTATTTACAAAAAAATTATTGAGCGAGATTCAGCACAGTGTGGTATGAAGAGATTGGGTTGCAGTGGTTTTTTTTAGAATATTAATATTCAAGAATTCTTTGTTGAAATAGCAAAAATGGTTGTAATATTGTATCAGAAAACTATATTAATCGGAATTTTGTGCCTCAATTTTCAACAGCCTGGCCAACATCCAAACGAATTGAATCCATATTGGAGAGATGGTGGTTCTGGTGTCCCTAACTTACCAAGCAAAGACGAGACCAGCCAACTAAAAACAGGTTCGAGTCTTATTTCTTATATCAAACGATCCTAGTTTCAGCTCATTCTATGTTTTATGTTTTGTTGGTTACTTATGTCAGGGTTTTGTGAATTCAAAGTAATCTTTTGGTATTTTCTGACAATTTAACTTAATTGCTAGGATGTTGCAATCCAGGGTGAAATATTCCCACAAAGTACCAGCCACCTGTGAATAGTGTTATGTACCAGAACAGAAAATTTTATTCCTTATAACTTCTTTACAATGCACCATTTTTGACCCGTTTATAAAGCAAGTTAATCGAAATCACTTTAAGCAAAGCTCGGTCTACTTTTCATGTTTTTCACCTTTTTCAACATTCAGCATAATTTAGTATTTGTGCTATGGCCTTTTAAGATTAAATTTTGGAAATAGATTGCGTATTGATTATTTTGTCAGAGCAAATGTCACGAGAGAAAGTCAAACTTTTGTTTTAAATCTAGAAAGAGCAACCTTTGGAGGCTTGGATTGGGTCAAGAGGGCCTATCAACGCGCTAAGGAACAAGCAGAGGAGCAAGGAAGGAATCTGGAGGAAGTGGTTTCTGAGCGATTTGGTGTACGTCATCATTGTAATGTTGCTTCTCTGGTTCCTATAGTACAGGTTTCTGTAGTCCTATATAAGCATGCAAGTATGAGCGAGAGGATGGCTTCTTACTTCGTAGTGCATTGGTTAGAAATAGACAATAAATTAGAATTTTAATACACAACTAAGAAGGTTACTTTGTATTGCAATACGAAAGATGAATACGAAAGAATTATTAAACAATTAAAGTTTTTGAATGCCTTTCTAGTCCCTCTATTTATTTCCATGCTTGTCAGCCCTGGTCAGAATCACCTTATCTTTTTCTCTAGGTTTCGAAGGCTCCTCTCAAATATTAATGCAATTATCTTTTAGTCTATGGAAAGGCTGAATTCCTTACTTCAAGCTGGTAAAAGGAAAGAGAGGTGGGGATTTGTAACCTTGATGCTTTTGCATAATGTTTAAGAGTTGTATTTTGAAACCCCCCCCTCCCTGTTTTCCTCAGTATTTCTTTCCAGTTATTTCCTATTTGAAATCGCTTTTATTGTTTTCATTAAATCTATGCCGTGAAACTGAAAGAAGTGATAGCATGAGAATTCTCTATCAATTCTCCTAGCTCCTGAATTCAAATACCAGCGTTCAGAAGATTCTTGAATAAAATTTCAAAGATTGCCACTGAAGCTTTAGAAAGTTATCATGATTTTTATAAACTTAAGCAGGCCAAGCTGTTTTATTAAGAACTGATATATCGTAAGCGGTATATGAAGATTCAGAGCTTGTGCATCACAAAGATTGAGTAATTTTTCTACTGATTAGGTTTTATTTTTTCTTATCTATTTGTTTTTGAATTTATATAGAAGATCAGATGATGGTGCGCGACGAGGCTGGAAAAAGAAGGATTCGGCGAAAGGTGACATTGAAAAAAGGTAAGCTGAAGGATGCTTTGGTGTCAAAAGGGGGATTTTTGGTTTGCTTTTCCATAGTAAATGATTAATCTAACAGTTTTGGAATCGATCCACATACAAACGAAAAATCCGCTATTGGTAGACATTAAGTTTTTATTTTGGACTCCAGGGGTAATTTTCCTATAGGCACGTGGTACTGATTGGACAACTATACCGGTCTTGTGCTTGCGTTTTTCTGGTTGGCCTATTTCGATCCACTGCTTAAACATTATCTATCTTATTCTTTCGTACCATTTATTCTGAGGTTTTATACTCTGCGGAGTGTCAAACTAAAAGACTCTCAGTATGCTTTAAATGTTTGCTTTTTTCAAAGTCCTTCTCTAAAATGTAGCACCTCGTAGTAGCATTCAGTTTACACAAGAAGGTGCGGCAGAAGTGACTGTGTTTATTAATAAAGGCTAGTTTTATTGTTATTAATCCCTTGTTGTTGCCTGATGATTGAGATAGATGTTCCCGAAACGAGAACGCGTGGCTAATCTATTTTAATTATTTAGCATTTTCGTTACGTTGGCAATTTTTTTTGCTATGTTTATCCAGCTCAATGGCTCAATTGAAATGTTACCGTCGAGTTCTTAGAAAAAAGTAGATATAACATCTGTATGTCCATTTTGCTAGTTCCGAGAGGTCGAACACTAAAGAACGCAGCAATGAGCTTTCTTCTGGATGGAGACGACATGTGGACAAAAGTCCCCAACGGTCCGAAGAACCAACTGAAAAATCAACTGAGAAACTAACTGAAAGATCGACTGAAAAATCAACTGAAAAAACAGCTGAAAAGTCACTTGTTACTGGATCTTTGTTGTGTCCCACAAAGATAGCAGAAGAAATCCAAGGTGAAGGCGGTACAGAGAGATTGCAAGTAGACCAAAACAGATCAGCCGGCAGCAAGCAGAGCAGTACAGACAGCGAATCAGAAGAATCTGAGAGCGGCGAGGAAACAGAGGAGCTGGTTACTGTAAAGCCGTTGTCTGAGAAAGATGTGAATGAGATTAGTGCAAAGATACTTCGGGCAGAACTGATGGGAAATGAGGTACCGAAGATTATACCACAGTTCGGGGCCTATGTATATTCATTTTGTCGGCCTAACTGCCAGGGACTTCTTTGAAGAACATTACCGCGTTGCATGCTTGTTGGGCTTAAGATTACGTAGCTATGAATAACTTTTCTCCCCGCCCGTAGCTTTATTTTCTTCTTATAAGGAACAATACCAATTTATCCCTTTCCAGTCCTCGAAAAGGGAGATGAATAGTCAAGGTTGATAAAGAGTGTTATTGTGGGTTTTTTAGAATTTTTTATATTCTTTTTCGTACGGTTTTCTTCATGTTTTTATCTAGGCAGTATTCAAAATTCCCTTTGATAACAAAAACAGGGCAAATAACCGCAGAATTGAGATATATTACATGTTTTTCTTCAATTATTCATGATCGCAAGTTTTGCTTTAATTGGAATTTGACAGCTTCATCTAATAAGAAATATTTTCTACCAGGACCTTGTTGAACAGTTGAAGGCGAGGCTTGCAGCTGGCAGAGTAACAACTTCACGCGAGGCTGGTTCAAAAGAGGAGCCTTCGAAACCTAGAGAAGAAGATGAGGTGATTCTGACCAGGGCTGACAAGCATGGGAATATCTATCCTCTTAAAATAAGCGGAGAGGAACCAAGCCCGAGGAAAAAACGCAGAAAAACTAAGAAGGTAAAGACGGGATTTGGTTCCTATGATATGAAGTTATTCATCTCCTTGCTTGCGAGGTTTCACAGAAGGAAGTACAGGTGTTAAGTACGTGCAGAGATCAATTACTCAACTGCACAAAGAGTGTGCCTCGTAGAGTATTGAAAAGATGTTAACCAGAATTTTTACTCCTCGTATTCTCGTATTTAAAGCTTGGACAGTTTTCCGCCAAAACCTTCTTCACCAAACCTTTATCCCAGCTAAACATTTTCCTGGCAAGGCTTGTTTTGGAAGGTATGATTGACGGAAAAAGAGAGGGGAAGACAAAGAAGAACATGGGGAGACGATGTCGAGGAATGGAGCGGGTGTGAGAGCATTAGGAGAGCTAAACGATATTCTGAGGATAGGGATAGTTGGAGGGTCATGGTAGCCAACCTTCTGATAGAAGATAATACCTGATGATGATGATACATTTTTAAACTACATTTGATGGAATCCTAGAAAAAATGAATGCAATTTAAAATCCGATAAAAAGTCTATTTCGATTGCGCCTAACTGGCTCAACAAGTTTACAGTTATGGGGTTATATGATTTGCCACTTTATCTTAACTTTCATTATCTCATTTTAGTGACAGCTTAATGGATGTCCCTAGGTACTGGAATCCAAAAATTGATCCCACCTTTAGAAAGGCTTTCTTGAATTTCACAAAGTATATCACAAAGTTTTCATAAAATCACATGTTATGTCGAAAACTCTATCTTTGTTTTCTTAAGATCGAAACCCACGATGCCAAGGGGAACAGAGTGCGGTATTTCCAAGAGGACGATGGGACGGATCTGAAGTCTATGGTAAATGCATTTCCTTCTGCAGTTAAAAAGGAGTTTTATTTCCTTTTGTGTAAGAAACATGAACCGCAGGATAGGCTGTCCGCTGGATTCTGTGAATCTTGCAATGAATTTAAATACAAAGATAAAATTCAGGATGACGGTGATGAGAATCCAATTTACTTCAAAATGAATTAGATAAAACGAATACTAATATTTCGCCCCGGCATACAGGGCTTCATAAGAGTCATTTCTTTTATTTTCATTTCCCTTGAATATTCAAGATGAATCTTTATTTAATTGTTAATAACAGATTTGAGTTTTATGTTTTAAGGTTGAGGAAGAACGACTTACAACAGCGGAAGATCATCAAAACGCCGTGTTTGCACGCTTATCAAGAAAGGTACAAACATCCTCGACTTTCTACGTTATCTCGTACTTGAAATGTTTCTGCAACACACAGAGTTTCGATGCAAACTAAACCTAATTTTATTCTTTGATAACGCATTGTTCGTAGCTTATGACAAATAGCGTTCTTAAGTATGACATCTATTGTTCTTAAGCGTTCTTAAGTATGTCACCAAAATCTATTGTTAGAATTTTTGAGTTTTGAAAAAAAAACCTATAAAAACACAATGGAATACCTCTTAATATACAATATCAGTTAAAGGCAGTATGTCCCCCATTGTTCGCAGAATCTCTTTTTATGGCCACGATATTAATGCATCGTTGGTTTAATGAACAAGTAATTTCACTGAGCGAGTTGCTGTGAATTTTGTATTGGTGTCAAACTTCTAAATCTGTTTTTTGATAAAGATTAGGCTTTTTTGTCGTGTTCACATACAATAACTAATGTTCAATGCTAAAAGGGCAGAGGAAGACCCCCTTTTAAGGTGGGGCTTTCAAGTTAGAATTAGCCAATCACGAAGGGGACAGACTGCCTTTGAGTTTATCGAAAGCCACCACCTTATAGGTAAGATATAGCCAGTAAAAAACTTGAACAGAAACCAACTACAGTGATGTGCTAGGGAAAGCGCCTGTATTCAGGTACTCGTATCACAACAAATATTTCAATCATTTAACAATTTTCGCACATCTGAGGTATTCTACGATACTCCCAAAAATTTGAATGTAGATTTTTTTGACGTAATCACTTAAGAGCTCTACTTGAGTATAATACTTTGAATAAAACATTTTTAAATGCTTTTACCAAATGCAAATTGGAAATTTATGCTTGGTTGTTTGGTGCAGTGTCTCCCATTTCTGACTCTTCGATTCCTCTTTGATCTCCCCCCCCCGCCCATTTGCCTATTCTTCATCCTTGCTGCTACTATCACTTTCTCCATTCTTCCTCCCACATTTCCCTTTCTTCTCCCAACCTTTCAGTAGAATCGGAAAGTCTAGTCTACCTTCCCTGCAGTACAGTTACTTCGTGCTTGACCCTAGCAAACGTTTCAAAGAAATTGCATGTCCATTTCAGGCTGGGAATCCGATGGGCGACTATTACACACTCGATGATATGTTCGAGACGTCATCTGCCACCAAAGAATCACAGGGAGACAAAGATGAAAGGTCCAAGAAAAGGGCCATCGCAGGCAAGTTTAGCTCTCGCAGTGTTCTTGTGCAATGACTACCTAACCATTAGCATTGATTAGCCATTGTCACCTACTTGATCTTCAATATTAGATGATGTACAAACTTGCAAGTTCAATTCATATTTTTTATTGTGTGACTGTTTGATGGTAATTAACTCAGTTTAAAAGAACACGATGTCTTTTATAGTGCTTCTTGCAGTGAAAAAATGACTTCTCACTCAAAGTCCGGCCAAAATTCCTGCACCTACGTTCCCTGAGTTACGTTAATTGTCAGAGCTGCTTCGAATTTCATGTTTTTGTATTTAACTGAGTGTCAAAAAAGCAAGACATGACATGGTGTGGATCCTTTGTGCACAGAGATGCTGTATACAGACTCCAAGATTAAGTGCCATTAGATATAATTGTTCATGCTGCTTATGAGATCGGCATCATTACCGTACATGAAATCGGCACAGATGCTGCCTATCTTATTGTCAGTTGGTTAACAAATGAATTTTCATTCTCAGAACATCAAAGATCAATGGTTCAGCAAGCGAGCTGCAGGTTTTGTTTTGACAATCCTGATGTTGCCAAGCATCTTATTATCAGCATAGGAAGCCATGTAAGTGTTTTATAAACATAGCCCCTTTGGTCATATCCCATAAATACCTTCTGCAAAGTAACAACCTTTAATTTGGATTACTACTTGGAAAGAGTCTTTGCAGCTTTGCAATGTTGCTTTTGCTGGTGTAGAAAAAACCTTTTCCTTATCTCTAGTGTTCAAAAGAATTATTGTTTCTGGCACACGGTAGAAAATATTGCTTAAATTGTAAAATCTGTAGAATCTGAAATCAACATCTTCGCCAAGATTCGTCATCTCAAATCTCATTTTGAAATTATTACCGCTTCGGCCTAAAGTATGTGATACGATCCTGGAAATAAATGCCACAATTGTCATACTATTTTACTCTTGTACAGGTATATCTCGCACTTCCCATTACGTCATCACTCACCGAAGGGCATTGCCTAATCATTCCGATGCAGCACATATTGGCATCGACGTACTTAGATGAGGATGTAATGCAGGAAATCACCGTGAGTGCAATGTTCATGTCTTTGGTTTACTAAGGTATCTGACGTTTTTAGAAAGGTGACAAGGTTTTGAAACGTTCAAATGGTGAATAGAAATTTACATTCTGATGCACATCGAAAGTAACTTGAAAGGAAGAATTTGATTGGTTCCTTGTTTTTCACCAATTAGTGACACGTGATCAAAGAATGAAAACAAACTGTTTGATCATAATGCAAAATGTGTATACAGATCAATATTTTTGCTTAGTAAACAGATTCAAAAGCCTAAATTTTAAATATGTCGCCACCATACGTTTACACTATACGTCATCGTACGTTTCGGAGCACTATGGATTCTAGAGCAAATGTTGACCTATAGCCGAATTGCATTTTGTTTGGCCATTCTGAACCTTCAGACGGATGAGCAGTATATTCAGTGCCGTGCAGTTTATTTCCGTTTAATAATGTAGATCTTTAAAAGCCATACTCTAGAAGGCGTTATACCCCCCTGGTAATTTTTATACAATTTTATTACTTTCAGATCTTCAAGAAGTCAGTCGTAAAGATGTTTGCAGAAAGGGTACGCAATCCGTTTTGTGTCATACTTGTAAAGGCGATGTTTCCATTAATCCGTTGTAACAACCCTCCATTCGTTTGCCATTTGTTGCATATTGAGTCATTTGCCTGAGGAATGTTCCCTTAGAACTGTGGCCAACTCCCTTTTTGATTGCAATGTCAGTTTTTAAATCAATTGAGCTATTTTCGTATACCCTTACATTTGACATTGCTCGAGACAATTATGTCGACAACAAGCGAAAGGAAACTCTGCTCAACTTTTCCTTGCAGGGACCTGAAGTTAATTCAGATTCGATAAACTTTTAAAATCGTTTCTTTTTCGTGCTTCAAGAAACCGTCTTTGTATATTGGTTTCAGAATTTTTACAGGAAAATAATTTCGGTTATGATACCCGGGGGTTAAGGGCAAAATGTGTCTATCAGAGTTCGGGAAAGCAACCGAGCCTGGGAATTTGGGTCATGTAGAAAGGTTTGTGAAAAACAAAGTAGACAAGAAAGGGTAACATTTTGCAAAATCTCACTGCCACTTCTCATTGATGACATTATTGTGGCTGAATTATGGCAAACGCAGAAACGATATCTTTTTCAATAGGTTTAAGTTCGAGACTCTTCATTAAACTTCTATCAAAGGACCCAAAACACACAAAGCAAACTTTGTACCTGTTCGAAGTTACCCCATTAAATGTGGAATTAATTTCCCGTGCTGTTGAGCTACGCTGTTCCCATTTATCTTCACCGGTTCGTGTACTGTACCTTAAAACAATTAGCAAACACATTTTGGTTGACTCATTTTCACTATAATCCTAGGAGGAAGACGTTGTTTTTCTGGAGACGGTGAAGAACTTCAAACGCCAGCATCACATGGTCATTGAATGTATTCCTGTCCCAAAAGAAGTTGGTGACCTAGCTCCGATTTATTTCAAGGTAAAAGCTTTGATGATGTTGTCTTCATTGCGTTTAATATGTGCTATTGGATACGTTTCTGTGTTTCTAAACTGTTTAAGGCTGAATAAAGCGGATTCTTACAATATGCGCTTAAGTTTGAACTAGTCTTCCAGAAAAACCGTAAGTGTTCTTTCTGGTTGATTTGGTATGACGCCTAGAAAATAGAATTGCTGGTCGTTGACTTTAAATGTTGAGAGAAATTTGAAGGTTTGATTATAATTTTTATAGTCTTCAATAAGCAACAACTATAGCTGTCGAAAAATTTAAAATGATCTGCAATTTGCTATAAATATGGCCTTGAAAGAAGCAGATATTTAGTAAACTAAAGCTTTTCGTCTGACACTCTTCAGAGTTTAAAACGTCAGAACAAAGACCGAAAACTCTACGCTAGGAAATATATATACCCATTTGTGGATCGAAATAGGCCAATCAGAAAACACGAGCACATGACTGTTGAGGTTGACCAATCAGTGCCGCTTGCCTATTGAGAATGTTACCAATGGAGTCCTAAGGTGAAAACGAACTCCTTTTGTCTACACAGTCGCGGTTTTTTGTGCTGTGTCAGACGAAAAGCTTTAGTTTACTTAATTTTTGCTTGTTTCAAAGCCATTTTCAAGTTTTGTACCACCAAAAGATTGTTTGCTATAAATATATAATTTCATTAAACAAGCACGACTTTTAGTTTTTTTAGTGAAAATAAATGTCTAACCAAGCTCATTTTCAATTCAATCTTTTGGTATTTTCTCGCTGATATAATTGTCAGTGCTTTTATTTTTAACAGAAAGCCATTGAAGAAAGCGAGAGTGAATGGTCACAAAACAAAAAACTGGTTGAAGTTACGAAAAGCAGGGGCATCAAAGGGGCTGTGAGTTAAAATTCTTCATCAAATTTTAAATAATTTGAATTTAAATTTTCATTATGAACATCCACTCATTACCAACATTTAATGGAAACGTTTAATGCACATTTATTCACATTTATCACTATCAATTCACATTTTGTTTATTTTCTATCATAAATTAACAATCGTTTAATTTTTTAAACCGATTCTTAAAGACTAATTGCTAACTATGACCCATTGCGCCACCCAAGCACCCCATAATGCATTTCCATGCAGTCGTTAATCAATTTTGGTTAGTTAATCCGTAGAAGTTTACCGCGATTGTTTGAATCATCGCTTGGACAATTTACCACGCGCGCATAGGCTCATTGTTAGCAACGATTCTTTAAAGTGTAAACGCCATTTGTAACCTCTCCTCCCCTCTCAGATACCAAAGGGGCTTCCTTACTTCTCCGTTGAGTTTGGAAACGACGGTGGCTTTGCGCATGTTATTGAGGAAGAAGCAACATTTCAGCATTACTTTGGAAAGGTAAGCATGAAGTTCTTTTAAATTTAAATATTTACTACTGCTATCTGTATCGATGTTTGAATTAAATACACTCATTTTTATAAGGAATCGTCAATAATAGACCGAGCCCTAAGATGACCAGAATATTAATTTATTAATATTATATCAATATTATATTAATATTATATTGATGTTATATTTTATTAATATTGACAAATTATTATGTTTATTGACAGAGATGAATAGAAATTATAGCTCCTTGTGACTTTCTAGATGCTCTCTATTTCATGTTATCTCATGTTAGGTTCATATATGTGTTAATGGTTTTCAAGTTTAGTATGAAAATTGCGAGAAAGTGATGTATAATTCAGAATAAAGCCTACACAAACCGAGTGCCTATAGAGTACCGAAGTGATGACGTCATAAGAATCTATTTTTAGAATTTCTGATTTTGATCCCAGAACCTAAAAGAGCACCATGAAATACCTTTAAGTATGCAAAATCAGTCAAAGGCATCACGAATCGGCTGAGATATGGCCACATGAGGACAGGCTTTTGCCTCATCAAACCTCTGTAATTTGGTCTTGGTTCATAACTTTATGAACCAGGCCAGAATAACAGTAATCCGTTAGCAAACTTGAAACCTTCCATTGGCCATATCTCACCCAGCTTAGAACATATCTAACTAATTTTGCACAATGCGAGGTATTGTATGCCATTCTTTCAGATTATGCGGCAAAATTTTAGAAATTCTAAAAATAGATTTTTGGTGACGTCACACTTCGGTACTCAATAGATCTATAAAACCATTATATACTTTACACATTTATATATTGTGTCATAATCGTTTTATATTTAGTATGAAACGTCTAATTAGAACTATTTTGGTAAGGGGTAGGGATAACTTCGGTAAGGGGTACGGGTTACTAGAACTATAGGGTGAGGGGTCCTTACGTGATAACAGACATGTAAATATCTGAACAAGTATTATTGGTTAAAGGTTTAGATAAAAAGCCTTTTGTTCAGGGCTTATTGTGGACTTGAAAAACTTTTCAAAAGAATTTCTGGGAAACCCATGTTGCCCTTGAAAAATGAGCTTAACGATAAGATGATAAGCTCCCCTAACATAGCTATAAATTTATTCTTATTGATCCTTTGTTGAAAATGCTGAAAATGTCTACTCGGTTTGAACTGGTGGGATTTTTAAAAAGGTTTTCAAAGATTTTTGGTTTAATGAGCTAAAGAAGGATGAAAACCTCTTCATTCTGAAATCGATTACAGTGTTGTCAGTTCTATGACTGCAACGAATTGAATGACCAATTTTTTCTCTGCTAGAAAGTACAAAAAATAATTCCAAAACCTTTTTACAGGAAATTATTGGAAACGTTCTGGATCTGGAGCCAGTCCGATGGAGAAAGCCGCACAAGGAGAGCTTTCAACAACACAAGAGGAAGGTTCTTCAGTTTTCTGAACTTTGGGAACCATTCGATTGGACAAGAGATCTATCATAATCGTGAATTAACTTAGATCTGTAAATATTTTTGTTGCTTGGTTTTGCCTGGTAATATAAATTAGTATATCGAATCTCGTTTATAACACAGAAAACTTTTTCTCATCAACTTGTTTTGATTGATGATTCAGAATAGTCAATTTATTCCATATCCCCGTGAGTACGATAGCAAATTTATTCCTAATGTCCGTGACTACGATAGAGCTTCCAGGGTCTAGTTTTACTAAACGAGCTATTCGTTGTTGTTTGTCATCGGTGAAGTGTCAAAAATGTATGCATATTCTGCTTTATAACAGGTGGGTCTTTTTGATTTGTTAAAACGTCTTTTACCGGATTTACCGGGGGCTGTAGAGATGCGGTGCCGTCTCAATATTTTTGTGTCTTTCGGTAAATTTCGCTTTGATTCGGTAAAAAAAACATTTTTCTAAGCCAGTAGTAATAAAATTGTGCAAAAAAATATTTTCTGATCTTTTTATCTTCAATTTAAAAACTGAATTTCAAAAAAATGGGTGTTTCCATCACTTTCCAGGCACCTGAAAGGTTTGACACTATAGTGCTATCATAATTATCATAATCTAGCATCCAGAATCCTTGCTGCTAGTCCCGGCCCATATTGTCTGGATACAGCAACGGGTTGGATCAGATTTCTCTTCTTGCTGCAACAAACATGGCCGACCTTGCAGACAACGTTCCGTCTTTTTGTTGCGAATTTTGCAATAAAATTTATGAAAGGGAGACTCGACGTACTTGTTAAACTTTGAATATGGGCAAAAATAATTCCGGTTTCATCAAATGAACATTGTTGAGTCTCAAACGCGAAAAAAACTATTCAACATGGTTTAAAATAAAATAAAAAGTAACAACACAACGCTGACAACAAACGTGAACTTTCTTAGTTCAATGTGAAAAAATGATGAAACTTTGCTAACAGAAGCAAGAATTGAATACTTATTGACATGCAGCCATGCGATAAAGGATCAGTGCTTTTATGATTTGCTGGCAGCGCATATATTCGGTTATTTACCGCAGACATTGGGTGTTAAACTTTTGAAAACGACGAAAATATATCAAGAGTTTAAACTGTACTGAATATTTGTAGTTTAAGTTGTTTATAAGCTTAATATTTTTATCAATCCAGGTAAAACTGCATGGCAAAGGTTTGAAACAGAAAAATCTTAGTAAAATGCAAGTTAGTAATTCCATTCATGGGTGTATTAGAAAAACCTGGAGAAACCATTAATCTGTTTTGACAATACAGTTTTCATTTCCATGCAATGCTCCACATATCGACTGACAGGCTGATAGGAGAGGTCAGTGACAGGACGTTTTACAATAACAATCAAATCGTGACGGAGACCAGACAAGAAAAACCCAACAAGAAAAACCCAACCTATTTACGCATTCGTTTAGTAAATTTAATTAAGTTATTTTTTCTTCTAGTTTTAAAAAAACGACAACTGGAATTCACTTGTAGGCCGTAAAATTTTCTTGAAAACAGATATCAGGACACCCAGAAATTAAATTCATAAAAAAGCATGGGTTCATCTTTGAATTTGCAACGAGTTTCTCACATTCCGTTTTGTTACATTCCATTCTGTCATATTCCGATGCATCACATTCCTTGGTACGCAGGACCACCTCCACTTTCCGGTGGTACCCAGTTGATATTCTGACTCGGATCCTTGATGTCGCATGTCTTACAATGTATGCAGTTCTGTGCATTGATTTGCAGCCTTCTGCCTCCGGTCTCCTCATCGTCTACGTATTCATACACGCCAGCAGGGCAGAAGCGACCCTCCGGACCGTCGTAAACCGGTAAATTTAAATTGAGTGGGACGTCGTCGCTGTACAATGTTAAATGAGCTGGCTGATCGCCTTCGTGGTTCGTACCGGTCAAGGCCACAGACGATAACAGATCAAAACTAACTTTATTGTCCGGTTTTGGGTATTCAATCGGTTTACATTCTTTAGCCGGTTTCAATTTAGTATGGTCCGGTCCACCGTGTGATAGTGTCCATGGCTCCTTTCCGCCAAAAAGCCAATAAAACATACCGGTATACAGCATTGTACCGTATACACCTAAAACCGAATGGGCGGAAGGGCGAATATTTCTAACCGACTTTAATTCTTCATATACCCAGCTTGATTTCAGGCGCTCTTCATAAGACGTGGCCATGATTCCTACAAGATCAACATAAAATGATTATTTGTCAAGACATTTTGATTTTTGCAAATGGAATACAACGTCATGTGGATAAACTAATTCTATCTTTTACAAGTTTGTTAGACAGTCATGCCGCAATACATCTCAAAATAGAAAAGGCAAAAGGCTGGTTGAGTCAGTGTAAATTACAGCAAGCCCGTACATCTATCAATTCCATTATCCAAAACAAATAGCATCATGTTTAATAAGTTCACTCTTTATTTTTACCTTTATTGGATACAGTCACATAGTCGTTTATGACGTACAGTCACATATTTAGTCTTGTCACTTTTGAACCAAGTTCATTCTGCGATACTTATACAGCAATACCACCAGCCTCAATTTTAGGCCCTTGCATCATTAATCAACATCTTAAACAAAGCGGGTTGTGCTGGTGTCGTCGCATTTTTAAGACGCATTTTTTGAGGCGCTGCTAAAATTCATTTACATTTAAGATAGCTTCTTATTCTAGGCTTTTAATTGGAACAAGGTAATCTCACAATATATTATCTGTTCCTCATTTTACAATTGAAATGCACGGAAGACTTACCCTCCGTTTCAGATTGGTGATTTTCATCTGTGATGACGTCATAAATTGATTCTGCAGCAATCATAGCGGACTTCATTGCCAAATGTGTGCCTTTGACTTTTGGGACATTCATAAAACCTGGACTGCAACCCACCAGAACACCACCAGGGAAACTGACTTTTGGTATCGACTGGAAGAGAGCAAACACATGTTAATGGCGAGAGAGTTTCCACAGAAAACAATTATGACGAAAATTTATGGCAATATATGGATCATTATTATGGTTTAAAAATCAATAGAATATTCAATTTGCTTAAAAGAAATCTTCACTCGTCATCAGGATTAACTATCCTTCAAAACAAGATTTCTATGCTTCTCTAGAAAAACAGCTAAAGACCAACAATAAATCAAAGTAGACTTTCAAAACGCCAACAAACGCACAGTCAAAAACATGGAAATACTTTGAGAAGCGTCATCGGCAACTTGAAAAGCTGTCTGAGGCCACAAAAAAATGTTATTTTCGCTGTCTTTCTCGAAAAAAAAACACGACTTAGACTTCAGATGAGTCACAAAACAATTGCACAGGTGGAATTACATTGAGACACCTGATGCAGAAGTACTTTGAAAGAAAAACAACCCAGAAATGTAGATAAACAAAAAATACAGAGAAAAAACTGATAATAAGCTGATGATAGTGTCCCCACTTGCTGTTATTTTATGTTTTCTTTTGTTCTAACAGATGCATCATCATTTTCAGTTCATTCATACACACAAAGCTTAGTTTAACTTCTTTGCTAAGTGCCATTTAAATTTTTGAGCTACTGCCAAAAGCACAACAACAACAGCATTACTTGCAATCCATTTCCCGATCCAGTCGACAAATTTAACCACAGATAAAGTTAAGCACAGTTAGTGCCATATTGCCAAAAAAATCAAAGAAAGTCGAGCGACGGTCCTCAATCTTTTTTTATCACAATAAAAACAAATACAAAAAAACTCAAATTGATCATTGTTGAGATAGAGGCAAAAACATAACGTTATCGAGTTGCCTCCACACCCAACATTACAAATATTCCAGAACTTTGCATAATACAATATAAATACACAATACAGAGCAACACAGCACAATACAGCAAAATACAATACAATACTGTACAAAATGCAACTATGTATAGGTCATCATGTTAGTTCAGGACCACAGGATTCAATCTACCAGATATAGCAGAAAAGACTAATAAGAATTCATTGAAATCGTTTAGTTTGCTTGACTATTCAACGGTGCATTTCAGATGCCTATCGGGTATGGCCGTTGAGTAATATCATTGCCAACTATATCATATATTTATCAAGCAGGTTCATTCTATTAAGTGAATACTGGCAGCAATGCAGGAAATAGTGGATCGCAGATTCGACTCCTAAGTCACATTTACACATAGGGCTCAATCTAACCCAGGCCTTCACAAAAATTCCTGGATGATGGTACTTCGGTAAGAGTTCTAGATCAAAAACAATGTTTATAACCTCTCTTGAAGACTTCGAAGAAGTTTTGTTAGCTATCTTTGGCATAAGAGTGAGGACTTTCATTAATGTAGTCGTCTACCCGGCTGGTTTAGATCAAGTCGTCTGCATAGCTCTACCAGCAAACAGGACTTTACTTTTAAAACCAGCCCCTTAGTCTAAAGATAATTAGCTACACAATCTAAGAAGGTTGAAGCGATAAAAAAATATAGACTCAACCCGGTAGTCTCGTTAAATTTGTGGTTTACAGGTAAATACACCATCACAAACTTTGTAGCCAGTAAATTTCAAAAGAAGGACACGGAAGTTGGAATTAATGGGCCTAAAATAATAGCTTAAGTTGTAGAGCACACCTACAATTTAATTTACAGACTTTGGTTTCAGTTGAAAGCCCAACTTTCAAAGGATGTACAAACGTTTCTTGTATCTATAAAATTGTGGAAGAGAGCTAGAGATATAGAGGGGAAGAGGGCTATCCTTTAGAGGGAAAGAGGGCTAGAGAAAAATTCTCGGGTGCACTGACAAATCGATAGAGTACACTTAAATGGAATATACAACTTTTAAACTAGAATATTGCAAGATTGGAGATGTATTGGACAATGGTTCATCGCCAACATAAATCTGCAGCACTAGATTTGGAGAGAGAAAGATTTATGGAAAATAAACAAAAAAATATCCTGGGATTTGAAAATAACACCCAATCAGCCCGCAAGCTTTGAATTCCTGGGCCTCTTTTATGGCTTCATAAGGTTTAAAAAGGCAACAAATACGAAAGAGAAGCCTGAAACAGGCACTTAATTTCCATAGGCCAAAAACTAGCCGAAAATATTGAAACCAAAGATTGCGATGGCCCACTGAAGTACCTGCCCAGCAAGGGACTGCCGGTTGAAACTAGTTGTGAATTTCAAAGGGTTGATCCTGAACTTATTAAAAATGAGATCAATAAGTTAAAATGCTCTAAAGCTGCAGGGCATGATAAGATCCCAGTAAAACTAGTGAAAGACGCTGCTGATATTTTATCTAAGCCATTAGCAGCTATTTTCAATTCCTCTCTTGAAAGCGGTGTTTTTCCGAACATATGGAAAGTAGCCAGGGTAACATCCGTCTTTAGGACCGGATCGAAAACTGATTTGAACAACTACCGGCCAATATCCATACTCTCGGTATTCTCCAAGCTAATCGAGAAAATCGCACATGATCAAGTCTCCACCTTTCTGAAGGAAAAAAGCATGCTCTCCAAATGTCAGCACGCATTTCTAAAGCTGTACAACACGTTGACCTCACTACTCAATGTCACTGACTCGTGGTTCTCAAATGCCGATAAACGAAAGATAAATATTAGATCTTCCTTGATCTAAAGAAGGCATTTGACACTGTGGATCACAAAATTCAACTCTCTAATTTTTCAAAGTATGGAATAGGAGGAACCCCTCATCAGTGGTTTACATCATACCTAACTGATAGGATACAATACTGCCAAATCAATGGTTCCAGTTCACAACAAAAGAAGGTTCAGTGCGGTATTCCCCAGGGTTCGTGCCTTTGGCCCCTCCTTTTTATCCTATACGTAAATGATTTTGAGCGATGCTTAGAAAAAAGCTCAATAAATATGTATGCAGACAACACTAGCATAACATGCTCTGCAAAACACACCGAGGGACTGTAAAATGATTAAAAAACTGAGGGTAAGAACATTGCAGAGTGGATGCGGCAAAATAAGCTTAGTCTGAACACCAATAAAACTGAATATATGGTCATTGGTCATAAAAGACAAATTAACCATATCCAGGGGGAGATAAACGTGGAAATAAATGGAGAAAAAATCCAACGACCCCATGAAGTAAAATATCTCGGGGTCACTATCGATGAAAACCTATCTTGGAACAGGCAGTACAAGAGGCTTAAGTGTAAACTCAAAAGTGGTCTTTCTTCGTTGAGGAAACTAAAAAACATACTCCCACAGTCGAAATTGAACCAGGTTTACAGGGCACTTTTAGAGAGCCATCTAAGATACGGTGATGAATTATGGGGAAGTTTGTCCGCTACAAAACTTGAACATCTTCAGCGTCTTCAAGACAGGGCTCAAACATTAATTGAAAGTGCTAAATTTGAGGACGGGTGGATCTGTAAATGGCTTTCAGTTTCGAACCTAATTAAATATGACAAGGTCATAATGACATACAAAATGATGAATGGTCTTTGCCCTGACAGCCTTAAGAGGTAAATCCAGTTATTCGACAAGGAATCAGCTTGATAATTGACATCCCAAGGCAAAATTTGGAATTCTTGAAGGGACGTTTCTTTCACTCTGGGGCCAAAACATGGAATGCGATTCCGAGAAACATCAGAATGAGACCCACAATTTCCATGTTTAAAAGAAACTTGAAAGGATTCCTGCAAAGTTAATAAATTCCCTAAACAAAACACGATCCCTAGGTAGAACAGCAACACATTTATTTTATATATATTAAAGAAGTAATTGTAATAGAAGTAGATTATTTTATTTGTATTATAGCTGATAGGGAATTCGTGTATAAATATATTTAAAATGAAATGAAATGAATGAATGTTTCATGGAAAGCTTCTTTTAATATTTCCATTGACATCTTGCTTCTAGTTAACTTAAATTGCTACTCGTCGAATGATGCGAAATGTTTACCTGAAATCCCCCTTCGTTCAGAGCTCTAGCCCCGTAACCGATTCTTGTCCCACCTTCAAAAAGAGGCCTGATCTTTGGATGAGTCTTGAATCTCTACAAATTAAAAAGTCAATAAGAATCATAACCCAATTTTTCTATTTTTCATACCTTTAATACATCTAACATCTACTACAAAAGTTAACTTCTTATATTGCACTTGTGTTTAACTTTACATGCATTATAGAAAAATTATACACTTTTTGACAATAATAAGTTTTTGCTTAGCCTTGATAGGTTTTAAACTTCGTAAAAAGTACTACAAGTAAAAATTATTCACTATCTAATTTAACAAATTTTGAAACATGCTTGGCGCTTTCGTGTTCGCTGCCTCGTCTCAATTTATGTACATTACTATGAACACCGGAACAGAATGGAGGCTGGGCATGTAAAGATCGAAAAGAAGCATAATAAGAGGTGAAGATCGGTGAAACAAAGCCCACCGAAAATAGTCAAAGCTGACATATCAATGGTCAAATAAATGGGATTATTCGATAATTTCGTCTGTCTGAATAGTGGTTATGCAAGATTAAAGCGTTTTACACTGGGTATCCATGAGCTTGCTATTGTGCGAAACCACAAACATAGCAGATAGGATTAACAAAAATTCAGCCATTATCGTCTAAATCAAGAGAAAATGAAACGGAATATTGAGCAGATGAAACTGTTCCTGCCCTTCTTTCGCTTTTCATTTTAATTGTCATTTTAATTGAGACAAGATGGCTAAAGTTTCGACCAGACAACTTACGTCCAACAAAAGAAATAAACATTAATAATGCGACCTAATTATTCCTAACCAAAACAGGTACCCATAAACGAAATCGTTCCTTGCAGTGAACCACGCAAACTACCGATAAACGCCGTCGGGAATTCAGGGGTTACGCGCCTTACCGCGTTCCTTCGTAACGCGGGCAGACTAAGAATATCGCGAAGCTCGAGGCCTGTTCAAGGAATCACCCAGGCCACGTGGGCGAGACCTGATGTTTGTGAGGAAGCTAAGGTAGTTACGTGACCTTTTCTGCAGGTGGAATGGCGAATTAAAAAAGTTCCTAATGTTTATGCAACATATTGAGAACCCGCAAAAATGAAAAATTAATACCAAAGCCAAAAACAAGCATGTGAACCAATGATCTAGCCATTTTGCAAGGTCACGTGACTGCAAGATTAGGCCAAGCAGTTCGATAGTTTGGAGTGGCATTTTGAGAGAGGAAAGGCAGAGTTTTTGCTCATGGATTGGAAATTGCGACCTTCTTGGAGAAATGTTTACTTAATACATAAAATGAAGATAATGTAATGCAGATAATGAAAATAACCTGGAATTCTTGAAAAGGACTTAAATATGGGTTTTTGTAGTCAAGGCCAACCTGTAAAAACAGAAATAAATTAAATAGTGAAGAATCGAAATGAGATTCAAATAAATCATTAAAAAATAATCAAGTTTAAGAATTAAGCAAAAATTCTGAATAATGCAAAACTAAATTATATCTTTCTACGTTTTGTTCAAACTTGTCATATTTGGTAAAGCAGAATTCTCACGAAAACTTAAAATAATATTATGAAGTAAAAAAGAATAAAATGTCTGAAAAATTTCTTGAACCCGTGCTTTGGTTTTTAAGCTGGAAAGGAAACATATTTCTATGAAAATTATATTGAAAGAAAATAGTAGAGTAGCTACCACAAAGCCAACAGCAACCAGCGGTGCTCCTTCGTTGAGGTGGTAAATAAACGAGCCCCCGTATGTTGACTTTTCCTAGGAGGCAACAAAACGTTAATAACCCAGATTTTTCGCCAGGAATAAAAGACAAGCAATATTCGTACAACAAAACAGCCTTCAATTCATTTCAAGTTTTTTTTAAATCCGATACAAAAATATTCAAAACTTTATGCAACGAGGGTGGAGGGAGTAAGAAAGATGGTTACCTAACGATAGACTCACATTCAAATACTTTGCTTGTATTTTAACATGTCATATTGGAGGTTCTTCAACATAATGAAATAAAAAGTGAAAAAAATCGTCAAATAGAAGAACATTTTGGTTTAAAAATCGAAAAAACACTTCATTAAAAGGCTGCCAGTGAAAGTTGCATCCCCATTATAAATTTCTGTTAAAACGCTGGGCTTGTGTCAACTGTGGGTTACTAGAGCAGCGGCTCTACATATTTGATGCTTCTGATTAATTCGCTCCTAAAATCTGCGTGCAAAACATGTTTATTACGGATTTTCCCAGTCAGGAATACCCCAAGTTCATTGCGATATCGAATCTCTTTAAATCTCAAGGAAAATCGCCTGTGAGAAGGCTTCCCTGTTCTTAATCAGCTTTTAGGTTCTTTACAGCCTGACAAAAGCTAATTTGTTTATCTGCCTAGACCATTAAAAAAACAGCTCGAAATGGCAGGACCACATCACTTAGGCGTGTCGGGAAGGCTTATTTTAATCAACAATAACAGCTTAGTGAAAAAATATTATAAGTTTATAGAACAGAAAATGACGAGTTACGCCATTATTCCACTGTTAATTCGTACAATAATTATAAGAGTCTATTTATTCAGCTGTCACTTGTTGACATCTTTGCATGGACTTTGGTTAAGTTTTTAAAGAAAGCAGTTATTATAAGATAATTATAAAAAGCGTTCCAATTAAAAATTGCTTGAAAGTCTTTCTAACAGAAAAGAAACTTTAGAGCTGGGGGTAAGCCTCTAGGGACTTGGGAAAGGGTTGAAATCGACTGCACTTGGTAATCTACATTTCGGGGACTGAGAAATCTACATCTTGCTTGTTTCTACCACAATGCAGTAGCTGAAAATTACGTCACGAAGAGAGTCTGGGAACTTACCAGAGGCCATCCCACAGTGTGCTCAACTCTGCCTGGACAATGTTTGGAAGGGTCCACTTCCCAAAGCTGAAAGATTAAATATTTCAAGAATAGGCTTTTAAATACAATACAAAATCAAAGAAGGATATGATATGAACTCAAATCAAAATGTCTCAATTTTTAAATAAAACACCAAGGCCGCCTTTAACCTACTTAACGCCGCGCCAAATTTCAGTACTAATTGTTGCCAAAAGATATCTTAGCTTAATAGCGCGTAATTCACGGGTGGGGCACCAAATATCTCCAAACGGCTGAAAACAGTTGAAGACATTTTCGTCGAAAAGATTCGCCAAATTTACCTGTTGAAAATGTTAAAAAAATTAACACAAACCTCCTTGAGACCGATGCCATATGATTGAGGCTCACAATTTTCTCTTAAATTGAATTGTTTATACAATTGCTTTGCTAGAGCTCCATGACATCCTTCAGAAAACACAGTGCATTTGGCATGCAGCTCCATGCCTCTCTCGAATGTATCCTGGATTAAAATCTCGACAATAATTCTAGCTTCAAAATGAGCAAAAATTATTAGCTTGCATAAAAAGAGACAGGAAAAAGAGACATCAAAATTACTATTAGCGTTTTGAATTGAAGGTTAAAAAAAGTGAGACTATTGTTAATCTTGGCATAATTATTAGAATTTAAGAAAGCTAATCTGTTGCTTCCAGTGATGAAAAAGGTGCATATAAAAATGAAGTGCTTGAATGGTTTTTAGAGCATGTGATTCCAATGATTCAAGGTATTGTTTCAATACTGCATAAATTAGGAAAGGTCGTTCTAAAGAGTGATAAATCTAAACTTTCAAGGGCTGATAAACGAAAAGAGTCGGATCGGTTTATAGATAGTAAAATCTTACTTTTGGTGAGCCATCCTTTGCTATTCCAACGTCAGTTGTGGCTATTCCTTTGACACTTCCATCCTCGTGATACAAGATCTATTAAAAAGCAATCCATAATATGGGAAATTTTCAAGACCAGCCTTGGTAAATCGCGGTATTTTCCAAGGTTCTGGCTGATGGGACAGTTGTCCCAGTAGTGGGCTTTCTCGCTTGTTCTAGCAGTGAAGGAAAATTAATACCTCTACCCTAAGGGTCCAAAGAAAATGGAACCCTCTTCCACTTTCCCTTGTAGATAATTCAATTGAATTTATCAGCTGAATAAAATTTTGGAAAATCATTTGACTACACTTGTAAAATTAAAACCTTCTGCTATGTCAAAATATTTTGGCAGGTAAAATATTGTCTAAGTTACGATAGGTAACTTAATATAGAGGGGTTGCTTTAATATTAAAAACTGAAAGATTTAAAAAACTATAAAACAAAAACTTACTGAAAGTAAAAAACAAACATTCTGTAATAGCTGAGTAAAGCTGATTCATCAAGTTTCTTGGCACTGGTTATTGGTCAATTTGCGGGCCTTTGGTGGATAAAGCAAAAGTTTCTAGCAAAAAAACATTGCTTCTGGATCGCTAATCTAATTCACTGAAAGGGAAAACCAACATTTTTAGTCTGTACCGACGGTTACAGGGAATTCATCTTGGAGCCAAAATACCCTCTGTAGGCATATCTTGCATAACATGTGCAATTCGTTGTTGACTTCAAGTGATTCCAAAACTACCAGTAACTACAAAAGGGTTCTTGTAGGGTCTTTTTCATTTTTATTGGCACTGCTGCTCGTACCTGGGTTTAGATTTAGGCCCCTAAGGGACAAAGCCGGTACCACGTCAGAGGCCCTGATTTCGTGGGGGCTTGAGGGCTGATAATGAGTGAGAGTTGGCGTGCCTATACCGACTCTTTCATGATGGAATTTTGGATTTTTTAACAGCTTCTACAACACCAATAATACGTCTGAGCATGCGCCGCTCTCTCCTCCCAACAAAGAAGGCTTGGTTCCTCTGAGGGCCTCTGAATGCCCTTTTGGAGTTGAATTGAACAATTAGTTGAAGCTATGAGATGATCCGATTGTGCTCACGTCATTAAAACAACTTTTGGAATTCTTATCAATGCCTGGCACGAAGGTGCAATGCTGCACCTTTTTAATTCTGGTAAGTATAAAAATTGAATTTACGAAAAATATGAAAATACATGGTTAACAGTAAATCTTCCTTTTAAAATTTGGGTCGAACTCGTCAGTTCTGTTTGCCTGCTTTTATGCCATTTGAGACAAGTCCCAAATTGAAACGGCGTCCACTCGCATGTGCAAGTTAAGGCCTGGCATTTGAGGCTTATCGCAGTACATCCACTATGAATCCTCTGCGAACGGCTCACTGTAATCCACTTTTGTGAATGGCTCACTGTAAAGTCTTTGATCTCCTTTGACCAAGGAGTCGTGATATATCAAATCTTGCATGACCTCTATCCCGAAAATTCTCCGCCATAAATTCACTGAAAGATCCATGATTTCAGAGTATGGAACCAGAAATCGTGGAGATCTCCAAATTTCCAAAGTTAGGTTAAAATATGCGAAGCGAAGTTCTTACTTCTCTGGTGTCAACATTCAAGAAAAGAATCAATCGCTCGTTTTAGAACAGGTTTAAGAGGGTATCTTTTGAAACTTTCACAGGACCCAAACACGAACTCTTGGTAGAGCAGCGATCTGTATTACTATATCCAAACAAATGCTGTTATTAGGTTAATTAGTAATTAATAGCTGAAAGATGTTTCGTGCATAAATATCGATAAAATGAAATAAAATGAAAATTAAATCCACTGGGATCACCGATGCAGCTCTAGAATCCAGAAAAACCCCCGCTCGGAGATCAGATAAGGACCTGCAAAGTTAAAGAATGTTGTTTGGTAGTTAAAGAGAATTTCCGAGGTACATCAGGTCTTCCATCGCTGATATGTCGAACATGAACCGCTGGTGCTGAACATGAAAAGCAAGGTCTAGTTTTCTCAAAATTTGCTGAGGTATGTAATGTCTTAGCTAAGCCAGAGTCAGGAAAACGTCACGGCCCCACGGGCAGTGGCCGGAGAAAGGTTGTTGAAATAAAAAGCTTTTCAAAATACAGTCAGACGAAAAATAAAAAATAATCAAATAATATTTATGAACCTGATGTTTTTTAACATTAATGTGTTTGCAAAACTGCTTTGCAATGTTAAATACAGGCATGACGTCTTTATGATCTATAAATATTTAAATGATGATGAGCTATTTGTATTAATTAACATAAGCATGTAACTTTACATCTGTCTCAAAAACTATCTATAATTGAAAATATGCTACAAATTTTCAAAATATTTTGGAAAAACAGAGTTGTAAGAAGAGGGAGTCAAGACAAGTTGAGTACCCAAATTTTTGACCAAGCCAATTCCGAACCCATTAAATATGAGGTAGGTTTCATAGTATGATTCTCGTGGCAGTAGGAAGGTTGACAACTTCTTTTAACTCTGGGTCTGTTTTCGAAAGATTTTTGTTGTTTGGATCCGCACACGGCAGAATTTTGCTTTGATATTCAAAGACCATCTTCAAAAATTAATCATGTTTTATTTCGAAGACTGCCTTTGAAAAACAAAAATCTTTGTCTTTGACAAGCGCATACAGCAGATTTCGGTCTTTGCAATTCTCAAGACAAAAATCTTCGTCTTTTGAAGACAAACGTTTGCCGTGTGCGCTAGGCTTTAGCTTAGCTTTGCTTCAGGGGCGGCTGGGAGTAGAAAAGTATTGGTATTAGGCTCCGAAATTAAGACATAAGAAGGTCCCTCCGCAAGGTCCTGAAACTATTTAACAGGGGTGGAGCTTATATGTTCTTATTTAAGAAGGTGGGCAAAATGACTTTTTCGATATGATGGTTTAAAATAGCTTTTGGCAATACCATATCTTACAAAATTATTTGAAGGCACTGGCCCCCGTTGTCTCCCCCCAGACACTGATGACCCTGTGGTAATGTAGTTCATCCTACTAGTTTTGGGTGAAGGATCGGTCCTACGAAATACAAATGAATTATGGCTGCGGCAAATTACTCGAGCGAAATCGTGTTTTGATACAGCGGTTTGCTACCCAGTAATGGAGCCCCAAGGTATTAGCCCATTAATTCTAATACCATGAGGCTTTTGGCCCGCGAATGAGATTCTATTACGATAAAGCGAGCGATTTACTTTAGAGTAATGCAGCAAAAAACGTAAGATGTATCATTTGATTTGAGAAACCGAGAGAAATAATGTGAGAATGTTGCCTGTGACTCTACGGTCATATAGAATCAAAGTTTTACAAAACATACAGTTCATACGAAACAACTTTTACAACTGCCTTTAGCTTAAACAAATTATTTCATGACTGTTGCTCTTTATATTCAGTGTCTAAATTTTGTCAATCAAATTATCCATCCAAAGGCATTGCTAGCAAAAGTACAGCTACATTTTGTAAATTCATAAAGTTAATTTCCAGAAATATTTTTTCTATAAGCTGAGGCCTTAGAATAGAGCTGGGGCTCTTTCCACCGTCCCTTCCACTGACAGTGGCCCTCGTAGTATTAGAAATGAAAAACTAATACCTTACTGCTGTTCACCCATTCTTCTACCATGGCTCAACAAGAGAAGTTCACGTCATGCAGACCACAACAGACAAAAGAAATTTCGGGGCAGTGTATTAGTTTTTGGAGGCTAATACCATGGCCAGGGCTGCTGATTACGGCATTGATTACACTTTTCAAAGATTTCAATGAGGATTAGGAAAGCTTTCATTCAACGAACAGAAAAGCAAATATAGCTTGGCTATATGAATAGAGCTGGTCGCATCGATAAAATTGTTGTGAAAAAGTGGCAGCGTACAAAAAGCAAAATAAATTTCCTGCAATCTCAGAGACCATAAGTCGCCTTCCTTTGAAAATAAAAAGGTATTAGACTAATACCTTTAATACCACCCCACGCCGCCCCTGCTTTGCTTGGAGTTGCAGCTTTCTGTTGCATGATAATACGCTTGTGGCTTGATTGGATTTCCAAGAATTACGCACCAAGGCGATTGCTTACGTTACGTAACTGATTAACTGTTACGTAACTCAGCCATTCAGTCAAAGAATAGCCAGGCTATCGATTGATGCCAATAAATTCTTACCTCACTAGCGGCGATTCCCGGATAAATCTCCACCCCAAGTGCCTCGGCCTGCTCTCCTAACCACTGTACGAAACTTCCAAGTCTTACAATGTAGTTTCCATGGTTGTTCATAGGCAGACCTGCAGTAGAAAAAGCGGCTTGAAACTTTAATCCTTGCAAAAGTCTCGGGAACCCTAGTTGCTCGTTTCAATAAAATAAACAGTTTCCAATCGAAAAGACCAATTCAGCATTTGATAAACATTGATTCCTTTTTAGAGTAAATCATTTAATTAAACATTGGATAGACAATATCGTCTGAAGGAGCTAATGCGGGTTGAAGGGGGTGCTGTTGACGTTTTGAAACAACTTTGTTCAGTGAAAAAATACTTTTGGAAAGGACTGTATGATTACGGACACGATATTAATGATAGTGATGATGATGATGATGATGACAATGTGATTCCAAAAAGGATAAGGCTAACCTTTGAAGATCGGCAAAGATATCGGAACTGGAATCATTTTGTTCTTCGTCAAAATTCCAAATTTATCATCAGTAACGGGAGTATGCAACGGAGCCTGAAGATAAAATGATTTCATAAATTTATTTGATAGTTTGGAAATTGAAAGGGAAAACCGAAAGGCATATCACTGCATGAAAAACTAATAAAAATTTGTTGAAAACACTATTGCTTATCTGAAAATTCAGACAATTAAAAAGTTGATATGCATATACATAATAAGGACAGTGTGCATAAAAAATAAAGACCACAACAATCAACAATGGTCATAGCGTAGATCATTGAGATAATTTGCGACGATTTAGGGACAATTTATGGAAGATTTAGACTATTTGAGACTATTTGTTTTGACATCCTGTTTCGGGACATTTCTGGAAGTTCTGTTTCATGGCACTTTTAGCCAATATAATATAAAAAATTAACATTGTTAAATGCTTACACCCCTTTCTTCCCAGTCAGGAAACAACTCGAAAAGTGCTTTGGGTTCAAGGCAGGCTCCAGATAGCGTGTGTGAACCTGCAAGAAAAAAATTTTAAAACATTTGATTAGGAATGAGGCTTGAGAATCTAAAATTTCGGAAGCGTTTGTGCGATAGCATGCGGACCGTGGTGTACTGGAGTAGCCTTTAGAAGATGGCAACCCAACTATAGCAAAAATTACTTGCTAATCAAGTTGGCTCAAAGTGTGCATAAGAGCTTGATGACAAAGATTGTAGGAAGGGGGGAGGGGGGTTGCGTTGAGTCCAGCTGGAGTGTAGATAGAGCTGAGAGGAAATAAAAAGTTTCTATTTGACTGAAACTTGAATTGCACTACAAAAGTTTAGCGAAGGACCCGTTTCCAGGCTACACACTGCTGTTGTATTGCTTTGTCACCTATGAATACAGAAATAAGAAGATGCAAATACACCTTAACAATTGTCGCCAGTTACCAAACCCAAACTGAGGCCCATCTGAGTGACGTTAACTCCATTTTCCGTTCTCCTGTAGCCAAAGAAGTCTATCGCTTCTGGCAAAAGCACCAGTCCAAACCTTGCTATAAAGCGATGTAACCACTGCGCTAACAGGGAGCTTTAGCCCCCCTCCTATTCTTCAATGATCGGTTAACTTAACTTCGAGAGAAATTGTCTCCAAAATAGCATGAAAAACAATATTATATTGAAAATTGTGTTCTATAAGCACGGCGGCAAAGAATTTAATGCGATAACTTCCCTTGGGTCCCGGTTCCCTTCAATTCAATTCTAGTTTTAACAAATTTTTTTATGATAACCATCAAAACATGATATATAGAGAGATATAGACAGATTCTGTTCTGCTCTTGGGTCCAGTTTCTATAAATGTGAAGAACACGCAAGTTAAAATACGGTCGCATTGCATAGATAATTGACAAGGGGTTCTTAGTTATAGAGCATATCTACAAAAACAAACCAGAACCAAATCAGTAGCTTTTTTATCCACGCCTTACGATAACACATAGCCATGCTTCAACTATTTCTAGTAAATCTTGAGAATAATGTTCTTCAACGAAAATGTCAAATTTGATAATATTATTTCTTTTTGCCCAGGCATATCCCTCGAAATGTCCTTCTATGGGTTTACCAAATCATTTCATTTTTTACTTTACTTCAACAAATCATTTTATTTTACTTTTATATATAATTACAATAAAAGCTTTAAAAAATATAAGTGTGCCTGATTTGGTCGGACCAGAGACAGGCAATCCTGGTTCTTTGGTCATGTAACTAAAAGCTGATTTCGCTCATTCAATGAGACACCTGTTTGTGATTAACCATACTGATCTGGAGTCAACGAGACACGCTTTAGTGATAAGCCATATACAGTAAATCCTCGAATTAGCCCCCTGGGGGCTTATTTATTTAATTTTTATATTTTTGAATGGGGGCCTATTCGAGGGGGGGACTTTTTCAAGGGGGGCCAAGTCGAGGATTTACGTTTACGTTTTTTCTGTTTACGTTTTTCCTGTTTATTATCATCTACCTGATTGACATCGCAGTGAAGAAAAAAAAATTGTTATTGCTCTTGGGCTGAGACAAAGCGTAAAATCAATGATAATTACTTTGCGTCTGTATCGTGTTCATCAAGACATTATCAAAAAGGAGGAGCACTTTAGAAGCTTTTAGCTACAATAAGAACACCGTCATATTTCTAAATTGAGATAAAAAAAGAAATATGAGCAGCTGCATGTGAGCAGAAATATGAGCAAACAACTAATACACTACCAATTTCTGGCGCCTTTTCCACGACAGTCACTCTGAGTTCTTTGTCCTGTTCATTTGCAAGTTGTTTCAGCCTGATCGCAGCTGAAAGACCAGCAGGACCACCACCAACCACAACAACATCAGACTCATCAGCCACTCTTTCCATGTCAACGTCTATGGAAAATTCAATGAAAGAACTCTTTTAGGATACAAACATCTATCATAGACATTTACGATTTAGAACCATTTAAGAATAGTCATGAATAGCAGTCATCCTTCCTTGGACCTATAAGCAAAAACTTTTAAAATATTTAAAAGAAACAATAATACCAAAGCAAAATTTTCAAGTTGTTACCTAAATTGTTGGTATTCAATGGCATCAAGATTGCCAATCCTGCCACAACATATATTTTTGTTTCTGCATTTAAAGACAAAATACGCAATTGCATGATGATTACATTAAGTGTGAAACTCTGAATAGCAGCTCAGAATCATCTTGTTCTATACATCAAAATCATATTCAGCTATGGCTTTGGGGCATCAAGCACCAATAATTTTGTGGAGATTTGTTGACAAATTTCCAACAGTTTTGGAGGGCTCAAATCATACCAGACACACCATGCATGTATACCCAGATTATTCTGAAAAACTGATTTATAGAACTGACAAAGCAATAAATAAAATAAACCTAATATGCCAAAAATGCCACATTGTTATTCAATTTCTACCTACCCTTCCACCTTTCATCATTTTCTCTCGACACTATCGTATAATGAGTTGTTATTTTTTTACTTCTTTGTGGTGTTGCAGTGCAAAAAGATCTTGCGCTAACAGTTCTGAAAACTTCTAAAATGTGAATCAAACATAAATGGTTAATGGTGCAAAAAATTAAGGATATGAAAAACATTAAAAGGTATGGTTTCTTATGTTGTAGTCCAAGGGCAGATATGGAGAAAAGTTGACACTCGCACATTAGAACTACTCAGCAGGGGTTTAGAGGCATAGCAAGCCCCAAAAGGGTCTAGGGTAGAGCCATGGTGGGAACCCAGGAAAAAAACCCTCAGAAACCTGAGCAAATTGGTCTGACTTTAAATGCAAAAAGCCCTGAACCTTAACCACAAGGATAATTTTAACAACCAAAAATAAAAAACATTAAATCACTTTACTCAAGTAACTGATCTTGGTCTGAAATTTGATCATTTCCATGTCTTACCAGCATTTATGTTCACAATCCTTTAGGCATGAAGAGGGCACAATGAAATGTATATCTGGTGGAAATTCGGATTCCTTGCAACTGATATACTACTATGCTCAATGAAAGGTCTCAATAGAATGTCCTTCTTTAGGAGCGAAAGTTGAGACACAAACAAGATTCTAGGCCTAGCAATAAATCTGCAATCAGGACTGAAATAATTTTTCCTACGTTTGGTAGTTTTCCATTTTCTCCAGCAGATTGCTTTATCAAACATCATCCATTTTTCCCAACCCAGCAGTAGTGCACAGTAATCTAACATACTGCTTACAGACTTCTCATGCCGCACAAATATGGGAAATCTAGAACCCTAGTTGGTGAGATTTGGTAAAATATTTGCATAACAAAGAGCCTTGAATATTTGGTGGCATGGATGACATGCTTAAAAATCATCCTGTACACCGTCTAACATGGCCTATGAAATTTTTCTATTTTGGATTAAATTGTATCATTGGGTGTAAGATTGGCAAAAGTCAATGCCTTTTTTAAACAAAGTATGTTAATTGGGTATACAGGGGGACAGGTCTTAGCTGTATGGGGGAAAATGATGGATTATGAAATTAATAACCAGTATGACGACAAAGAAAAAAGACATCATGTATTTGTTAACTTCTTGCTACATTGTAGACAATTCCAATTAAGACAAATCTATTAAGGCCATTTCATTAAGACAGTTCCAATTAAGGCAATTTCATTACGACAAGTCCATTAAATTAAATTAAATAACATTTCAACTCTGGCTAGAGTCATCTTCAGTATAATTACAGGCGAGAAAAATCAACTTAAATACAAAAGAGCTAAACAAAGGGGATCGAAAATCATGTATGCTGGAGGAGCAATTAGGATGCAAGAGAAGACATAAGGAATAAACAACCTAGAGAAGTAAACAAGGAATAAATGCCAAACAAAGAAAACAATGCAGGAAAGAAAGTCAGAACAAAATCATAGGGATAGAGGACTGCTGGGTTTTGGTTAATGCATTATTTCGGCATACAAAAAAACTAAATTCTGAAAATTGGACAACCTTCCATGAGACCAGTGCCACACACTGTTTCCACCCCTAATGCGGTCACTTTCAAACATGACATATATGGTGGAAAAACAGATAATTGATATATTAGAAGACAAAAACAATTGCAGGTCATTTGTAATACTTTTCCCAGGTAACACTCCTTCTTCTCTTGCAAAATGGAGTGCATATTAATTTGTTATTAACATATGACTTAGGTTGAATATATTAAAAAAGCTTCACATGATGTGTTGATTGAGCCTCAAGAAAAAGTGTTTAGGCTTAATTTTCCGTTTCATGTTCAAATATAAACCCACAGCTCTCTCGATGAGTTTCTCCCTTTTATCTTTATTTGAAAGAGGATTATCGCCATAAACAGGCCTGGCCGTTTGAGGCGAGCGATAGCCTCCACGCTCCCCTCGCAACCTGAGGCGAGCTATGAATTGCTCTCCTAAACAGAACATGAAGGGAGAATCGCTCCCCTAAAATTTCCATTCATTTGCCCTTTTCCTATTCAGAGAACCCTGAAAACGTACAAGGGTTAATTGGTTTATTTTTGTAACAGCAATTTCTCCTGTCATTGCATTTTTTGCAATAAACTTTATGCTTGTTGGGCGGTTTTTTATGATTGGCATAAACTTCGATCTATTCTGAAAAGGATAGTTAACGGGAAAGTACTTTTGTAGTGATTAGAACCTTTCAATCTTAATAAAACAGGAATATTTTTGGAAGGAAAGTCGATGTATTTTGTTGGAATTGTAGATTGGGGATATAATAAGACAGCAGGTCCCTTCCAGCAATAGAAACAAAACTATCCCTCAAAGAGAACAAGGTACTCTGGCTTGAAGATCAAAAACGACAACCAAAACATGGAATTCCACTATCCAGCAGCATTTACTGAAAAACCTAGATTGGGTGAAAAACCTAGATTGGGTGAAAAACTATAACGGCGACAGCTTTTGCGTTGTGCCAGCTTTACATAAAACTGAAAGAGTCTGTTCTTATGAATACTTCAAGTAAAGGGGATGCCTAAGTCACGGTTAAAGCAAATACAAATTGAAAGAAGTAAAACAGCACACTCCTGACTGAGGCTATTACATTAAGGCAACCGACAGGTACTAAAGGGGCTTATTAAGTCATTTGTCGATTGTGTTTAAAGTACATTCTATGTGTTACTGATTTAGCTCGCCTCGGCAAATGAGGGGAGCGATTCACAGCTCACCTATGAAAATACAAACAGCCAGCCCTGCATAAACGATCAAATTATCGCTAAAAGTACTCTGCGAGATAGAGAGGTGTTTTGTATTTTGCTCTTTCAACCTTCAAATTTGATGAAGAAATCGACATAACGATGCTTGCCTTTTTGCACAGGTTTGGAAATTAATTGGAAATTAATTGTGACGTTACGTTAGAACGGACTACCATAAATGTTTTGCATTAGGGAACTTTTTCACAGAGAGATGCATCAGTACCTGGAATAGTTTGCCAGAAAAAGTAGTCCAGGCCCCAAAATTTGAACATCTTCAAGAACAAGCTTCGCATTGGAAAGACAAGAAATTAAAACTAGATTTATTTGTTTAAAGAGATATTTCTTTTGTTTTGTTGTTAAGAACCAAGACCTGAGGTGGCCCAACCACAGAAGGGAATGAGAAATGTTTGGAAATTTTTTATTTTCTCAACTTTTTGGATTTTCAAGTTCTTAAAATTCTATATTCCAAGAAAATAAATGTTCCCTCAAAGTTCCTTTAACACTGTGTTTGAAATTTCAAAGTTCCTTGTTTTTTTTCAAATTGTAGGTCCTAACATATTAGGTCTTTTCACAACTGATCCCTACCACTGCACTGTTCTTGAGCCACCTCCAACCAGATTAATGAAAAAAAATATGTTTAAGTAGATTAAAAAATACAACATTAAACTTTATATGTTATATGTTATCAAAGTTGAGCCCCATACTTCATATGTTTGTTATGAAAGTGGTATTTGGAGAATCTTCAGACACTTGAATCTTTAATAATATTTTCCTTATAAAGCCAGAAATTTAATTCAGTATGAAATGCCAAATTATGCATTTGTAATAGACATACACTGCAGAATCTTAAAAAAAAAGTTAAATAAACCAAGCCCTGCTACAAATCTAATGGCCAGACCTGATTTTCTAAAATTTGAACAAGGGTTAGTGTTCAAACAATAGGTCAAACCTGGACTTGACCCAATGGCTTTCAATATTGAAAAATGCCTAATTGCTAATCCATTTTGACTCTTTAATCTCAACTTCAAAAATACTTCAACCCCTTAATGATCTAACAACTTATTACCCTTTTAAGAAAGCTACCTAAGTAAGCAAGACATCAACATTGAAAATGATTCATGTTGTTTGTAAACAGCATTCCAGGATCGAGATTTGCTTGTGTTTGAGTAGCTATTAGCTTCTTTTTAGTAATGCAAGATAAGTTCAAGTCTGAGGTTTTGAAGCAGCTGGAACTGTACATTTATCGAAGAATGCATACGCCTAACATTGGATTTAATTTCCAATGGAATTCAACGATGGCCTAAACTGTGCAATATGAGCTAGCTAAAGATACACCTAATCAGATATAAAGGCAGTGAAACAATCTTGCTTTCTGGACATCATTGTTTGAGCCTTACCATTTAAAAGTCTTCTCTGTCCGATCATCTTTGCTGTGGAATGGCTTTAACTATTTTTAAGTGTTAAGTGGCCGTCTATTGAAGTTTCATAACACTCTTCCACTAAAAAGTAACGACGACATGTTCTTATTGCAATCGAGGCTGCTATCTCAATTTGAAACCAAAAGAGATTTGTTAACGTTTTTTCAGTTTTCGTTTTTAATCTGTTTCAAGAGAATGTCAGCAAGTAAAAACTTTTTCGATTCAGGTGTTGTTTCTTTAGTATTTTACATCTCTAACTAGAAAATTATAATGGGATTTCGTTTTCAAATGTCTTTTCAACTGCAGAGGGGCAAAATATAATGTTTAGAATCATCTTTGGAAAGTTCTCTTCAGTTAACCTAGAAAGTTATCATGATGATTATTATTTAAAGAGATATTCATTAAATAGGAATATTATCATGATGATTATTATCATCAACCGTTGCTGTTTGTTTGCTATCGAAATACTTTACTGCAGTATTGTCTATCACCACAATACTATTTTAAACATAAATTCCAAACAGTTTGGCTGGCATCAACCAAATTTCAAAATATTTTTGCAAAAACAGCAAATTTCTAAGCAACTATAGATACAAAAGCAACGTTGCAACCCAACATTTTGAGAATTTGTGTGTGGGGTCCATTGCATATGGGCAATTAAGGAGAATATGGCATCGACAAGCTCAAATATAAACTGAATGACCAAATATCTTTTAATAATAAATTTCCTTTCAATCCCTACCACTATGCGCAAAGACCTCTCAACATCTTAACTAAATAATGGTTCAAACTTCTAAATCCGTACTTTTTTAAGTATAGGCCGGCAGTCAATTTTTGCAACTATCTAGAATGGAGTATGTAGATGAATAACTAATATGGGCCTTTATTTAAACCTCAACAGGCTGTGTACAATTTTTTTTGTAAAATGTTGAGGTATTGGAGTTTGTGGGAACTCTTTGTTTTTAAGCTCTCCTAAAATACTTGAACATAATTTTATTTTGCTTTCAAACTTCATTCATCGGAAACCAAATATGTTTCCGAAGTCAAGCTTGATGGCCGCCAAATATGGAAGACTAAAATAAGTAAACGAAGTCAGCTGACAAGCATTGTTCAATTTTGAGTTTGAAAGTGGAAAATGAATGGTAGAAGAACGTTTCAAAGTCTGAATGCAAATACAGAAATTGACTTTAAGCGACATTAAAGAACTCAAAACTCAAAACTGAATTCGCAGGCAGCAATTGTACAAGTTCCCGCGAAGATTGTTCAGTCGACATCTGGCATTTGTTGGGGGGAGTTATAAGATTGAACCATCCGCGAGTACATATCATTTTCTTATTATAATGCCTTAATTCTTGCTGAGCCTCCAAATTCCCACAAATTTGTGATACTGAGCCAGAAATGTTTTTTAATCATTCTTAAGCGACATAATGTGTAAATTTGGTAAGTAACCAGAGAAAAAGCACAAATTGTTGCTATTATCTGTCTTCATTGTGAAAAGATTTTCGGAAACACAACATACCAACTTAGAACGTGCTTGGTAATGATGAGTGCACCCTTGTGGGTGTACCTCAAACTCTTTGCGTTAAAGTCATGCTTGGCTGGCTTGTTAAAGTCTGGCTTGCTCAAAATACCCAGATAAATACATACATACGTACATGTTTTATTTGTTATAGCTTGTCAATAAGTGGCAGCGTGAAGTAGGTATGGACCTGTTGCAAATTTAATTAATGCAATAAAATTTGCATAACACTCTTTTTTTAAAAAACCAGCAAATTTAAGTTCAGGCCTCAGCATGTCTTTAATTTTTTGTTCTTAGTTTGTTCTTAAATTAATAAGGTGTACGCAGTGCGAGTGCTAGCTTTTTTCGCTCTACGGAGGTGTTCAGGCCTCATTTGCCAACAAAGTGAGTGAGACAACCTTAATTTGCCGATAAATTTGAATATGCACTTAGAAAGCACCAACACATGGCTATAATTCTCGTTTCTGAAATAAAAATATTCATTGAAGTCGCACAAGTGAGAAAAAAGGCTTCTTTAAAAACGGCTTCTTAAGTTTTTTAATTAAAACAACAATTTGCTTAGTGCCTCTATTGCCACTAACGACTTGTGAATGTCTTCATCCTTGTATTTCATAGCTGACTTTATTTTGTGACGTTCTCGTGAAGGATTCAAACGTCCATTCCCTAGAAAGCTACCATGTACAGGAATGTTAAGAGTACTTTTTAAGTAAGGAATTTGGGCAAAAAATACTTTTTAGCGATAAGCTAATTTCTCAAATACTTTTTTGGGTCAATGTGAGGAATGAAAGAAAAAATTAAGCAAAATGAAATTTATATACACATGTGGTTAGGGGCGTAGCTAGTGGGGATGAAGGGGTGTGACCCCCCCTCCCATTGTTCGTGAGTAGGTCGGTAAATTTGCAGATGGTCAACAAATTCCTTTTTTGTTGGTAAAAAGTCTCGAAAAAAGTAGATGAAATAGCACTTAAATCTTCTTCATACATGTCTTCGTCGGTAAATTCTACTAATGGCGATCCCCCACCCACTAGTCTAGAAGGTCAGGCTACGCCATTGCATACGGTCTATTTTTGCGAAGCTATATGGCCTTTTTATGATCATAACCATTATAATAATTATCTTAATCAAAATCATTATCATCACCACGAAAAATAAACTATTGCCTAAAATGAAGCAACAAAACCTCGCATCTGAAGCTGCGGTTACGAATCTGATCTGAAGCAAAACTGAAAATCGATAAGGACAAACAAAACGGATCCATTGTTTGAAGGCTTTGTGAAAAATACAAAACTTTACAGTTTTAAAATGTATCAAAACATTTGACCGGGGGTCAACCGAAGGCACAAACAGACTGAAGCGCTTCATCAGACCTCTATATCAACTGATCGAGCAAAATTAGCTCCATAGTGAGGAGAAAAATCATTTATCCTTGCTCTGGTACGGTACCTTTGTTGTTAGAATACTTTGTAATATTTAATTTAACAGTAAACACTTTTTGCGCAGCTGTTCGGGTCCCTGTTTTGCTTCCTTGCTAGTGCACTCTGAACCGGGTGTCCGGTTGTATAATTTATTAATTTTCAATATGAGTCAGTTTCCACTTTTCATTTCAGTCCAAGAATTTATGAAAGTGATAGCCACCTTGCAGCGGAGAAATTTTGATGATTCTACACGCAACCTTATGGGAACATAATTCAAATTCAACATGTTTAGGTTTTCAAGAGATGGTTCCACGTCAGATATGGTTAGCTGGAGTTCGTCTAGCGGTGAGTGTTATCTGGTTTACGCATTTACCAATTTCCAATTTTGGAGTTATAAATGCAGAAGTAAGGAAACACTTATCTTAATATACTGGACAAGGCAGGCAGTTGTCTACTTGTAAATGAAAGTTGTTTTCTTGTGTCGAAGCAAAACTGTTAACATCCCGCGCGTGACCAGCGAGAAACTTGAGACGCACAACACAGATCTGATTTATTAATTCGCCTCTCAACCCTATCTGAACAACATTAGTTGCCAATAGCAAGATGTAAGGTTCAATGCATTACTCTCTGACGAAGAGGAAATAACTTCTTCATTTGCCCTACACATTATTAAAACCGCTCTTCTAATAAGTTTTTCTCCCGTGAAATCGGAAATAGAAGCGGCCATAAAACGAAAACAGCGAACTGAATTTGAAACTGAAAATAAATAATGGAAGTTTTTATATTAACTTTTTGTATTTATTATAGTTGCTTAACAATTGTATCTAACTATATTTCTACTTGATTCCTATTCCGTTTAAAAAGGCCTTCCAAACACAAGTCTTTGTCGCTTTTGGCGAGTCACTACCGAAGGTTGTTTGAACAAATCCCGATTTCTTAAACTGCCTGGACTTGATAAATGATAATATTATAATGATAATATTTCTTTTTACATGATAAATATTTCTGCTTGCTTGATTTATTCAATGGTAAACAAGCATCTTAACTTGCTATTTGAAATGCCTCGAACAACAACCGGGCCTAACCATTGCTCACTGTTTTTTCTTCCCGTCTTCCAATTTTCATTTTCCATTTTCAATTTTCATTAGCGAGCAGTGCAAAATTTTAGTTCATGATTAGTTAGCCTAAAAACCCTTGGAGTTCTGAATTCCTTCGAAATAATATTGTGAAGTTTATTATTGTGAATTTACTGTGAATTTACTGATTTCAAGCAAAATTTGGAATTGCTGAACTTTGCGGTTTTTGGCAGTCTTACCTGCCATCGACCACGTTTGCTCACCTCTGGTCACGGGGCTTCGTTCATTTGTTGTGGAGGATGACTTGCACAATTTAAATTATCAATGATAACATATTATTTTCGTTCTGGCCTTCAAAGATAGTCAAAAAACGTAACTTTAACTTAAAATATATGTCCTTGCGTTCGATATCGCTTTTTTCTGTGTAGACTTCTAAAATTCTAAGTAGAAGCTAATACAGTGGAACTCTGAAGGGAACCAGAAAATACATAGTTCGTTATATCGGGAGTTCGTTAAACCAAGAGATAATGTTTTTTGGGTCCTTTTGCAGTTCACCCCTAAAAAACCTCCGGTGGGCTTGTTTAGGCCAGGGTCGGACTGGCTCAAAATTTAGGGCCCGGGCAAATTCGTCGAGAAAGGGGCCCCGAAATTCAAATTAAGTTTACGGGTATCTTTTGTGACAACATTTTTAAGGCTGGCTTAAAAGGCTGTTGGGATGTTGCTATTAGTTTTCATTAGTTACCACCACATAACTTAAGAAACTCCAGATTCAACACAGCAGAGCCACGTTGAAAAATATATGAATTAATCAAAACACTCAAAGGGCCATTCCAACCCAAAACTTTTATTTCATAACACGATGCAATCAGACTTCCTGAAAACGAATATGTTATTTTTTCTTTCACATCTCTAACCGTTTTGTAGTTATAAGCGTAAATCCCATGTTTTATCTTTGGGGTTGTGAAGAATTTTGCCCTGTGAAACTGGATATTGATTTGGCTAAATTTGAATCATGATAGATAGCCAGAACTCCAACATTGAAGAGGGAACATGGTAGAATAGAAAGAAAAAATGGTTCAGGAGACCATCCCCTGAAGAATTTTACACCTCTGGACCTTGGACAAGGGTCTAGTGCACAGGTCATGAGCAGTGGTTTAGTGCTAGGGGGCTCGGGCCCCCTTGATGAGTTGCAAATTTCTACTTTTGGTATTGTTTTATGCAATTTTTTGCTTGAGGCCAAATTGTATTTTTCATACTATCACACCTCTGGCCATTAAGTGGGCAGTTCACGAGTCTTGCTGTTAGAAATCTTTCATTTAGAGGGGAAAATCCTCACAATCCTAGCAAACTGCATGCCTTTAAGAATAGGGGGTTCAAAACACACCTTCCCTAAACCCCCTCCAAACCTCTACACCCTGTAGTTTCCCCAAATGATCAAAATGGTAAAATAATAAGGATGAATTGTGGCTTACAGGAAAGATCCCATCTTATGAATGAACAATTAGCTATCCTCTTTCCAATTTCGTAAGCTTGGGGTTCTACACGAATCGTCTCTACCGAGCCTATACCGAGCCGTGCGAATTTCACAACGAATGTATAACAATAGCGCCGAATGTTGAAACAATGGTCCCTTCACATGTCACAAAGTACTTTTTCCGAAAAAAACTTTGTCGTATTTTTACGGTGATTCTCAACTTAAGAATAGAATAATATATATAGATTTTATATATATAGTGAGTCTGGTACCCAGGGTAGATTTTAGGAAGCACTTTCTTTTGCGCTTCTTCTATGATGTTTCTCTAAATCATCAACATTGTTTTAGGGGGAAGGGGGCGAAGTATTATTTTTTTTGGGAAAAGAATGAAAGATATCAAATGCAGCGTAAATTGCTGGGTGTTCCAAGTATTTTTGCCAGGCATTGTAGGCATTGGCGTAAAAGATTAACATGGGGGTTCTACAATCCTTTACTTGGGTCCGCGTCATTTTCACTGTATTGCCTAGGATTTTATTGTGATGTAGGCTAAGAGGAAAGAGAAAATCATGCCATTGTGGGGGGGGGTTCGTTTTCTAGCTAAATGGCTTTTAAGAGGGAGAAGAATGTAGAAAGAAGATTTAACAGCAGGTTGTGGTCGAAAATTTATTCTTTCTATAGCGTATGAATTTCTAGGGTTAAATCTGAGTGAATTAAGCGTTGCTGTAATACTTCTACCACTAAACTTTTGATTGGTGGATGGCTGAACCCCTCAAACATAAAAGTCCGCAATGAAATAGTATCTTCCCACAGAGCAAATCATGGGCCTAATGGAATGTCTCAGTTATCCAAGTAAGTCTTGACAGGTAATTTTCAAGTCAAAGCATAATGGGGGTTGAGCAGCCAGGCTAATTGACTGGTTGAGCAGCAGGCATTATGAAAACATCAGTAGCTTAGGCAGGGCTGGCGAAACGTTACTGGAAGGTGGTAGGGGGGGGGGGAGGATAGGATGGCAAAGTATTTAGATTGTTCCGGGGTTTACTGAAGGTCACCACGATGGTTAGGAATTTTGGTCGAATTCAAGAAAATGTTTGGAAATAGTCATTATAGGGATTGGCAGAAAATGCATCTAAGATATTAACAACATCGAGTTTGACCACAGGAGGATCGTGGGAATGCCTGTTAGCTTTCGCTTACAATTATTCTCATGGTTCAAAGTGCTTTGATTTTGACATAACAAAGGGAAAGAAGTTGAATTGGTTTATAACAAACTTTCAAGCGTCAGAAAAGAAAAAAGTTTAACAACGAGGAATAAGTTGGAAAAGGCGCCATCGATGCGAATGTGGCGAGTCAGAGTCATAGCAGATGACTATGACTCTATGATAAAGTGGACTGAAACAAAACAAGGCTGGGAAAAAATAGAAGGATATAGAAAAAGGCTTGAAGCACAACTAAAATAAGCAACGTCTATAAAATGTTCTGCGAAGATTTCCTTCTCAAATGTAGAAAAGGCTACAGTTTTAGCTTTCTCTTCCTTGCACCCTTATTTGTGGCTAAAGATGACAGTTTTTGACCGGTGAAATGTGTTCGCGTAAAGCCAATCTCCTTAAACTTTTCAATTAATTCTATGAAATGACGTCGTTTAGCGACAAGCGCAACATTTCCGACACACATAATTTTAAGCAAATTTCTAAAAGCAACAGGTAAAAAGCACTGTCTTGTCTAGAAGAAAGTAACTAAATGTTCTCAGTATGAAATCTTCAAAAGTAGTGAGTCATACCAGTCTTTGTTTAGATGTCTAGAATCTCTAGAATCAGAATCGAATTACAATTGAAATAGAAAATAGGGTCTTGCAAGGCCGCAGGCAATTTAAATGCGATTAAAACTAAATGCGTTACAATCTTATAAGTAATGAAATTAAAGTCAAAGCAAATGAGAGCGTGTCTAGTACCATAATATTTATTCTTAACGGGACTGCATCAGTCCTTCCTGGAACATTTTCAGAATGGGTGTTTTGTTTTGATCAAGCATCTCTAACTAAAGTCGTGAAAAAAGTGGTTTTAAAGTTGATGTTAGAATTCTGCAGTATTCGAGAGGCTGTTTCATACCACTCATTCATACCACTCATTCATACCACTCATCCATATAGGGAGGTGCATCATCATGTGGGGCTTTGAAAACCATTTTACACGTTTCAGAATCAATACAGTCTTTATAGGAAGGCCCAGCCAACCAACAGAGCTCAGAGAGCAACTAGAAGCCAGGGAACTGTTTTTTATGTACAGCATAATGTACAATGTACCCAGAGCCGCGGAAAGGATTTATGGGCCCCGGGTCAGGACGAAAGATAAATGGTGAAACTTGTCTAAGGCATATGTTTCTAGGGGCATGGGGAATGCCCCAGGAATTTTTGAAAACAACGGTTGCTTAAACTGCCATGGTGGCTATTTTGATTGCTAAAGTTGCTATGGTGACTAAACTGCTCTGGTGGCAGTGGCGTAGATAGAAGGGGGTCAGAGGGGGCAAAAACCCCCTGTAGAGCTAAACTGCTATTTTGTCGGAGATTTAACATGGTTGTCTATGTTTCTTCAATTACTATGTTTTGATAGGAAAGAATTTAAAGTTGAATAAACATATGAATATCTGAATATATCAAAACATTTATTTATTTCTGTGTATTTATTTCAAAACATTTATAAATTTATGAAAATAGTATTAATGCTTGTTAAATTTTTGTCAAAAAGTCTAAGTTTCTTACCCCTCTTATGAATTTTCCTATCTAGGCCATTGTCTGATGGCTTCTACTTTGTTTCTATTTTATATAATTTAAGCATAACTGATATTTAAACACCATAATGCATAAAAATGAAAATTTCTTAGAAATTTTAACCTCTTAAAAAATGGAAAATGATTAATTTGTTAACTAATTTATCACAACCGACACACTGTTGCAAATGGATGCGGATGCAATAGTGTAAATCTGTATAGCATGCATGTTGCTGTAGGTTACCTGTTGCAATCACATTTTTGGGAACATTCAGAAGCTTTTCAACTTCTCTAGCCCAAGCTCACAAAGATGAGAAATTATTAACAAAAATATTTTCAACACTCAGGTAAAGAAAGACTCAAACTGCTTCTACCTTATTTCATTCAGAGACTTTTGCATTATTGTCTCTATTAATGAAAGTTTGTTGTAATGGAGAGGCTGGATTATTACTTAATTTTTTTTTAAATTGAGTCATTATTTAAGGGCCCCTATAGCCAAGGGCCCCCGGGTCAGTGACCCTCCTGACCCCCCCTCTCCTCAGCACTGAATATACCAATTCATTTTACGGCCTCGCTGGGAAATTACTCCAAACCTCATTATACGATTTTTGTCACAAGTCAGGGCCGTAAATCCCGGGGGGACGGGGGGGACTGGACCCCCAAAAAATCTGGAGCAAAACGATTTTTTTGGAGAAATTACCATCATTTTCCTTGAAAGAAAGAAATCCCTGGTAGCCGGGTTAGAACCAAACTACGTTTTTCTGTGTTTTTGCAACAAACCTCAGCCACTAAGGTTATTTTTGTAAGCAGAGTGGTTTTTAGAATTTTTACAAGATAGAAACTTACCGTTTTCTACCGTTTTTTCCCGTTTTCTACCGTTTTATTTTTGAAAACAAAGTATGAAATAAAAAGAGAGCAATCTGTCATTTTATTTGACCTATTTACTAACTTATTTACGTACATTTCTATTATTTGTCTATTATTTGCTTTTATTTAGTGAATCACTTTTTGTATCATTAAAATGTATTCATTTTTTATGTGTAAAGATGGCCTACTGAAAGCGCTCAAAATAAGAAGACGCACATTTCTGTTCAGAAAGTAAATTTCTACCAATCAATACAACAGCGTCCCATATTTCCCCAAAGTCTGTCACTAAGGTTTAAGCACGACTCTTCCCCTCCACAATTTCACCCAATAAACAATAATCTGTGTTCTTCTGAGAAACGCCGAACTTTTTATCCTGAGCGATTCCAGGGGCGGCTGGGAGTAGAAAAGTATTGGTATTAGCCTCCGAAATTAAGACATAAGAAGGTCCCTCCGCAAGGTCCTGAAACTATTTAACAGGGGTGGAGCTTATATGTTCTTATTTAAGAAGGTGGGCAAAATGACCTTTTCGATATGATGGTTTAAAATAGCTTTTGGCAATACCATATCTTACAAAATTATTTGAAGGCACTGGCCCCCGTTGTCTCCCCCAGACACTGATGACCCTGTGGTAATGTAGTTCATCCTACTAGTTTTGGGTGAAGGATCGGTCCTACGAAATACAAATGAATTATGGCTGCGGCAAATTACTCGAGCGAAATCGTGTTTTGATACAGCGGTTTGCTGCCCAGTAATGAAGCCCCAAGGTATTAGCCCATTAATTCTAATACCATGAGGCTTTTGGCCCGCGAATGAGATTCTATTACGATAAAGCGAGCGATTTACTTTAGAGTAATGCAGCAAAAAAACGTAAGATGTATCATTTGATTTGAGAAACCGAGAGAAATAATGTGAGAATGTTGCCTATGACTCTACAATCATATAGAATCGAAGTTTTACAAAACATACAGTTCATACAAAACAACTTTTACAACTGCCTTTAGCTTAAACAAATTATTTCATGACTGTTGCTCTTTATATTCAGTGTCTAAATTTTGTCAATCAAATTATCCATCCAAAGGCATTGCTAGCAAAAGTACAGCTACATTTTGTAAATTCATAAAGTTAATTTCCAGAAATATTTTTTCTATAAGCTGAGGCCTTAGAATAGAGCTGGGGCTCTTTCCACCGTCCCTTCCACTGACAGTGGCCCTCGTAGTATTAGAAATGAAAAACTAATACCTTACTGCTGTTCACCCATTCTTCGACCATGGCTCAACAAGAGAAATTCACGTCATGCAGACCACAACAGACAAAAGAAATTTCGGGGCAGTGTATTAGTTTTTGGAGGCTAATACCATGGCCAGGGCTGCTGATTACGGCATGGATTACACTTTTCAAAGATTTCAATGAGGATTTGGAAAGCTTTCATTCAACGAACAGAAAAGCGAATATTGCTTGGCTATATGAATAGAGCTGGTCGCATCGATAAAATTGTTGTGAAAAAGTGGCAGCGTACAAAAAGCAAAATAAATTTCCTGCAATCTCAGAGACCCAAAGTCGCCTTCCTTTGAAAATAAAATGGTATTAGACTAATACCTTTAATACCACCCCACGCCGCCCCTGAGCGATTCTAGTATTTTATTAAATTTAGTCTGGGGGATGCTTTTTTAGCCTTTCTAGAAGGTAAAATTTCAAAAATTTTCTTCTTGTCGGACCCAACCATGGTGGGTCCTCCTGCGACAGTAAACTTGATTCTTAGCACCCAAGGCTCAATTTCTTGGGGCCGTCTCTGAAAAATGTTTTCCATCCAATTATCAACACAAGTCAATGTACTAAGGAATATCTATAAATACCTTCTATAGAGCAGAAAGTCTTGAGAAGTCCAAAAATATTGACTTTTGTTTTTAAAGTAATTTGCCCCTAAACTGTTTCCATAACACACCCTTGTGGTGCCATGCCCACTGCATACTTTATATTCATTTGCTCTGCTGACCCCCCCCAATTCACATGACAGATTTACGGCCCTGTCACAAGTTAGGATTTACTGCCATTCTCTTGTTCCGATAGATATTTCTCATCATATCACTTTTGCTGCACACCCCAAGCCATCTCGAAAAATTAAAAAATCGAGAGCGATCGATCGAAAAACATTTGAGAGATAAAAATGCTAAAAACCTACAAAAGACAACTTTTGTGTAGTTTCAAGTATATTTTTGACTTAATTTTTGGTTAAGCCGCTTCAGTCACCCCTGCCTCCGTGACCCCTGCGGCAATACACCGTCTCTGATTATGTCATTAAAAGTAAAAACCTTTTCTGTTTACAAGAGTGAATCAGCCGACATAACAATGTAATCATCTCAAGTATCATCAACAAGCCTACTGAACCTTCCGGGGCCTTCTTCCAAACAATGGGTAGTGGCCCCAGCTGCAATGACATCTCTTGCAATGAGGTTCAACGAACACCTAAACTGCAATAAAAGATAGGAAAAAATCTGTCAAATATCTCATTTTCCTGTTTTTTTATTGGCTGTATCCACAATACATGCTTGCACAAACATACTTGTAACACACCTTGTTGAAGAAAGGAACCAGTTTTTCTAAAATAACCCTTTTGAGCCTCAGCAATATTGAGTTTGCAAGCTGAGTTTAAAAATTTGCTTTCTATCTTGTTATCGTACATTTTCAATCGAAGCATCAAAGAATTAATGAAAAAATCAACAAGGTTTGGGTCCTTTTTAAGCTTTCGGTGCGCTGCGGAGGCGAGATGACAAGCGTTGCGTTGCGGGGCCTGATGACGCTGCGCTGGATTTTGTCACGCGGCGTTTCTGAAGTTATGTAAGTTTGCTTTCACCTTCAACGAAAAGAGGATTCCCCTTTGCTGTGTGGGATTCATTTCTTACATAAGAAGAAGGAAAGACACGTGAACAATACAGAACTGTATATACATCCATTCGAGATTGAGTGTGGACAGTTGAGATCAACCTTCCTGTTGTTACTGCCCCGATCCAGATCAGTCGAATAAACACAAATTGCGAAGATGCCTCCTGCAAGAGGTGGAACCTCGGATTTCACGGCAGATTCGATTGGTAAGGTCCATTTTATTTTTATTCCCTTTTGATATTTGCTAACACAACAACCTATGAATTTTTTCAGTTTTTCTGATCTCAAGAAACGATAACAGGTTGCTCTTAGTGAATACGAAGAGAAGAAAACCTTTGAAGGACCGTAAGATGACTACTCTTCCTTGGATCACATCGCCAATATTAGCAAAGTGTTCTAACTGGGTGCCAAATATTGGAATATAAAGGAGATTTTAGGCTTCTCGTTCATGCAACTTCGACAACTCTCATTTTTGCCTTCAAATAACTACAATTGACTTGTCTGCAAAGGGAATATCAAAACAAAATAATTCCAATATTATTGGCATTGAATTTGGTTGAAATTTGTAGAGCATTATTTTGAAAAAAATTGTAAGATGGGTCATTTGGCGCTAGGAGAATAATTAGCAACCTATTTTGAGGGAGCAAAGTTTTTTAGCGGGGATTACCTAGTTTTCACAGTCTTAGCTTACTTGATGAAAATTTTGCCACATAAGTCCCTTCCTAAATGCAATTCTTTGTTTTCATCCGTCCCGAAAGTTCCTGTTGTATCGGCCATTGATTCTGTGCGTTTGTTGTTGTAAGTGTTGCCGACGGAGGAGCAGCATTTACGTCATGGCTTGTTGTTGATTCCCGTTGACAAGTAACGGCCTACACGAAGGTTCGGTTTCGGAATGATTCTTTTAAAGTTCACAGATAATTAAAACCAGACTGTCACTAATGAAAGCCAGTTAACCTTCTTCGTGTTAGTTGCGGGGAGGCTCGTACTTGGAGGCAGTCAAGTATAACGGAAGATATCGAGTTGCAGCTTCTTATCTTCTTATCTATACGACACCGTTCCACTTCACCAGCCATTTTGAAATCTCTTTGAGTAAGTTGATAACTGTTGGTACGTCTGCAGTACGTTCTGCGTAAGCACTACCTTGTATCTTCCATGGAAAACAACACAGCAATATCATGGACAGAATTTCGCTGACCTCTTATGGATTCAATACAAATTAGTCGTGATGAATTGCAAGGACTGAGATCCAATTGAGAATTAAATGCTGCAGCACTAAGGCTATAATTGAAAGAATATTAAAGGTATAATTAAACAGAGAGTTATGTGATTTATTGAAAGTTTTTTTTGTTTGCTTTCAGAAGAATTTGCATTCAAGCCATCAGCTGTATTTGACGATGATGAGGATGATGATTGTGTGTTCTCAGAAAATACAGATCTAATGGATCTTGATGAGTTTCTTTCAGTCCATGAAGGGAGAGCTGCTGAAGATGAGAAGGGTCTGTCTGGGGGCAGACATACAAGTGACTTGCTATCAGACCTTTTGCAGACTGTCCACAAGAATCTTGGCATCCCCCGAGGAAGCCAGCCTTCTGCTTTTAAAATACCTGGAGATGGCTTCAAAGGAAACTCAAATAATGGTTCTAGCAAAGAGAAAGGTGATAGATACCCTCTTTCGGATCATGAGTATGTAAATAAAGAGTGCAAAGTTGAAGTTGAGAGTGATGAAGAGGAGAACCATGAAGATGAGATTGAGGATACAAGAAAGGAAGTTGCCAGACAGGGAAAATCAAAAAGAAGGAAGTCCCATACATACAGATACAATCCTAAACCTGTGCAGAAAAAGAGTTGCAGAAACTTTGTTCCAGATTCATTGAAAGACATTGACTATTGGGAAAAAAGAAAGCGGAATAATTTAGCTGCAAAGAAGTCACGAGAGGATAGAAGGAGAAAAGAACTTGAGGTGTTAAACAAGATGGCCAATCTTGAACAGCAAAATGCCGATTTGATGGATCAAGTTAAATCGCTAGAGGAAAAGAATAAAATACTTTTGAAGAAATTGAAGGATGCAACAAGTACCAAGGTTTGAAGGAAATGGCATATTTTAAGATATGCATGTACCTGTGTGTTCACAGTTCCCTAAGCAGGTTTTTGTCTGTTCCAGAATTCAGTGACAGGAAGCCAAACTTGGGACCAAAACTGTGCTCATCAACAAAGTTTTGGAAACATGATAATTGGCCAATTGGCTAACCCAAATCTATGTCAAGCCAACATAGGATGCCTACTTGCTGTATTCTTGTTTCTGTTTATACACTGGAGGACAATTGAAAGTAGAAACTTGTAGAATCAACAGTGAAAACTGTAAATATTTTCGTTTTTCAACATGTTATTGTTCATAAGCAAATCAGTTTCCAGATGTATTGTAATATAACGTGATGCTGCCTTAGTTTATCAACATGTTTTCCCAACCTAAAACTCAAGTAAAAAAACCATCCATAAAGTTATTGGTGCTCATAATGTCTTGGTTTGATTTAACAAATATGTAAGCCAATCTGTTGTCCTTCTCAGGGTGAGCCAGATTGAGAAGCTTTGTCATAAACAAGATGCTTAACAATGTTCAGTAGAAACAACTTTGTAATAATGATTAATAAACAACCTGAATGCAACAATTTCCAAGGATCTTCATTTACCCGATATCAATTCAATGTCTTGTGTGTAGTGTGTGTTAAACAACCCTCAAGTCATTTCTAATTCTCTTACCCACAGTAGAAAATTATGTTTCTGAGCTCTCCTATACAAACTCTTTCTGTAAGATACTTAGCACTTGCATGTTGTAGTTATCTCATTAGTTTTGCCCAATTATAACAAAATCGGTATTTTTCTAAAGGTTTTTTTGTTTAGAATTGGTGTTTTTGTAAATTGTGTGTGTTGGTTTTGTTACTTTGTTATGTTGATGTGGGTAATATTAAAAGTGTAAAGTGAAATGTAAGTAAGGTCTAGGACCATGGAAGCAAAGACAATGAATTGTCGAGAAGAACACAAAATGTTTTATTTTTCTTCTTTCTCATTAATCTTTAAGCAGTAAAGGGTGTTTATTGTCTTTTCTTAAACAGGGGAAACAAGCCAAATGAATCACAGATCCAAACTAGGTTTCATTGAATAACAGGGTCCAGTTTTCTTTGTCTTCATTTTTTAACGCCACAGCCTTGGAAACAAAAAGCTTTTTCACAACTTGTTCTCTATAAGGAAGAATAGAAGCCAATTTTGGGATTGAGGCAAAAAGTGGAATTACACAAGAATTGGTTAATAAGGATTAGAGAAATTTTGCAAATAATTTTGATCTTGCTGGGTTTTCTATGTGCAGTTAGTGACCAATTGTGAAATTATAAATCCTGATTGTGTGTTGATTGACAATTCTTATAATGAAGTAAATCTAAGACTTTGTAAAGAAATAAATCTAATACTGTGATCTTGTTGTGAAGAGAATAACAATGCCATGATTGAAGCACCAGTCAGAAATGCACCAAGCACCAAGCAATTGTCATCGTAATCTTATAATTTCCCCTTTAATTCAACCACTTCCATCCCTTTCTCCTTAGAGGAATGATACAAGTCACATAAAAATGTACTTCCGAATCTTATTATTTCTTTTATTGTAAACCATCCAGGAGGAGTGGAGGTGGCTGAAATTGTTCTTCTTGACAGACTTCAGAGTTCACTGGCCCTGTACTAGTAGTAAAGTTTTCGACCTGTAAAAGTGCACAAGAACGAAGCGTCAACCTACATGTAAAACGATCTTTGTCTGCGAATGCCTGTATAAATCTTTTAGCATCTAGATATTTCACTTTATAAAGCAAAAACATTAAGGTACATTTATCAAAAATCTTTTTAATGCCATTCACAGCAATAATCATCAGGTTTCCGCAATATATAGCACTTGAAATGATGTAAAATGTTTGCTTTTTTCAAAGCTATTTTCAAATGCTATATCGCAAAAATTGTTCATATTTTCATCAAATAAAAACAACACAAGTATGTACGGGATATCCATTGTTGCTTTGCTGTACATATTGCTAAGTCATTACTTCGGTGCCGTTTTAGCATGTGTTGCACAAATGACATTTTTTCATAATTAAAACTTTCCAAAACCCATAAGAATTGAAGGAGGCTCTCCTGAAATTAGCTGCAATGCGTACAGTCATATAAAAGAGCCAATATTGCTGAGCATACTTACCCACAGGGTGTCCTTGAATGCGTTACGTTAACATTCATAGAACACGTTTACTCCTTTTTGATCACACGCACCGTTTATTCAAGTTGCTAACTGGCGAAGTTTGTGAATTGTAAAATGTCAAGGAACCTCGCTCGGGCTACATTCCAGGAAACGATTATCTGATTTGGAGTTAAATTTCAATTTAAACAATTTGGTGTAAATAATCTAAGGAAAACTAGGCCACCAAAAAATTAATACTTCTCCTGTCTTGCTATTTCTATTTCCAAACAACAATAATGTCCCCGTAATGGAACATTGTCTAACTTCATAAGGCAACATTACTGAGAATGTAATGTCGGTCGCATTGGAGAACATCAAGCGTTTGCTTTGCCTAATTATTTTGCGTGTATTCACTATAAAAGGTTATTATAATCATTCGGAATTAGTAATGAAGAGGCTATATAAAATGTCTATCGTCTTTTCAGATGCCCCGTCTCCAGATGCCGACTGCATCAGCACTGGCACGGCCAGTGAAACCTCAAGAGACATGATGGACTTAGACGAGTTTCTCGTTACGCACGCAGGTAGAACTTCACAAGAGCAGAGCCACTCGACGAATGACCAACTGCATTCATCCGGGGATCGGCTCACCGACCTGTTAAACTCAATTCAACGGAGGCAGGCTGAGCAGTTGACTTGCGACTCGTGGTCTCCGAGTGAGTTTTTCGACGGCAGAAACATTTATCGCCAGCGGCGAAAACCAAGGACGTATAAGTACAACCCGAAGCCGGTAATACAAAAAGGAAATCGAAGTTTTGTGCCAGAAACATTGAAAGACGAAGAATACTGGGAGCGACGGCAAAGAAACAATTTAGCTGCAAAGAAGTCGCGCGAAGATCGAAGGAGAAAAGAGCTAGAAGTACTTGATAAGCTGGCATCTCTTGAGAAATCAAACAATGAACTTTCGTCGAAGGTCTCTGAACTTGAAAAGCGAAATCAATATCTAGAAGAGCGTTTAAGGCAATTCGAAAGTGGCGACGGTGCAACTGACCAGTGGGGAGACATCATCGTTGTTGACCAGCCTTGACGTGTAGACATGAACAATTTTAGCATCAACTCGGACAATCTTTGTGCGTTGAAAACGTGCATATGGAGACAAATTCTGACTTCAGCTGCATACTTTATCGTCATTGTCATCATTAATACAAATGAAAAGCATAAGGTATGCTTAGGTGTTATGGTTAACTTTGAGCAAATTGTTTACAATTCCTCTAACCGAACGCCGTACTAACTGCAATAGACAGCATGCGCTAACACTTGTCATGCAAGGAGATTTTGCCTTAACTCTTTCTTCCCAAACTTTTTACATATTGAAATTTCAAGCCACTGGGGGGTAAATGTCACTTTTTATGATAGGTAATTAATTCACTGTTGTTGTGATGCTCTCAGGCTTAAAGCTAGACCGTCCGAAAACCCACTGGTATTTTGAAGTTCTTGCTGAAAGTCCTCATTTAGCCATAATGCTCACACAGCCAATGTCGTTTTTGTCTTCCTGATAATTTAATGTAAAAAAATGTATAAAATTCAAGACAAAGTTTGCAGTAATGTCCTCTGCAAAAACAAACCCACTTAAGCAAGGAAGAAAACCTACACATGATTTTTGTTTCTTTTTCTTTCTTTCCTTGTTTTTACTTCTCTTTATCTTGCTTTTTTATCATCTCCTTGTATTACTATGTATAAGGATAACTCATTGTAAATTACTTGTAACATAATTTGATTCAGGTCATCCTGTTTAAATGTTGTAGTGTGTAAAGTTGCTAAACTGGAATTTGTATATAGAAGTAGGAATAAAGCAGTTGTTGGTATGAGTAATGAACCAGGCTCAAGCTTTGCTTTGTAAATAATGTCGTATCAAATGTAATTGAATCTGCCTTGAGTTTACTTCAGTATTTTCTTCGAACGTTGCAGCAAATGACGATTGTTATTGATAAAAGACTACTATCAACACACTGTTGCTCCCCTGTGCCCAGTGGCGTACCTTGACCTTCCAGACTGAGGGGATGGAGGGTCAACAAAAAAAGAATTAACCTACCAACATATAGATGAAGGAAATTTCAAGTGCTATTTCACCTACCAATAGGCGACAAACCAAGGGTTTTGTGGACCAGACCAACTCGGTGTGTCACGCCCCTATATCCCCCCGATAGCTATGCCCCTGTCTGTACCCTTCCTAGCTTTAGAGTCCTCTCTATATCGTAAATTGAATACCACTTGCAGTTGCATTAAAGGCAGTCTGTCACTTTCGTGATTGGCTAATTCTAACTTGAAAGCCTCGCCTGAAAAGAGGGTCTTCCTCTCGCTTTTTAGTATCCGACACTAGTTATTGTGGGTGAAAATGACAAAAAATGCCTTATCTTTATACCATCAAAATTGGCTCAGATGTTTACCATCGAATCGAAATTCATAGCAACTCCTCGCTCAGGGAAATTACGCTATTGTGGTTCATCATTCTGAACAGCTGTGCGAATACTGTTATTAATGCGCATGTGCTATGACCCCGCTCTTTGGTTTAAGACGGTACTGTTTCGAAACAAAAGACTGATATTTTCGTCTCCCGAACAATTATTTTAATTCTAACTATTCTAAGCAGTAAGCCACAAGGAATGTTTGATTTTCGTATATGACTTCGTATCAGTATCCTTCGCAAGGGTCATACTAAAACTCAAATTTTGACTGCGAAAAACAGTTGGCTCTCTGGCGATTTTAACAAACAGCATGTTTGCTTTTAAACTTGTTTCACTGAACATCAAACTCAAAGTTTCACTTAATATCAAACATATCTTACAGCTATTTTGTATGCACATTCAGATAGACAGGAAATCGTGGGCATATGTGCAAATTAAGAGTTTTTTCAATTTGAGTCGTTTCTTGACATCATAAAAGTTTTCAAATGTCTTGCAAGATTGAGACCAATTGCTCTTAATAAAGGAGTGGCGACTACGGGCCGATTTGTGTTTTCTCTTGACAAGAATGATATTGCAGTTCCTGCTTCTCGACAGATTCAAACTTTTTTGGTGATGTATTTCATTCCTTGATGGTGTGTCCAGCGAGTTCAGATAGAAGATGATTTTTATCAATTGAACTGTCCATATACTGTCTAAGGTTCTTAGCCAACAACGTTAGGTTTTGGAAACATACTTCACAGCACATTGTTGAAACCTTAAGTTGCATTTTGATTAAAAATTTTAAGCATCGTTTCAGAAGCATTTCATCTTTCAGTTTGTCTTAAAAAGGTATGATGTGAACAGCTATTACTTTTGAAAAAGAATTTGTATGCTTATAATTTGTGGACCTTATACGTATATGTACCAATATTGGATCAATTCAATCTTTTATAGCAAAAAGCATAGCATAAATGCATACTTTGCCAAAGTATGTCATTACAGTTTGTCACTCTCATGTGAGCCCCCTACTGCATTTCAGTCGCCCAGCTTCTTATTCCCAGTTTTGGTCTCAGCTCTCTTAAATTTGTGTTCACATATTTCTGTACATGTCAAGCATATTCGTGTACTGCCTTTTTGACAGCACCACATTATGGCTTTCCACTTGAATTGATGTTAAGATTTCCAACACAACTGATGATTCTAAATGTTGATTCTTAACTGATATTTCAAATTCTCTCTGGACTCCTGTAACCTCAATTGCTGGTGAAGAGATATCATGATTTTTCGTACGAATGTGGTTTACAAGCAACATGTCTTTCGCTCTCCTTCTCTCTCCTGTTGTAGCTTCAGTTAATTAATCTCCAAACAGCCCCTACAATGTCGCTTGAGATTTTCATATCTGATCATAAACTGATACATATCTGAGGCAAAAATGCCACAGTTACATTACATCAGTGGATAGAGAAGTCTTGCGGTTGGTTTGGCTTTTGGAATGTTACATAACACATAAAAAACAAATGACGGAAGGTAAAATATTATGGGATGAAAAGAGTTTTTATTCAAGCTAACAGCTGTAATTGACGATGATGAGAAGGATTGAGTGAATTTTCACAGAAAACTCAGATCTAATGGATCTTGACGAGTTTCTTTCTGTTCACGAAGAGAAATCCTCTGAGGGTGTAAGGGGTCTGCCAGGGGGCAGACACACAAGTTACTTGCTATCAGACCTTTTGCAGACTGTACACAAGAATCTTGGCATCCCCCGAGGAAGAAAGCCATCTGCTTTTAAAATTGCCGGGGACAGCCCCAAAGGAAACTCAACTAATGGTTTTGGCAAAGAGAAAGATGATAGGACCTCTCTTGATGTAACTGAAGAGTGCAAACCAGAAGCTGAGGGCGATAAAGGAGAGCACAATGAAAATGAGTTCGAAGAAACAAATGAGGAGGCTGGTAGAAAAAGTAAATCAAAAAGGAGGAAGCCCCATACATACAGATACAATCCTAAACCTGTGCAGAAAAAGAGTTGCAGAAACTTTGTTCCAGATTCATTGAAAGACATTGACTATTGGGAAAAAAGAAAGCGGAATAATTTAGCTGCAAAGAGGTCACGAGAGGACAGAAGGAGAAAAGAACTTGAGGTGTTAAACAAGATGGCCAATCTTGAACAGCAAAATGCCGATTTGATGGCTCAAGTTAAATCGCTAGAGGAAAAGAATAAAATACTTTTGAAGAAATTGAGGGAGCAGCAAAAACTGAGTTATGAAGTGAATTTAAATAATATATAGGGGCATATGATGCAGATTACCCTCGTTTAATTCAAACAACGAATACAAAGATTAAATCGCACACATGAAATATTGGTAGAGGATTTAAAGCTGTGCATACTATCAAAAGGCGTAGAGTCGGAATTTCATTGAAGACCACGTCCAGGCTTTATCAGTCCTTTCAAAATAGAAATAATAAGAGCTTTATAAGAAAAGAGGGGAATTGGGTTCTGTGATAAAAACCAGTTTCTCTAGGTACGTTGTTTTGGTCACCTAAGTTAAATTGGTTTTACAGTTTGACGAGAAATGAATCTTGTAATCTTTGTTCATTTTCATTTTTGAACACCGATTAAATTTTGTTTCAATTGAGACTTAGAGGCAATTTTCTAATAAAATGGTTATTTTGGTTGATAGATAATTTTCTCAAATACTATGTTAAATATGAAAATATAGTCATAACAGTTCTTTGTATTAAGAGTTCTTTTCGATAAAGGAAATCTCTTTATAGTGGTTCAGTGTTCCTTTCAGTCACAAATTTCAGCGATAACTTCAGAAAAAACTTATCGCTGAAGTACCTGTCAGAGAGAGGGGGGAAGGGAGGGAAGGGGACACTTGCCTTCGGGTAAAACCAACAACTCTCTTCAGCCCAAGCCCCCAATGTTGTCACGGAGCGGCTAAATCGCCAAGTAATGCGAAGTAAATGAATAAAAACGCAGTAAAATGTGATTTAATTGTTTTTCACACTAGGAATCCGAGAAGTGGCTACATATTATCAAGATTCATTTGTCGCTAAAAGACTGTTAAAGCAAACTACACACTACATAAAAACAGTCGAATCAACAAAAAGGAAATACAAAAATTATGATACACATCTCAGGCAAAGATTATATCAGTTATATTACATCAGTGTGTCGAGAAAAGTCTTGCGGTTGGATTGGCTTTTGCGTTGTTACATAACACATACATAACATATGAGAAACAAAATATTATTCTTAAAATTGTGCAAGTTAGGCTTGTGACCAGGATAGATTCTTTGACGCTGCGCAGGAGGCTCTTAAAAGAAACGATTTGATAGGAGATCTGTACTGCAGAAACCACTACAGCCGGTTCACCAAAGAAAAAATCCGGATAAATTAAGATGATTTGGTAACTAAGTATCGCAGATGGCTTAACTTCGCAGGAATGTTTTCCATGAATTCGCAAACTCGCAATATCTTATTGAGATTAGAAAATAAGATGTGCCACTTCAAGAGTTCTTTATAAATCACTAGGTTATTACGTAAGGCAACTTTGTTGTTCTGGAAGGAACTCGCAGATGCGAAAAACAAAAGGACTAATTTTCTGTCCAAATTTACAAGGAAATCAACACTTGGCAATTTATGAATTTTTGTGATGTTTTCCTTCTGTTTTCCACCAATATTTTGCAGTCGATTGAAAGAGAGATATCGAAATTTGTGGTTCGAAAAAACAACAAACCAAAAACAATTATCATCAACTTAAAAAAATCCCCGCTGTCGTTGGGTTTCTGCTTGCCTTCAACTATTTACATATTAAAAAAATACCGAACTATGAGACGAATAACGAGCTGTGAATGGCTGCGTGCAAAAAGATTTGCACAATAATGCCCAATCATCCGTTGTGATTTTCATTGATCACAGAAGCGAAAATTTCGTTCAACAGTTCATAAAACGTGGATCTTTAAGATATGCATACAGACATTTTTGAACCTTTCCGTTATTCGTTAATCCTAAAGACAAAGCTACCAAGACACGGTTGAGTTAAGATTGCTTTCATTCAGTTCTCCCAATGGTTTGGGCGCACTGTTCTCTTTCCCAGCGTGTTGGAATGCTTTTGATGGATCAAACTTGGCCTTTCGACTGATATTTGGTGAATTCGCTTTCTTTGCGAGTTTCTCACGAGAAACCTGTGCTCGTAGCCTAGACACCTCCTGCGGATTGGAAAAGAACAAGTTACTAACAACAAATGTGAAGCCATAAAAATATTTGACATTACAAATCAATTGGCGTTTTTTACTGATTTGGTGATCATCCGGTCGATGATTTTTGGCAAAAATCTTTCGAGGAAAATCCCCAAGAATCCTTAAAAATCTTATTGTTTTAAAAAGTAGGCCTTTTTAGAAAAATGATAGAATGAGAGTTATATATCCAGAATGGGATATCCTGCAACCATAGGATTTCCACTCTCTCTCTCTACACATAGAATAATCAAATTCTTTCACTCAATGGTGCTGGGACAATCTGAAATTCATATATATTTTTTTACACAATTTTTAGAATATGAAACACCCAATTGATATATACTAAAATCTAAAAATGTGATGCTGAACCAAATCAGTTATAAAGAGACAATTACTGGTGTAAGCAAATACATTGAAATGCCATAAAAAGACAAAAATATATTCGGCATGTCATGGGATGGTTCAAAACTTTGACGTCACAAGCCCTTTTCTAACGAAATTGCCTAAACATGGATAGAATCCGGACGGCTAATTCCAGGCATTCAATAATAAATGTTGAATTAGAAAGTTTAGAAGGCAACAATCGGATTCAAAATAGCAGGGATTCAAAATCTAGGTTCATGTGCTTAGATTTCAAATCACGAAATATATTACTTAAATTTTGATCATCATAAGTATTGGTTAAGTGTCTGAAATCTCTAGATCGGTAGAAAAACACTGTATTTTTAAAAAACACACTTACCTTTTTCAGAGAAAGGTTTTCCTCCTTAATCCTTATAATGTGATGAATTTTTTGTTTGTTATTCTGATGTCCGAGAATTCTGGCATAGTTTTCTGCCAACTTGGTCATCTGAAAAACCGAATGGTGAAATCAACTTGTCAATTAATAAATGACATCTGTACTAGCAAAACCAAGAGAGGGACAGAATCGTCAAATTATCTATCGAGAACTTCTGGAGAACAGAAAAAGAACTTCTGGAGAACAATCCCTCGTCAACAATATGCAATTGGCTATGAAACAGTTGTATTTATCTTGAATTAATAAGTATTGCATTTCTTAAAACAGAATCACTAATAGGTGAACAAGGACACAACAGACATCCGCGGTTTCTGGGAAGATGTAACAGATCATTGCAAATGCTAATCGTTTTTTTAAATGTTTTGTAGAGCAAATGTCAATTGGTTATTAGCAATCTGATTAAAGGCACCCTTCGCAATTACCACGACAAATTTGCCCGGAGTGAGCTTCCTTCCCAATAGCAAACTTGGTTAGCCTCGAATACATTCGCACAGGCGCTTGCAAAAAGCGTGGAATTTTTATAAGTGAAGTTTCCCTTCTGCCTTTTTTCTGTTGTATGGGCAGGACAATATGCAACGCATATGGTACACAGCTAAGGATATTACCTCACTCTCTTTGAAATCGTTTTCGCTCAAAAGCATGCGCTTTTCTTGCTCGAATAACTCCAGTTGGGCCTGCGATGGAAAGAAAACTCTACATGAAATTTTACATACCAAGTCAAGACAAATGTTTAAAATGTACACAAAAATCCGAGGGTTATGTCACCCCACAAATATCCCTTACGCCTATAGCAAAAATCTTTCTTTTTTGAGAAAACTCCCCCCCCCCAAAAAAAATCCATAAAATCCTATTGTTGTAAAAATCTAGTAGGCTGTTTGAGAAGAAAAATAAACCACTAGCACAAACCAGTGGCAAATAAATGTCAATTTTAAGATTGAATTTGCTGCTTTTTTGGGTAAACTCTTCTGAGAAGATACAAATGGGGTTAAATAAATATGGTTTCTGAACACAATAGTTTGGTGTACTCGGTGTACTGGCTTAGCGATCGCAACATTTTAAGAAAGCAACGCCTGCTTGTGCGTAAAAGGTGATTGCTCTTGGCGAAAATAGAAATAAATCAAGTTACACAAGAAACAAGAGTTACGCAACCTAAAACTTCGTCTAGCATTGCAATTAAGACAAATTATGTAACACATATCTTTATGAACCAACCTGGAACGGACGAGTTTTAGATTCCAGGTCTTCATATTTTGCACGCCACCTGCATAAAATTGAAACAAGTCATTCATTGAGGATACAAAGACGCTCATCCCTGTTATAATACAAGCATTCTAGGTAACTAAACAATGTTTTTTAAGTTTTTAAAACTCCTTATCCTTAAATGGCTGTATCGTGTGCTAAATTTTCCAAGATCATTTAGAAGCCGAATTTGTAGATAGGAAATAAAATCGAGGCAGATTCGTGGCTTTAGGGAGTGGAGCCTGTGTCATGTTTTTTGTCTCGCAAAGTCGGTCATATGTCTCGCAAAGTTGGTAATTCGTCGATGGCTCAAAAAACCATTCAAAACTTTTGTTTTATGACTGTCATAACACCCGTTCTCTCTTAATCATAAAATTGCTTGTAGCACCGCTCATAATATTTCGCAAGTTGATGGCTATAACATGATCATCGTGCCATTAAATTTTAAAGCAATTCTGACTAGAACCAAAAATAACTGATACCAAAATAACTTGGAGGTAAATCTATTAAATTTAGGCTGGACGCCCTTGTGGTTATTTTCTTTTGCTAGGAAACTGATAACTTCAAACCACATCGTTTTTCTTTTCAAAAAGGTATAAATTATCTGAAACTTTTTAATATAAGGACGATTTGTGAGAAAATCGCATTCTCCTGTTTCAAAATCTTTCAGGCAGTAATCCTATTCATACAAAAAATTCGTTCCAATTGCGTTTTTTGCATCTAGCTATTTCGAAACACGATTTCCTCAACATGAAACGAAGACTCGCAGCCTTCGCATGAATTTTAACTGACTGCATGTAAAAATCAAGTTATTTCGTTGGAAATACGTACATTTCGGAATCCTGGTGTAATGCGTCGGCGCTTGTTTTGCTTCGAAGACTAAAAGCAAGAGGGAAGGCGCCATGAAAAACTTGAAATTTAAAAGAAAATATCAAAGAATGTAAGATAAATGTACTTTGAGGAACGTATCGAGCATGAAGAGGTGAAGTGACAGTCCCACAACAGAAAAGTTGCAAAGCAAGTTTGGTTCATGCAATGAATTCAGAGTTTCCTTTACCGTTTGTTTTTCTAATTAAATATCCAGCCTTTCAAAAACAGAAAAGGAACAAAGGCAACGGAAGGCTGGAAACGCCACCCTAGTATCTCAAAAGGTCACCGCCTTGACAGAGAAGGAACTATTATGGAGCGATCGTAGTATTTTGATGTTCGCTGTGTTAGGTTCGCTGTGTTCGCTGTAATACGAACATATTAGGTAAATGGCAAACCAGATACCTTCTCTTAACTAGAATCCTCTCGTGAATGGTTTTAAAGAAATCTGATATATAATAATTGATTTACAGCATAAATAACAATTCTGTAAGATAAAATATAATTCTACTTTGAAAAAAGAATTTCGTAGAATCGTCCTACAAGGACGAGCTATTAATTTAACGAAGTTAGAAGGCGCTGAAATCGTGATTGTCTGATTAACTACAACCAATGCTGATTCATATTGATCACCGTATAAACTGAAGAGCAAAATATGTTTTAAAAGCAATAACAGCAAAACTTGCATGGAAGGAAGATGCTCGACTAAAAAGGAATAAGTATTTCGGCGTACCTCTCGTGTTCTGACAAAAGTTTGGCATACTTGCTTTGTTCCAACTGTAACTTCCTGTAAAAAATTCCTTCGTTAATAGCACAAGTTGGCATCAACTGGAAGAATCAATGTAGAGTATTTGGCACTGTTTCTCAAAACAGCAATTTACCAAATAAGGAATAACTGCGTGTTGCAAATAATATATAACTTATTTTGTGCATTTCGATGAATGTTTTGGCACCAAAACAGGACCAAATTGCATCTCAATCTTCTATGTTATGGCTATTTACTGTGACACCTCTTAGCTCCACAAACATCTGTTGGTACAGTCTGTTTAATACATAACGCTTAGGCCTTTTTTCTGTCCAGGGTCACCCCTTAATCAATTCAAGATTAATGACAAGATTCATCTTAGACTAGCTACAATTTTCTATGTGTGGATGCTGGAGAATGATTGAAAAATAAACTTTGTAATCAGTATATCAGGATACAAGCGCAGTGTATTGGTAATATCTTACCGCAGGAAGCTGTGTTCAACACTCGCCATTTTTGCTTGTGTCTCGACGATTCGCCTGTGAGACAAAAAAGTATGGAATAAACGAGATGAATTTGAGAGATGCGAGCAGATTTCTTGCCTGCTGATAAAAAAGTTTTGTTTCTTTTCAACTAGTCCAATCAAACGGTAATCACGAAATAATAAAACGTGAAGACTTTACCGAAAAATTAATTCATTAATTAACAACAAACAAGCACCTTTTTGCTAAGAAACATTGAGATTTTTGCTGGTGGTAATAAAATTCTTTTTCTACAATAAGACTTTACTTTCAAAAAGTTGTTTCGCTTACTGCAGCCTTGTCTACAGCTCCATATAACTTAGGAATATGACGTAAATGACATCAATATTTGTTTGTGAATTAAACTGAAAGTTATTATATACATAGAAAATAGAAGGATTAAATCTGAGAAAAATAAACTACCGAAGTTAGTTGGAAACGAAAAAGCAGGGCTCCAATTCTTTTGGAGCTTTTTCAAAAACGAAAAAATCGATTCTGCTATTGGAACCTTGACTGTGAGTGTACCTGCCCTAAATGACGCTTTGACAGATTATGGTGCATCATGGGAATGGAAAACAGTGCATTGTGGGATTCTTTTAGTAGAATGACTTAAAATCACTTCGGAAAAAAATTAGAAGATGATTCAAGCAAAGCAATGTTCGACTCACTTTCCGAGCTCCTCTTTAACTTTTGAAATCGTCAAGTCCCTCGTTGAGACTACACTGGAAATCAAGAGAAACTTTATCATCTACTTGTCAAAAAATTAAAAAATTGACAAACTTTTTATATTGCTACAGATTTAATTGTTGATAGCCCAGGCATGAAATAAAAAATAACTTACTTCTTGAACTGGCCTTTGATCTGTTCTACTTCAACGTCTTTCGTTTCAATTTCACTTTTCATTTCATCAATTGTTCTGGACAAGGTATTTCTCTCAAGTTCTAGTCCTTCAATGGTGCTAGAGTCGAATTCAAAGAGTATAGGTATAATTCGCACACAAATAATTGAATTTTAAACACCGTGAATAAATTTTTGAAGTCAGCTCTGGCTAAATGTGGCATCATAAGGGTGACTTTGAAAGAGGCGTAACTGAAAAGTTTGCATGGTTGGGGGGAGGGGATTCCAAGAGAAGTTACCGCTTGTGTATGAGTTTAAGTTGGATATAACAGGACGTGGTTACCGCTGTGGACTGAAGTTTAAAAAAAGGCCCTGGTAAGAATAGACTTTGTTGAATCATTTTAAATTTTGCTAAAGTTATCAAAAGCACTACTGAATGATAAGAAACATTGTCAATGATTGAGTAAATTGTTTATTTTGCTATCAAAGCTGTATTTTAATAGATATTGGGAACATCATTTAGGCAGACAAATTAGATACCCGGAAACCAGATAAATTAGACAGAATTTATTGGCAATAGTCTTACGTTGCGAAATGTTTTTATGTGAGCGAAATACGAAGTTTAGCAGACGAAATTTCGTGGTAACTGTGTTTAAGAACAGAAAACTTAAATTAACAGACAGTGACATATGCAAGTTATTCGTAAAATCAGACAAAAATTAACTATAATTGCATCAGTGAGGCATGATATTGTCATATGCAAATATGATTCACAGTTGCAAAAGCCAAACCGATTGAAACAGCTCACTAAATCGATTATCCAAATAGAAAATTTTGCACAACAAAAAATGTGTACCTTTTTAAGCCGGAAATCTCGTTTTCGTACTTCTTGCTATTATTAGAATTTTCTTCTAGAAGTTTTGAAAGCTGGAAAAGAAAAAGTGTCGATGGTTGACAAAAATACATTGCCAACGAGCAGGGTGCCTTTTAAAAAGTTCCAATTTGGAACTTTCTATCAATATTATCAAATGGACAATTTACATTAAAACGCAACATAGAATTCTAGATTCTGAAGAGTTTGTATCTGACGACGTACTGTGAGGGTTTGTACCTGACGGCGGCGTACTTTAATTACAAAAATTGAAATTGGTTTTGAGCGTCGAAATTGAAAAGGGGTGTGAGCAGAGACTTTGAGCATCACAAGCTCGGGTTCATAAACATGGACAGAGCTGCTTAGCTTGTTTAGAGAGTTAACTGAGGTTAATGTTCCAAGACTTTTGACAGTGATTGTCTATATGGAAGCACAAATGCTGGTGATCGTGTCTTTAGGCAGCAGCACATGAATAGCCCGGCAAGGGTTGTAGTAAGACTTCTAGTCACTTAACAAGCAAGTGATTTATAGTCCTGTTAGTTGTTATTCGATGTTCTATAATTCGAGCAATGTCCGCCGAACAAGTTCACTAAGCATTCTGTAACACAGTATGATTTTTCATGCCATTCTCTTCTTATTAATGAAACTTTTTTGTAATAAGCTATTACTCCATGTAAACAAGAAGTTCCACTACAGTTTGCCAATTGTCTCCTTTTTAAGGTCACATAGATAATAGGCGTTTGATACATACCTCGTTCACCTGTAAAACAAGAGCATTTTTCTCAGCGTCGTGCGCCACGACTGCCTCCTCTAAAGCCTTGTCTTTTTCATCCTTTCAATGAAACAACAGTAAATATTATTTAATTTCCACACGCGTAATTATATAATAGTGTTTTGAAAACAAATCTAATTTGACAGAAATCATGATGAATTATTTTGTGATATAGTTGTTCCTGAAAATATCCCACGGTATCTACAGACTTATTCATGATAGGGCTCTTACTCTTCAAATTGTGCCAAGGGCTCGAAAGAAAGATGGCGAGCCGGCAACAAGGAATCAAGCTTTTTCCTAAACATTCTCTTTCCTTCAATGATCAGAAACTTCGTGAGAGTAAAGCTAGTAAAGAAAATCAAGGCAAGATTTCAAAAACGAGCAATAATTAATACATTGCTGCCGAAAATTTCTCTATTCCATTCTAGCGAAACTCTTTCCTTGACAAATATGTCAAAATATCAAGATGAGCAACCAAACCTTTAGCAACTTCTGAGTTTCTTCAGATTCTTTCAACTTTTCTTCCAAATCGTTAGCCTCTGCCAACATTCGGTCATAGTTCAGATGAAGACTATTGTAAGTATTCTTCATTGTCTGAAGGTCCTCTTTCCTAGAAATAAGTATTGGGGGTAAATAATAAAGAAACCTCAAAGTCCAAATCAAAGAGACTTAACAAAGCGGATTCCATTTTAAATTAGGATTTTTCCCTCGTCACTTTTAAACTGCAAGCGATTCGTTGCATGAAAACTGTAGACTAATGTGTCTGTAAACTTTTATTAAGCAACCTGTTCAAAACCAAGAGCACCATGAGATGAATGCAACTTCATAACGCACAGAGTACGCTTTGGTGTGCAGAGCAGAACGGTTCTATGTTGCAACTCTGAGTTCAATCCTCGATGAGATCATCACCAAACAGTTCCTTTTATATGCCATCGAGCTCTTTACAACAGAAACGGCAAACAATGATCTTAATTAAGACACACGATAGGAAAAAATCCAGGCACAGTTCGCATGTTATTATTGATACACTCAACATATTCACCCGTTTCTAAAATGCACAAAATTTTATTCTCATTCTTGCATTGAAAATAAATTGTACAAATGGAGGTTTTTTTATTTTGTAAATGGCGACCTTAACTAGTTGTTTACAAAGCAAGCCTGTTATGAAAAATAGCCTATTAAGCTATAATGAACAAATAAAAAATGAAATAGAATATAAGAGAAACATAATCTAAGGGAATAAAAGTTTAGTTAAAACCCTTAAGAGTTCCCAACTTCGAAAGGTATCGAAAATCCCTTTATAGCCACTTCTCAGCACACGATTAGGGAAAAACTAACTGAGGCTTCAATTGAGACTAAATAGCAATCTGTGGCTATTAGTAGATATAAAATCTAAAAGCAAGTTTTAGTGAACAAAATAACCCATCAATTCATGACAAAATCTGATCTGTAATTGCAGTTAGGAATTCTTATGGCTGCTTGCATGGTAATAAGGTTGTTTGTTCATCATTTCTTTGAGATTATACTATTCATATTAAGATGGCGGAAAACATTTAGCATAAATATAAAAATCTTACAAGCTCTCATAGGATGCTTTTGTGACGTCTAACTCAGAGGTCAGCAGGGATTCTCGAACTGAAAATTCCCCCTTTAATGCATCTAAAACACAAGTGAAACAATGCTATACTAAAGCAATACTAATATTATAGAATGAATATAAGATGGAGGGTTAGAAAATGAGAAGTAATCCATTCTCAAAAATAACTGATCATGTACATATCAGCAAAGAGAATGCGAAGAAGTTTGGGACACAAGATTTCCAAACTATTTTTTTGAGCAAATGTGTAAAAATTTGCAAAAAACTTAGCTAAGTGCATCAACACGCTTGGTGGGCAAAGAATCGCGATACCATTACCTACAAAAGTTGCTCGAAACTTAAGGCTGCATGAAAGCCAGCTTCTAACGCGTGCATTCGCAAGTCTGTAGAAATTCAAATGGTTATAGAAACGCTATAAGTTTAATATTTTCAGTTTCAGAGAAACACCAGTATAGTTTCAATGAACATGGATTTTGAAGAACACAGACATGAAATTCAAACAATACAAGCATTCAATGGAAATCATTCACGGTCAAATTAATTAAAACTTTGAGTCATTAATTATGCATTTGGGTCGGCATATCTTAACAAGGCAAATATTTCTTGATTTTCTGCTAATGTTCGTGGCTAGATATAAATAAACCAAAGCATGTAAAAAGCTTTTGTTCGGAAATCATTTTGCCCTTTTTTGAATGTATGCGCATTTCTTTCATGACGTCAGGACTGAATCCAAGCAAACCAAATGAAATGGAAGGAAAGTCAGTCAAAAAATCGACTGGTTTTAAAGCCCCGACCAAACGAAAACTTAGAATTGTTAGGTTATATTCAATAAGCTCCATTCCAACATTCCCAGCATTTGACTGAACATTGACATCTAACCAAGTTTATATATAAGTTCACGTTCCAAAAGCAACTTCTTTCTTCCGAGAAATGAATAAAAGCAAAGATCTAGTCGTTACTCTATCTTTTCGCTTCTCCAAGCGAAGGTAGGTCTGATTATGTTGTGTTGGTGAACAACACCGAGGAATTCTCCCTATCTGTGTTCCAAACTGCAAGTCAATTTTCTCAATTATCTTTGACCAAGGGAAAGCTCACAAAATGTTACACGAGAAGCACAATTACAATCGATCTGGCTTGAAACCCGAATTTAGTACGCATGCATATTACGAACATTTGTGAGAAGGGCAAATAATCGCAGCATTGTTCAGTCGAGCAGTGTTCACTGAAATTTTTTGACCAAAATAAAAAACTTGCTGCACAACTTTCAAGAAATGTCTAGTGGCTGAAAAAGGCGGCCAAAGGTTCTCAACATTTACTGAATTTTGGGGAAGATTCAGTGAAATGCTGAAAGCGTTTGACCTGGGCTTAATGAGTTTACCGTAAGATTCTTCAAGACTTTCATATTTTAGAGTGATGCGTCGCAAATTTTCCGTGGTTGAATTTTCCAATCTAAAAAGATACGTCAAGGCGAAATGTCAAGATGATTTATATTGCGTAGAGAAAAAAGAGTTTGCAGGATGATTGCATCAAAACTTGCAGGATTTTCAAAATCAGTTTAAAAACCAGAGTAATGAACATTTCAAGGTAAACAGGCAGTAGCAAGTCAAAGTAAATAATGACGAAAAATATATATATATATATTCTAAATGAATTTTGGTAAGAATTCCTGGACAGCATGTGGAATAACATGACACGATACATATATTGGTTGAAGAAAAAATCAAGCGATAAATTGGATCGAAGAGGGGGATTTAATATGCGCGTATTGTGCAATTATTAGGCGTAAGGTAACGTTGCTATTTCCAACCTGTGTTTAAATGAATTACTTACAGTTCCATTTCCTCTTCCAAATCAGCCTTGGCATTTTGAACTTCCGAAAGCTGAGCAGCCATTTCATCCCTCCTGTTCTGGAGTAGCTCGTGCGCTCTTTGGAGATTACTGCACAAGAAATACACGATCAAACTTAACATCCTGATTAAATTATATATATAGATATTAACTGTAAGAATGACAGAGAGTTATTTAATAACGGGTGGGGCATTCGAATGAATGACGATAGGGATGAGCCAATAAAAATCGCCATTTTAGGTTGCTTGCTCAAAATATCCTTGCAAGTTGCAAAAATTAAGAATGCATCTAAACAATCTGTTGTAACAGTCAAATTACTGTCACCTACATTCTTACAAAAGTTTGATTTTCAAAACATTTAAAAAATTAAGCGTGAGGGACAGTATGAAGGTTAACTGCGAGTGAATCAGAGGGGAGAGTTCTGATACCACTTCTCTTCTCCTCCATTAATAAGCACCTGTGACTGTCAACTTAGAGAGGATAGTTGATTTGCAAAGATGCAAAACTTGCAACATAAGAGATACTCACAAAACATTTTCTTTTAAAGAATCCCTTTCCTTAGACAGCAGTTCCAGTTTTTGTTCATGCTCGCGAAGGTTTAACGTGGTTGCTTCATTTTGCGATTTCTGTTCTTCTAAATCTCTTTTGACCCCTGTTAATGTCTTTTTGTCATCTTCATGAAGTCTTTGAATCTTGGAAAGCGTGGTTCTAGTTTCCTGCAGGAAAAACATTTGTGTATATAAAAGCACTGGAAATATGAACTCAGCCTGCATATACCTGAAACAAAAATATAAATTCTTGTCTGAAATATTGATTTTAAATACGTTTTATTTGTTGAGAAGGAAGAGCAGAGGGCAACTTCATGAGCTTTCCAAACACTGATCTTACCCAAAAGACTTCGAGATGTAAAAAAAGTTTGTTTGACAAGATACTCCGCTTAAAATGGATTTATATTTATTTGAAAGAATATAGAGCTGCTCCTAGATAACCTGATATTATGGTATTGGGTATCGCTGATCGTTTTAGGGGAAAATGATGTTGGAAAGAATAGTAAGAATGAAAAAAACAAATTAGTGATTCTTTTTATTTTACCAATTATGCAATATTAAAAAATTGAAATAAGAAATATTGCAAGAAGGCAGTGGCATTGATTATTACCTTACAGTCGGCTTGAACACTCAAAATCTGTTCTTCACAAAGCCTTTTTTCAATGCGAACTTGATCAAGTAAAACTATAAACAAAGATCAAACATTTCAATCAATACAAATGAAAAACGCAAAGACTTATTTGGTCTTATGTCAAGTAGTCAGTATTTGTAACATCATTAAAGCATAAATGTTACCAAACTGTTTCCTACAGAATTTACAAATATCCCTCTAGGAGATCACACATGATGTGAATATATACAGGACCGAACTCTCTACCTTGAAGCTGCCAAACTGTAGATTCAAGCTCTGATATCTGCGCCAAGAACTCGCTTTTCTGTGTTTCTGCAAGAAAAATACAATCAACGATAAAATCTGATACTGTGCTTTATCAAAGCTCCTTTTTCTATACAATTATTTTAAATAGCAATATCTGCAATGTAAGCAATTACTTTTGTGAAAGTCTATAATCACGTAAACTACTTTGTTTTGCCTTTTCTTTATAATATCTCGTAATGTCTTTTATACTTATACGTATAAATCATTAAGACTGAGAGTGCTAATAAATAAATACGGTTTCTATTTGAGGGCCGCTTCAAATTGCAACGTTTTTATCAAAATTGCAGCTTCAATTTGAGAAAATACGGTAGCTAATTAAACAACTAGGGCAGATACTTTTTCAAAACTTAGAAATGATGAAGGAATAAATTCACTTGACAAATTTATATACAACAGTAGTAGAAAATCATGAAACAAATATTCTTAAATGGCTTGATGTACGAAAACAATTGAAAGCATTGTGGGTAAACTGGCATTGTCTTTAGAGGGCCCTTTGGTTATGGTGTCCACTGTTGTCAACTTGCTATACACCAATTCTACTTACGACTCATTTTTGGAAATTTCTCCAAATTACATTATAGGACTTTTTTAAGTTCAGATTCGTTTTCATCACCATAATTTTAAGCTGGATACAATTTTTCATACTTTTTGTGCTTGTATTTAGGATTTTACGGAGAAATGAAGTTTGAAAACTTGAAAGGGATATATATGATCCAAAAATCGTCCAGAGAGGAACTTTTCCGCCCTAGTAGCCAAATACGCTCAAATCCCCTATAAAACTTTTATCTTTATGTCGTCATAAAATCAATATTGTGAGCAAAACCATAATGAAATCTTCCAAGTACATAAAAATCCTTGCTCTCAATCCGAATCTGTTGTCAAAAAATTTTGTACAGAAAAACTTGAAGAATTTTTCAAAATGAGGTCTTAATTTGAATTGGTGGATTGACGGAAGTATGTTTGTAAATCAGTACGAGTTGAGTTCATGTGATCAGTGCCTGGTCAGCCAATAGCATTAAAGAACAAAAAGCATGACTAAGGGTATCGGGTATGCCCTCTTCTTTTATCATGACTCAGTTTCTTTAGGAGTCTTCATATTCAATAAAACGTACCTAAGTTTGACACCTGACCACGAAGAGCAAGCACATTTTGGTTTCCAAGTTTCAAATCAGCCTCTAGATTTTTCTTCTGGCAGTCCAGTTCAATGCTTTCTTGCTTCAAACTCAATATTTTCTGGAAGAAACAATTCAAAAGCAGTCAGCTTTTCAAAAATGGAGAAGCTTAAACATCTGGCGAAAGACTTTTATAAAAAGTTTAAGACTTGTATAAAACAGTCATTTGTTCACTCAAAAACAGTTATATTCTTAAAAAAGGACGGTTGTAAGTGCTGGAAACATAGAGGTTTATCAGTAAAAATACAAAGTTGAAATCTCACATTCTGACAATGGTCCAAAGCACTTTCTAGTTGAACACATGAAGCAGACCCCTCAGATTGCAGTTCTTCTAGCTTGACAACTAACTCCTCTTTGTCTTTGCAAATGACCTAAAGAACGAGTGGAAACTGTTAACATTTGAATTTTAACATGAACTATCATACTCAAAGTCAGATGCAAGCAAAAAATCTTTCATTTCGAGCTAGAAAATAACTGTAGGCCTTAGGCCACCTAAAGCAGAAATACTGTGCATTTTTCATGGAAAAGAGAAACAAAAACTTTAAAGTCCTGAGTGTCTATAATTATTTGATATCTTGTCTTATCTACTTTATATTTTAGAATCTAACAATTTGGCTAAATCTGATTAACAAAAGCCATTTTTACCTACTCCTTTAATTTTCTTAACCACAACAAAAAAGGCTTTATTTCAAGATAAGCACACATGGAGTCAACGAAAGCACTTTTGAAGAGGAAACTTTTAATAAAATCATCTTGGTTGAAAAAAATTATGGTAAAATTTATTAGATTGGGTACTTTACCACGTTTCTATCCTTAGATTGTAGTTTTTCTTTAGTATATTTACAGTAGGAAGCTGTATTAATTATAATATTTTCATTTACAATATGCCTATTTTTTCATCCCTGCCAATGCATTTTATTTTTGAATTGGTTGGTATCATCATTTTGTTGAAAGACTCGTACCATTGATACATAATTAGCAACTAAAGATGTTAGATAAGTAGCAAAAACACTTTTTCTTGGAGCTACACAAGATTCACTGTTTATGAACTCAGTTCTCACCTTCATATGAGATTCAATTTCCTTCTTATCCTTAAGTGTTCGCTGCAGGTTCTTTTCAAGTTCACCAATCTTATATTGAAGATGGTGAATCTGCAAAAAGCAAATAGAACCATTACAAGAAATCAACTCTTGTATCTTACCTTAAAAAACATGAAGGTAAGTTTTTAATAGAAAATTCAATCGGTCAAAAAGAGACCAAGCAAATGTTATTCTGCCGTACAGACTTTAATTCCTAGAAAATTATTGATTTACAAAATTTAAAAAGCACCTGCTGTGACATAAGGTCCTTGCAGCTCAAGTCTGTATTGGATGACGATTTCAACTTTGTATTTCTTCTTACTGGTTTTGAAGGCGTGGCAAAACTCTATAAAAAATGGCATTTTGTTATATCTATTTAAGTGTTAGCATATGAAAGGAGGGAGAAATTTCCATATATATTGATAAAAACTTTGAACAAACAATACTGTGCACAATATCATAAAAATGATTAATCTATATAACAAATATATATAATATACTTACACAGTTACCAATGCTGGATGTATGTGAAACATCTAACTTGTTAACATCTAAAATAAAATAAAAAAACAAAGGAATTCTGATTAATGTTTCCTAGTTTTTTTTGTCATTTTCTGCATGAAACACAATTTAAAAAAAATTACAAGCAGAACCGAAATATATCAGCATTGTAGCATTTAAAAGCATTGAAGACCATGAGGCAACCAATTTCAGTGCTGATTTTACTTTAAAAAGATATTGAATCTATAATAAGGTGGATCAAACACTGGGTGTGGCTGGATTTGAGTGATGGCTGGTGGGATCACGAGTGACTGCTCACGTCAAATGAAAAGGCCTGGGGATGGGCTTGGCCATTTTTCTCAGGCCTGGATGTTTGGGACAGGCATTCATCACTGTGTGCCTCAGTGCCCTACTGAATTGATTGAGAAGGGCGAACAATTGCTGTCTCTCCATCAATTTTAAGCTAGCTGCCTGCCTTAGATTTTCATATAAGCTAAATAATATTACTCAAATCTTTAATGTCTATGCACTCAGAATATTCTAGCGTTTTCAAAAGTCACTCTTTCACTTGTCATTAATAATGTTTTCCAACTGCTGTGGACTTTTGTAAATGCCTGCACAGGGTTTTTTATTGATAAATTATATATTTTGTAAAGATTACTTGCCTGAATCAAACAAGGAGAGTGATGTACCTCCTGCTGCCAACATTTTTATGGCCTGTTTTGTAAAATCTGTATTGAGTAGTCAATTAATCTGACACTGTTTTGATTAAAGTTGCTACCATTACCATTATAGCATAAAACAGTTCAAGGTTAAACCATTGACTTACCAAAAGAAGGCTGAAGATCTGCCGGACCTGGAGTTTGCTCTGTCAATAACAAAAACAGCTATCAGAAAATCGACAATGCAAAAACAGTTCTGCAAAGCCAATCTTTTAAATTTATTTGCAGTGTCAAAATTACAACAAGTTGCAAAATATGTATAGTTGTCAAGAAAAGAAAATGCTTCTTACCTTTATTTTCAACAAATCTCCCGCCTTTTTCGAATGTCACAGGCCCAGTACTTTTAGAGTTAGCTTTTGTTACATCATAACATCCGACAGGTGGAGCACAAGAAACTAGAAAAATAATACAATACAGATTTTAGATAACAAGCAAAATTTTAATAAAAACATTGAAAGACCCTTGCTCAAGATAAGATTAATCAAACATTTGTAACCTCTCTGTTTTCTGCAAATAATTTTCACAAACCAATTAAAGCTTTGACATGCACACAAAATGGTCCTTACTTGGTCACAAAATGGTCACTTTCAACTGCCCATCCCCTGCCGTGGGGTAGCTGAGCTAACGGGGGACAGAAGGAGACAGGGAGAATGACGACCCTTCAGGAAGATTGTTTACTAATGGTGGATAACCAAACTCTTTCTTCTCAATAACTCGTTCCTTTCAAGCTCGAAATTTTGGCCTGGTATAAAGCCTGGTCAATTATTATCTGTGACACGTTACGATTGATTCGTGGCCTATCAATTTTATATTCTACTTTGTGGATAAAAAGGCCACAATTCCAGTGATTTCATTTTGTTGTTTTGTTTTATTTGACAGTTTTAATTTAGCCTAATTTTTAATTTTGAAGGAAATCAGTAGAATCCCAAGAATTGCAAGGTTCGCATGAATTTCTTATAAAGACAGATAAAGACAAACTGTCGTATCATTAAGATCAAGCCATTTCCCTTTCCTACAGGCCATGGCCATAGTTTCGTTCGTAAAAGGATTGATTTGCTTTAAGACAGCTTGATTTGCCTCGAATAACACACAAAAAATCAACAAAATATTCTAAAAATTACCATTATCAATAAATCTTTTCGAGGTTGACCTTGAGAAAGACATTTTCTTTTTCAGCACGTCTAATTGCTTCTCCAAAAGCTTGTTGTTAAATTCGCTTCACTACATGAAATGCGGGCCTAATCGTCAATAGAAACGTTGGTCTTCCCGCTCAAAACATTTAGCCAATCAAAGACTCGTACCAGTCCCTTTACTCGTCAAGTCTTTTTGACATGAAAAATGACATTTTCTTTTTAAATGTTGGAATCTTGAGGTGGAGTGGGTATGGGGATGGTTCACTCCCCCCCCCCCCCAACCACAAAAAAGGGCAATCTCACAGGGCAAGTTTATCCTCCCAACTGATCTGCTTTAATGTTTTTCTTATAAAACTATAGCGAGAAGGTAGTTCATGCTTGGAAATTGTCTAAAAACGAAAAGTAACACGAAACTCCAGTGACACGAAAAGGAACTGCCATCGATAAATTTGGCTGGAGGGAATAGCTTTCTAAGTTGATTCTGGATTCCTCCCACTTTGGATGTGGCCAATTTTTGGGTCTTTTTTAAAACCATACAAGAAGACAAACACAGCTTGTCAGAAAACTAAGAAAAATTGGTATAGTGTGGCTAGACTTTGCAACACACCCTTGTTTACAAGAAAACATTACCTGTTTATCAGTTTTCTCGATAATCAACCTTACTTTCACAGTACAGGTGGACAATAAGAATTTCGCTAAATGATTCGTATACACTCTTTTTTATGAGAAATTTTTTTAATTATAAGAACACACGCCTCAAAATTGGTCAAAAGCTAAGAACAAATTAAAAACAAGCTGAGGTTGTAAAATCCGATTTTGGACAAAGTTATATCTCAAAAATGGGTGCTTTTTCAGCGAATATTCAAACCTGTAATCAGATGAAGGTTGTCTCACTCACTTTGTTGGGAAACGAGGCCTGACTACCTCCCTAGAGCGAAAAAGCTAGCAATCGCACTGTTTATACCATATAAAGAGGGGGTGTATGGGTTTAACGGTTACGCGGTTTTGCCCGTATTTTGACTCGGTTTTTCGGTTTCTGCCTAATATATGATTTTAAAGTTTTTAAAGCATTAAATTTTACATCTCTATTAAATGTCGCTCCATGAACACAATTTTTTTGGGGGGGGCGATCTCAGGGGGGCGAGAGTTGATATTTCAGACAAAATTGAAATGTTTTAAAGACTGCAAGCAAAAGACTGTAAGCAATATTTTAAGCCAATCTAAAGGGCGTGGTTGCAAAAATTTTCTGCTCGCTTCGCTCGCAGGGGACCCTTGTCCGTGCCTCTACTCAATGGTTTACAATTTCCCCTCTTTATAGGCTTGATATAGAAAAGTCTTTCACGATCTTTAGAAATTCCCGGGGGCAAAGCCCTGGACCCTCTGCTGTCGGACTCCTCTTTTGCTCCTCCAATCTTTCAACCCTGGCTGCGACATTGGTCTAGAGCAGAAGCTGCCTTTACCTGCGCATCATTACATTTTTTAAATGCTTATAAGAACCAATAATTATTCCTTCAACACAGTGCTTCCAAGAAAAATGTGCAGCTTTAAATTTTCTTAGAAAAAGCCCTGAATAAATCAATACATCATAAATACTAATGTTGTGGACAGAGCCGTGCAAAACGGTCTTGGCCAAGGGGCGGTTACCCCCAAGAAATTCCTAGGGCTGTGGTTTTTATACTGTTTCATCATCTGCTTCTAAGCAGAAGGGGTTACTCATAGGTACAATTGCTTATATGACTTATATTAAAAAATTTTCTTGAGAAACGTCTTGGGGGCCCTCTCAAAGCCCAAGTGTTTGGGGGCCCTTAGTTTTGGGCTTAAAGGTGCACACCGTGGATTACATCACTGGCCCTCCCTCTCCAACCCTATTCCGCACAGTTTTATTTTCGTAAGAATTTGCATGACATTTTATAGCTTTAATTATGTTGTTCTCATACAAAATCTAGCTAATTTTTCACTGTGGGTGCTAAAAGATGCTTTATGCAATAATTGCAAGTAAAAGCAAAGTTTACTGAACTTTTTTTTATAAGTGGGTGTCGCATGCATAGACTAAGCATGCATTTCAAAAGTTGGGGGGGGAGGGGGTGCGGCACATGTGGTCAAAGATATTGAAAGTTGACCTTAGTTAACATGACAATGAAACGTTGCATATTATAAATATAGCTTTAGTGACTTATTTTTCAAAAAGAATAAGAAACACGATAAAGTAGATAGATATCATAAATATTCATTGAAGTATGATATAGCAAGTTTTAAAGTTGCTTTTAGAAAGCATCCACAGAAAACATGCAAAACTTCGTTAGAATTGCCTGCTATAATTTCGCAAACTCAAAACTATATTTATCTAAAAATACCTGAGAGATGGTATTGTATCTTTTTACCTAAGCATTTGAATGTGTGTATAACTAATTATTGAAATATCTAGCATTGTTTAACTTATTTACGTTATTACAAAATGACCGGACTTTGAGGTCTACGCTGAGCCATAACTAATACAATGAACCCAAGGCCAGCTAGAATTTTCAACGCTTCTACTTTGGTAAGTGAGGGATATTATTCATACCAATGCTAGTGCGCTTATAAGTAAGCAAGGGACACTACTAACGATTTCTTTAAGGGTGATGGAAAGATCCAAATCCCATTCACGGCACGTAGACATTGCGTTGCAATCCATCCTAGATATTTAGTAAATAGGCCTTAACAAAATAACTAAATAAATGTCAATAAAATAACTAGTTCTACTAAATGAAATGAACACAAAGACTCCCCTATCTGGACGTAAGTCCCAATAACAATGGAGGGCTAAAAAGGAGCACCTCCTCGAATTACAAATAGTTAATCTGCGTGCGGAATTTACTTGTGCAGTGGAGGAGCGCAAACACCAATTTCATTATCGATCCTCTACTGCGCAAGTAGAGTCTGCTCGCATTTCTATAAATAGGCATTTTACTTCAGTTTCGGAATTTGCCCCCTTGACTCCCCAGTCCGAACTTCTGTGCATCTGGGTACTCTATGGAAGTTCTATTTTGCAACGAATTATAATTGGAAGGCAAACTTTGTTACTAAATAATTCAAAGGGCATAAATAATGCACAAACAATACTGCTGAATTTCTTGGATATTCTATAAAACACCCTGCCCCCTAAACTCCGTGCCCCTGACAGTTATTGTTCTCAGAGCTTGGTATCAAATTATAAAATGGGCATGTCAGCCATCCACCCCCCTTCCCCCATCCACCCCCTCCCCCAAGGGAGTGTTCTTGAAGCAATCTCGACAGGGCGGTCTCGCTTCTGGACCGAGCCCTTTGTGTTCGTTTTAGAGTACACTCCTTCGCGTGAGCCTTAACACTTTCCTTTTCTATACTGTCCATTTAAAATTGATTACTAGAAATAGCTGTCTATTCTTGTTACAAATCCTTTGAACTTTGAGCGATCGATTTCTGATGTTTCCATTGGAAACGTCTCGTCTTTTTTGTCAACAGGCCCAGGGTACCATGGTACAAGCTTTAGTTCCTTAACAGACTCGATAAATGATAACACTTCCTCTTCCTGCATTTTAAGTTCCTCTTCCCGAAATTTTTTATAACTATCCGAATCAAAAACCTCGTGGAATTTTGCTCTAGACAATGGTCTGTGCACTTTATTTGCCGCGTAAAAACCACCCCCTCCGCTATTCAATTTTCGCATAATGTCCTCGCAGTTTCGCCAAGAAGAAGGTGGCGCACTTTTTGCGCGTACTACACGGTCTTTTGCAGTTTCTGCGCGTTTAATCCAGAGCTTTGATTGCGCTTCGACTGCTGTTTGCGGACGGTTTTTTAATGCTCCGAGATCTGTGAACCGTTTAAGCGAGAATTCTTTTTGATCTGAGGCATCGTTGGAAGATCTAGGTCGAGCTCTCAGCTTTCCCTTGGTTACAGAATTTCGATTTTGCCGTTGCATAGCGTTAATTTTGCCTATGCTCGTTTCTCCATTCTGCTGCTGCTCCTTGTGATGAAATCTAGATCGCATTTTTTCGTGATGTTTCATAAGTTCGACGCTGCGCGCTAACCTGTTACGAAACCTCGTCGTAACGATCCGCTGTTCAATCGTTATGCTGCATGCTGTATTCTTCTCCTCTCTGTTCAAAGACTGTAACTCCTTTTTCAATACTTCTCCGTGTTTATAATTAGCAGAGTGAACGTTGTGCGACTTCTCGCCCGATTCTAATCCAGAATCGACTCGCTCTTTGTTCCCACGTGGCATGTCTGAGAATATCGCGACTGTAAAAGCCCAAAGTGCTCACTGCATTGGGAGTTCAATTCAAGGAAATCGATGTAATAGTCCATCAAACACCAATGCGATATTTTTGCAAATACAATTCCTGCACAAATAGTCCTAATTTACAGTTCCTGCCCGGATTGTCCATGAGTTTCTCCTCCTTTTAGTTGTTCCAATTCCATGTCACTATCAGCTCAGGTAAAAAACCCACAATCTTCAACCTTACCATGTTACAATCCTTGTTGCAGATCTTATCTTTTCTGTTATCTTTCCACATCAAAATCTTCCAAAACGTACTATGGAAAGGTGGTTTTCATAAGTAATTCGACCCCGCTATATAGTCCTGTCTCAAATTCTTGTTACCATAGACACAAAAGCAAACTAAAACAGCACGATTGGAGCACATTCACTTTCATGTTGATATACCAACTACAATGTAAGGATAAAATTTCTTCCATACTTCGTTATGACCCAACAAGATTAAGTTTTGCCTACGAGTCGTTGCTATTCGCGATTCTTAGTGGATTTTGAAGCACAGCTTTGTTTTTGCTGTTGGTCAATGGTTTTCCTTTGTTGAACATTTTTATTATGAAACTATTTGAACATGCATTGGAAAAATTTGCGTTTCTCTTTATCAAATGCAAATGACAAGCGCTCTTATGTGTCAACATTTGAGAAGAATAGAGTTTGCAATGAGATGTGAGAAGACAGCCTCCTTCAGAACGGCCCGTCCTAAAGAGGTCCAGTTGTTGCCCGCTATTTCGAACTCTGAAGGGGGCTGGACATTTGTTCGAGATAGCAAAAATCAATAGTATCTAAAAAGCGGCTGACGAATCAAAATAAAAACAAATCGGTTATACATAAGTAACAAAGCACTGGTTGAAATGCTTGACTTCTAATGCCTCATTCATTCTGCTAATGGGCTCATAACATCAAATTCAAATTCAAATTTTTCGCTAAAAAATTAAAATTCTGCTTGTTATACACCTGTTGATTTTTCCTGTTTTTATCTAGAATTATAATTTTTATCGATTCATTCATATCTACCATTGCTCCTCTATATTTTTCTACAAACTATTTTCATTTTTCGATGCAAGATTCTCAATCGCTTTTGCTTGTTTTTCGTTTTTCTTTTGCTCGTATAAATCTATTCGTATAAATTTATTTCCTGTTGATCTGCTAGCTGTTTGAAGGGATGCTTCATTTTCGTTCTTTATACAGTCGACTCCGCTTATACAAAATCAGGAAAACATCACGGCCCCACGGCCACTGGCCGGAGGAAGGTTGTAGAAACAAAAAGAAATTGCAGAGGGTGAGAAAAAATTTTGGAAACTTTAGGTAGTTGAAGAAATCGAATTGTCTTTTGTTTTTAATTATACAGTTAGGCAAAAAATAAGAACAATAAGATAATATTTATAAGCCTCCTGTTTTTCGATATGAATATGTTTGCAGACCTGTCTTACACTGTAAAACTAAGGCATTAGCTTTTTATAATTAATTTTCTATAATAACTTAACTTTCTACTGTTAATTGATAAAAGCATGTAATTTAACATGTCTCAAAAAACAAGCAACAATTTTTTAATTTGTTTTGGAAAAACAAAGATGAAAGAAGAGGAGATCAAGACTATTTGAATGCCCCAATCGCCTGACCACGCCCTTTTTAAAAACCCATTGAAAATGAGGAAGGTTTTAAGTAAGATTTTCTTGGCAAGAGGAAGGTTGGCAACTTTTCTGGACTCCACTTAAAGTCACACTACCTTTTACAGTCACATGCAATTTAGAACTAAATTCAGTCAACTTCGTATGATTCAAACTCGATTAATTCAAACTTTACTCATTCAAACAAAAATCTCAGGTCCCTTGAATCTTGAAAATAAAGCTCTATAATCAGTGGTGGAAATTAAATCATCTTGGGGGTGTCCGGAAAGTTGGACCGACTCGTATGCAAAATAGACCGGCTCTTCAAAACTAATCTAAGCAGAGAAAAACCTGAAAATGTCTCATTGTCATATTCCTTCTCTACGAACTGTGGTGGTCAATTGGTGTACTGGGAGGGGGTCTAATAACATGAAATACTTTATCGTACCCGTTCTTAAGAAAATAAAATGCATGTATATTTCACTGCCAAAATTTCCACAAGTAATTAGATGTTTCACCCGTTCTGATTCATGAATATAATCAAAGTAAAGGCTCTACGATAAAGATGACACCAACCGTTGCTAGCATGAAAAACAACAAAAAGACGTTTTGAATAGAATACAACCAAACGATGATGAATATTTTATGTTAATCCATTAACTTACAGCGGGTGACAGAGTAAAAATTAGCAAGCATAAGAGAAAAGTGCTTGATAAAGGTTAAAGATAACGTTTTTTGTTATAAATGTAATACTGTTTACTAATCCCATTATAAATATATTAAAATATTACAACAATGAAGTCTGATCCAATTATATCTATAATAAATATTGCAATAATGAAGCAATCTATAGAAATACAACATAAAGGAAATACTATAAAATATTTTTAAATGATTGAAATGCTATCCTAAAGAATTCATACTTGGGATACCAGTTGAAGATGCTGAATAATTTTGGGCTTAAACAGACAAATATTGCTATCAAATTTCCACAACATTCAACCTTCATCAATCATACTAGTTTCTTTTCTTCTGCATTCTTTTATAATACCACTTGGGAGGATCTTCTTATATTCACGTGCATCAAATATTGTTTCTACATTAACTGCTACATTTTTACAGAAATCATAACCTCTATGCAAAGCTATCATTATCCGTAAATAGTAGCCTTTTCGCGTTCCTATATTTTTTTATCAGGTTATTATAATAAAAGTTATGCATTATTGTTTTACATTAGATCAAGAATACATAAGCCTGTGTGTATTGATTTGCTGGCATTCATCCCACCTCTTTTCATTTCTATACCTACCAAATCTGCATAAAAAATTGTTCGTTTTTCATTATTTGTTATCACTGTCAGTTTTGAGCTTTTTTGACTAAATTAATAACCCTCACCACAACTCTATTGTTTAACATTATTCATCGACTTGCCAAAAAACGAATTATTGTCGTGCCTGAAAAACAGTTTTCAAAATTATTACACTTCAATCTATTCTTGTTGTTTAAATATAATATCTCTATGCACATTTGTTAGTTCTTGCCCTAGATCTAGATATACAACTACAAGTTTTGAGGCAAAAATAAAAATTTTTAATATTTAGGTTTGGTACTTAGTTTCGCGCAGATCTTATTTTCCTTATTTCAGGTGCAGGTGGATGATCATTGTATGTATTGTGAAATCCTTAAGGGTATTCTTTATCGACTTCTAAGATCTACCCGTCCTCGCCATTTGGGTATCTGATAAGATACATCCCAGCATTTCCTCAGATATATCCCAGCACTTATGTATTTAGTGATTACTTTTTGCTTTGGCATTCAAAAATATTTTTAAAATTCCCTCTTTGACTTTCTCAGCATATTTGAAAAAATCATTTCCAGGACTATCTTATACACATAACACATTCCGTTCCATAAAGAACTACTGCAAGAATATATGTATTGAAATTTTTTGTTTTTATGTGATAAGGGACTCTGGTAGATGTTAGAAGCAGTTTGTTCTTCTCAGAAGCGACCCATCCGAGACCGATTCTATGTTCAACGGCTACAGGGTTCTAGCTATTTCTCTCTTATCTTGGGTACCAGAGCCTAAGAAACTGGGAGGGGGGGGTTGTTGGGGTAAGGGGTGGTGGTTCCAAGAAGAAAGGTAAGAGCCCTCCTTTCTCCCTGTTTCTCTCTGACTTCTTCGCTTTCTCTTCAAAATTCTCCTGCCCTCTATCATCCCCTCTAGGGTATCTCTCTCCCAATGTGCAATATGACGTTTATTCGATGTAAATATTTGCTTAAATTTGGTTTGTATGTTGAAATACATCTTCATTCTGAGTTTACTTTGTTTAAATGCTCTACCTACCAGAAAACCAATAATAAACACATGGGGGGGGGGTGGGGTAACAGGTATCTGGGCTGAATTACGCAATCACGTGTAAAATAATTGCAAATCACGTTTTCACGGTACTGGAAATTTAATTTCACGATCACGCCCCCTAGAAGCTCTCTGAATTTTTTAATAACTATCTAATAGTAGTAATTTCTTGTTCGTAGAACCATGGGCATTGGAATCTCTGAAAAATAGAGACATTTATCTGGTCTGGTATCGGAAACCAAGACTTTCTGCTTCTAAAAATGAAAGCACTCCATTTCGAAATTCGCTTGCAGCACTCATTTTCACGCAATCACGCGTGTGTAATGCTGATTCGCAGGTCACATCACGCGCCAATGTCTATTCACGCATTCGCGTATAATAAAAATTTGTTTCACGATTTCACGCATAGAAAATGCACCGATCACACAATCACGCAAAAATACCTGGAACCCCCACATGGAGCTCGAATTAAACCCCAATGGTCTTGTGCATCTCTCTAAAATTCAATATGCGAATGATTATACTGTCAACTTCAAGACCACGGGAGCCAGTTCTCTCAAAAGATTTCTAAGATGCGATCTTACCAGTCGCTTTTCAGTGTGGGATTTTGATATTCTTTGCACCGGATATGAAGAAATTCTACCTTGCCTGTGCACCAGGAAGTTCTTTTAAGTGTGCATAAAACCACAGCACAGGGCTCACCCTAGGGTTCATGAGGTTGCTGAAGGGGAAAAGGAATGGACCAAAAAAGCGCCCTGTGGTACTCCATTGACTCGACAATACCTTCTTCTGTTTTTCTAAGGTAAGACCAAACCAAGTAAGGGATCTACCGATTACACCATTGGATCAGGGCCGTATTAAGGCTTTGAAGAGCCCAAGCCAAAAATTTACTGTGGGCTCTATTACGCATACACCATACTGTACAAAAACGTGTTTCTTAAACAAAATTGAATGATATATTCTACCGACTTTTGGTTCATAGGGCCAGGGCTTTGTAGATAAAAAGAGTCGAAAATTGAGTTTGCATCACATTCTGACCCACCACGATCTTCAACTGTTTCTTGCCTAAGCCCCATCTATAGCATACTCTTTTTTATGAGAACAATTTTATAAGAATACGAGCCTGAAACTGGTCAGAAGTTAAGAACAAATTAAGAGCAATTTTTCGTCTGAAAAACGAAAAGTTTGTTGCCATCTAGAAGTGCTTTTTCGGTGAATTTCAAACTTTTCGGCTAAAAGAATGTTTCACTCAGTTACTAGCCATTGCCTTGCTCAAATCCTCATAATTAAAAAACAGGTAAGAACAACCCAACATCAGATGTTCAAAAATTTAGAACAGCCAGCATGAGCGTCAATTCACTGGGTCGTTTTTCAGACGAAAAATTGCTTAAAATTTTATGGTAGCTCAGCCCCAGCTTGTTCTTAATTTGTTCTTAGCTTCTGACCAGTTTCAGGCTCGTATTCTTATAAAATTGTTCTCATAAAAAAAGAGTGTAGTTTTTGTCCAGGTTGAGATTCCCTTGACATTTTCTAAGCATAGGTTCCAAATCTTTGATTGGCTGAGCGACCAAAATTATCCATACCCAATTAGCAAATCAGTATTCAAAAATATGAAACATGCCTCGCAGCTAGATTTAGGCCAATTTTGGTTCACCGGATCACAGTTACCTTTAACATAAGTACAATCACTGCCAAAAGTCTTGGAACACTAACGTCAATTTTCAAAGGCAAATTTAGCCACCCCCTCTCCCCCAAAGAACAATGTTGATTTACTATCGAATAAAGGAAAGGATTATGGAGTACGCTTTTTCGTGTGCCTTGTATGATATCTTTCTATACTTTCAACATTGTTTTAGGGGGAAAGGGGGACGGAAGTAGTTGTATTCGGGAAAACAAATGAAAAATAGAAAAGCACAGCGGTAAGTGTTGGGTGTTCCAAGTAATTTTGGCAGTGATTGTAGAAGATAACGAAGAACAACCAATTTTGTAAATGACAGTTAAGATGGCGACATGAGTGACCTTGACTAGGTGCAAGGAAAGAGTTTCGTACTAAAGGAATCTGCTAGAACTCGAGGAATGGAAAGACTTGAATGAAACTGGGTACAATGCCGACAATGAGAATGGTCTGAACGAAAACGATGATGTCTTGAATAATGATCTTTTACCTGATGACTCCGACGCTAACGACAATAAGAGTGGTTGGGAGGTTTCTGATTTTACGTCGTCGGATGGCTCGTGTGGCGAATGGCTACCGTTGAAAGGTAAGGCATTTGAACAAGTTTTATCTTCTTAACTTGGTCCTTTTAATCTTCAAAACATGCTCATTACGCGAGAACTTCACAGTTCGATGCAAAATATATAAGTAGATTGAGACGATTCGATAGTTGCAGTATTACCCCCTGGAAATGACGTCATCAATCATCAAAACCTCGATTTTCTACCAAAAATACACATTATTAATAAAATTAATGAAAATTCAGTCAATATATGTGACGAAAGTAAGCCCCTTAATAGATACACTTTTTTGTGATGAGTGTTTGCCTGAAAATATCTCCAGACTAAAATACTGATGACGTCATCATTTACGACCCCCTACACAAGTAAAAAAAATTACAAAATTTAATCTTCTTCGAATGTTCTAAATAGCTAAAATTCCATGAGGAATTTAAGGCTTTTTGGTTTTATATGCTAAATAATCATAATTACTTGAGAGATTTAAGGTTAGGCACTTGGTTAGTTTGTTGTAATAATTTTCCTGTCTAACGCAGTTAGCAAAATTTCGACTATTGACTTTTTCAAATCTGATGATATCATCAGAAAGAGCTTTTAACGTGTACGTGACTTCCGGTCTGCCAGAATCACAGAATAAGAATTCTTATTCTGTGCCAGAATGTTCCCCAGGCTTAAAAGTGCAGCTGCTTAACCTATAAATTGGACAAATGGTGCATTTTATGATACAAGCATGAAAGTTGGTACAAAGTACGCAATTTGACATGCTGAATAAGATGTGATGCAGACCCCACTTCAAAACGCCCCCAAAGCTCTTTTTAGACTAGGGTGCTTGTACCCAGTCCTCCTTTGGGTATTCCTCCATATCTTTTATACTATGCAAGTTATAAACAAGAAATTCAGTTTTCTGGCGTAACTTGACATGCTGAATAAGAGGAGATGCAGACCCTATTTAAAAAATGCCCCAAAGCTACTTTTAGAATGGGATACTTGTACCCAGTTCTCACTCGGGTCTTCCTCCATATCTTTTAAACTACAGTTGACATCCGCTATCTCGACTGCCCGCTATCTCGAACATTCGCTATTTCGAACCAATTTCTGTTTCTCTTGGTTTTACGATAGGGCTACGTATAGAAAAACCGTTCGCTCGACTGCTCGCTATTTCGCTATTTTGGAAATGGTCTTATATAATAAAGTCGGCGTTCGAACAATCGGGGGGTGGGGAGGCTGGACAAACTGAAAATAACACATTTTCGTTTTCTTTGTTGAACATGTTATATATATAATATAAGTGATGTTACTACTGAGCAGTACTCATGAATTTGCATGTACAGTATTCATGAATATTGAATGCGTTTCTTGAGACTTCTCCTTGCGTTTTGGTACGAATTCTCTAACATATTTCTCGATGAAGAAAACTTGACAGACGTTTTGTACTTTGTACAAAATTTATACATTTCATTGATTGATATGTAGTCGTCAGAACCGTCATCAAAGCTCAACCTTAGCTTCCTTAGCAGTCTCCAATACAGTACTAGGAATTCGTTAAGTTTTTGCGTATACGAGTGCCGACTTGCTTAAGCCTGGTTTTCACTAGAGTCAGAAGGATCGTATCGAACATAAGTAACATATAGCACTTGCTTATAAAATAAAATACGTGTATTATACTTGGCTATTATTTGAAAATGAAAGTCTTGAAAAATCTTGAAAAACAGTCAAAACATGTGATTCGATTTGAGAAACCGAAGCCAATGCAGTGCTCATTTCCTTTCTCGTGTACGGGTCAAGCAAACAAGTTGAGAAACAGTCAGGAAGTTCAAAGAAGCAATGGCAACTGCTACAAAACGTTCTGTTACAAACAAGACTTTGAAAGAAAAGTATGAAGCACTAAAAGAGTTAGAGAAAGGGGCATCTAACAAAAGTGTTGCGAAAAAGTACATGGTTCCAAAGAATATACTTTCAACATGGGTGAGAAACAAAAAAAAAATATTTGACGACTTCCAAGCAAGAAATCTGAAGCGCAGAAAAGCAAAAAGTGGAAATCATGAAAACTTAAGCCCTGTTTATACTACACAAACTAACCTGGGTTCGCCCCAGGTTAAAACTAACCCAGGTTAGATTGTTGTAGTGTAAACGCAAACTAACCCAGGTTCGCCCCAGGTTAGTCAACCCATCTCAAAAGGTGGGTTCGCCCTAGATCGAACCTGGGTTAGTTTAGGAAAAGTGTAGTGTAAACGCAAACCTGGGGTGAACCTGGGTTAGTTTCTTCAGGACGCATGCGTAGCGACAGAAATGTAGCCTAATGCAAAACAAAGCAAAGCGTGAATGTAAAATTTTCTCATTGTACGAAGCCCGCACTGGGAATAATTGTTTTTAAAGTCGATTTATTGTATTTTGTAAAGTTCACAAACATTATACATGTTGACTGCCGCCATTTTGTTTATCCTCACCTTAAATTTGTGTGTGTTACGCATGCGTCGATATCAAACTAACCCAGGTTCGCCCTTGATTCCGTTTACACTACAAAGTTGACAGTTTCCAGTGTAAACGCATCAGGGTTCGACCCGGGTTACTTTAGACAAGGCAATGTTCCAGTGATTTCTTTCTGTTAGAAGTCAAGACCTACCTATCGGAGGCGCTGTTTTTAAAGAAAAGGCAAAGTTCTCCGCAAAGGAAGCGGGGTTATACTGTACGACTTTCAAGCGTCAGATGGTTGGATTCGTCGTTGGAAAGAGCGATACAGTGTCACATTCAAGAAGATTTCTGGTGAAGCAAGTTCAGTCACTCTGAAATGGTAGCACCATGGAATGAGACATCATTGCCCACCCTGCTGTCACAGTACAAACTTGAAGATATTTATAATGCAGATGAGTTTGGACAGTTCTATCAGTGAATGCCTGACAAGTCAATGCAATTGAAGTCTGAAAGTTGAATTGGAGATAAGAACAGCAAAGCCTGCCTGACTGGAATGGTAGCTGCCAGTGCTGTTGGAGAAAAGCTTCCCATGTTTGTAATTGGAAAATCAAAAAAGCCAAGATGCTTTAATGGGATTAAGCTTTGCCATGCCGTTATAGACATCAGAAAAAAAGCTGGATGAATGGTGAGTTGTTTCAAGAATGGGTAGAAGAACTGGACAACAAATTTTTGGCACAGAAACGAAAGGTTGCTCTTGTTGTCGACAACTGTCCAGCACATCCAGAAATAGAAAACCTGAAAGCAATCAAGCTTGTGTTCCTGCCGCCAAACACAACATCTAAGACACAGCCAATGGATCAAGGGGTAATCCGAAGTTTGAAAGAAAAGTACCGAACAGTTTTGGTGCAGAAATACATCAGAGCAATTGATCAACAAAAGTACCCAAAATTAGCATTTTGGATATAATGGACATATTAGCCGCATCGTGGTCTATGGTATCTGAAACGACAATCGTTAACTGCTTTGCCAAAGCTGGCCTTTTCTTCGAAAATCAACATCAGGCAGCATCAGAGGAAGATGGCCCTTTTAAAGACTTGGTGAAAGAATTGACGAAACTGCGAAATAGAGATAAAAAAAATTGCTCCAACCAACACAAGTGCAGAGGATTTTATTGACTGCGACGACCAAGTCTTAACAAGAGCAGCATTGCCAACTGAAGATGAAATCATAGCTGAGTTAATTGGTGAAGAAGTTGTTGAAGTTGAGGACAGCCAAGAAGACAGCCAAGAGAACAGCCAAGAAAGCAACGACAACTCTTTGACAAAGCCAACAACGGACGAGATAAGAGATGCGATGGAGGTAATATCAAGATATTGCCTATTCTCAGAGAACGGAGAAGTGCTCCGTAAGCATTTCGTTAAAATGAATGGTGTTATTGAGAAGGAACTGGCTAGAAAGAGAAAACAAATGACATTAGATGCTTATTTTTCTTAATGATTTAGTTTGACTTGCAATTTTGTATTAGTGACTACATATCCTTTATTGCTGCCTGTTAAACCCTCCAAATTTGAAAAAGTGGATTTTTTGGGGTCATCCGATAACCCGAACATTCACTATCTCGAACAATTTTTCGTTTTTCTTCAGAGTTCGAGATAGCGGATGTCAACTATACGCAAGTTCTAAACCCGAAACTTACAAATGGGATCATGATTCAACTTGGTGGCCAAGAAAGTCCAACTCATGAAAGTGTCACTGAATTACCTGCGAGACCGCAAACAAACGCCTAATCGTTCAAAGCTGCTGCTAACGATCTAGATCCGTATATTTCCAAGAAAAGAGGGCAGCCTTTGACTATCCTCTTTTGGCTTTGGGAGGATGTTGCCTTGGTTAAGGAAACTGCTGAAGAGATCTCTTCAAATCAGGTTGATTGGTGGTGGAGTGTTCTTCGATCCTATGCTTATTTCCGTGTTCATACTCAAACAATTCAAAATTGGACTGGATTCAATTACTTGATATCTGAAACAAGCACATACTTTCACCAGGTAAGAGAAATGATGGTAATATATGCCATCAAATCTAGATATTTGTAAAACTAACAATTTGAAACAGTGACGTTGAAAAATTTGGTTTTTCCTAGACTTGTACACAATACATGCATTCACTGAATATCTTTTCTTACTTTAGGTACCATACCTCCCAGCGATAAACCAGTCCCCTACGAAGCTGGAAACCGTGCTGGAGCTTCGGTAGCTGTCAAAAGCCAAAGCCCTGAAGCTTGGGTTGTCAGAGACAGACGTTGTTCTTGATTTGGCCAACTGCTCAAAAGCGGTCGAAATTTTGTCAAATCTCCTGTATACGGAGTTGAAAGGGAGCATTCCACACATCGATGATCTTCCTGGCCATCATTGGGAAAAGATTTGCTAACGCTGGCCTCCGGGACATATTGAATTTGATAGCAAATTTGATAGGTATGTTAAGTAGTATAATACCTTATTTAAAACCCACAATCATGGAAATTTGCTTTAAAATGCTTACTCTAGATTTAAAGGAGAATTACTTCTGGGTTTTCCAGGAAATGCTGCCCGATAGCGGAATCGCGAGATTTACTAGTTTGTTTTTGATCTGCAAGATCGAGGAGGCTGTTCTCTTTGGGGAAGAGTTTTATTCTGATACTAGACGGAACATGTTGTTTTATTCTACCCTCAAATCTTTGAGTAGTGCGTCCTACGTAGCCAGAATCACACTGGCACGTAAACTCATAGCTAACGGAACTCTTTTTAGTGTTAGGAACGCAATCTTTTTGGATGGATGGAAGGGCCTTTTTTGTACTGTAAACAATACGCGGATTGACAGCAAAGAAACAATTTGTAACGGCCTGTTTAATCTGACTTTCAAATCGCCAGGAACTGTTACCGAGCCAGGGTAACGAACCAAACCAAATGTTACTTCGGCCGAGAAACTTGCGATTTTCTCCTTCATATACGCCGAAATGACATCCTCTGGAAATGACACCTTTGCTTTCAATCAAATGCATTTTTTAGACAAAAAGATGGTTTGATCCTAAAATTTTTGGACGTGCACAGAGGGGCAAGAAACACCTTGTTGGGCTGGCAATGTCCCCTTGGCTTCGTGCCTGCATAGCAACGACATAACAAACAGTAAATGCGGACATGTCAAACTGATTTTCAAAACAATTTTCATCAAAGAGGAATCATAGGCCAACTATTGGGAAAATTTCAGGGCCTGGTGGGGAAATTCCTCACTATTTTGTATGTTAATTACTTAATCTAAGCCCAGTCGGAATAAGTGTAGATAAGAGAACACTGTAGCCCCTGGACGTGGTGTGTTTCAGTAGAATAACAAGATCCTGCCCCCACATAGTTGTTAGGCCATGTCACAAATACATTTAGCAAGCTTATAACATTAAGGTTTCTTCGAAATAACTATGCAATTTTGCACCCAAAAAAGTTCAATAATGAACCATGCTTATGAAACTTTTATCATAATCAGGTATGACACTAACATGGACTTGCAGTTTTATTGCTATAGTCCGCCCTCTGATGTCCAAGATTTCAACAGTCGGAGGTCAAAAGATCTGAATGGTAATTTTGATGCAACTCGACATGCTGACAACAAAAACCAGATTCTAAATGGTCGGAAATGGTGCGCAAAGCTAGGGCGTGGCCCTAACGTTTCCAAAATTGTTGAATTTTGTCTTTCAAATTTTTCAAATCTGATGATACCATCAGAACGAGATTGCAAAACTGAGTAAAAAGTTTTGGCTGTCGAGCCTTTTCGTTTTGTCAAACAACTTGCTTTCGCAAGTTTCATGACAGCACAGACGCATAGCAGTGGAAGTGTGCATGTTATGATAATAGCATAAGGTTTGGTACAAGTACACAATCCGATATTCTGAATAAAATGAAATCCATACCAAGCTTAAAAAATTGACCAAATAGCCTTTTTTGAACTGGGGTACTGGTACCCAATCCTCTTTTAGGTATACCACAAAATCGTTTTAACTTAACAAGTTATAAAATTGAAACTTTTTTCTGGCGTTAATTGACGTGCTGAATAGCAAGGCCGCAATGAGACGCAAAAACAACAAGGCCAGGTGGGGAGCGTGATGAACCCCCTTTTGTGCTGTTGAAATTCGAGACACCAGAAAAGACGACTTTGTGGAAATACGAAACCTTGTTGTAAGAACACAGCCTAGACATTCGTAGACAGTCTTTCGTAACTATTTACTTCCTTTTGTTTTTCGACAATTGCAGTTATTGGATGCACGGATTTTGTAAGTAATCAATGGATTATATTAAGCTATCGAACATAATTTAAACTATATTACTTTACTATAGCTTTACTCTTTTTCGAACACCGTTTTGTTATTCATACGTATGATAGCATTATCCTTAGGTCGCTGTTTCGTTTTGTTTACGAAACCTGTATCCTAAGAAGTATGTATTCTTTGATTTGATTTGATTTTTAATTTGATTTTGATTTAATTCAAATTTTACTACATTTCTAAACATGCTAGTTAGTTATATAAATTATAAACAAGTTCACTGAAGAACGCAACAACAACGATAATATTATTCAAAAGACAAAACGAAGCAGAATTCTTAAGGAGGAGCCTTCAAAGTAGGTTGGCTAACGAGATGAGGCCCCCCTTTGTTTCAGTGATCTATATGTTCATCTATAAGTGTTTAGTTGAATTAAATTAAATTACTTTTCGGACTAAACACGAAATTTTGCAAAGCTCACTGATTTTAAAATAGTTTCTAGAAGATGATTTTCAAATATATTTTGAATAAGATTTTAGAAGAGTTAGTTCTTATTTTTACAGGTAGATTGTTCCATAATTTTGCCCCCATATATCGAGTTGATTTCTAGCCGTACTGTGAAGTATTTGTCATAGTCAGAGAGAGGTCACCACGTGTTGATTGCCTTGTGCCCTGACAATGAATAGATGTATTAAGAAAAAAGAAGTTATTGAAATACACTGGAGTTAGCTTGTTGATTGATTCATAAACAAAAGATAATAGTTTCAGTTTAGAGACATCTGAGATTCTAAGTAATTTTAAGTTTTTTAAAATAGGAAGAGAATGAGCAAAGAATTCTTGATGTGATATAGCTCTAACAGCTCTTTTTGTCATTTGAATAATGGCTCAATATGTGAATCAAACGTTTGTCCCCAAACAATAATGCCATATTGCAAGGAGGACATTAACAAAGCATTATTAACTGATATTAATGTAACTGTTGGAAGGAGGTTCCTAATCCTGAAAAGAATGCCACAAGTTCTTGCCAGCTTTTTTGAGTGTTCAGCAAGATGATATTTCCTATGAAGGTGTTCATCCAAGAAGTCCTAAGAATTTGATGTATTTTACCTTGGAAATGTAGTTTTTGTTTTAGTTACCGCACTTATCAGTAAGGCATAAGAGTCGAATCACGACGCTCAGTCTATAGTGCATACTGTGGCATCTGCTCGCCAATAGCGTAACGACTACCCTTGAGGGCGTGACAGCAAAAAACCCATTCCCGAGCGAACTGCAAGATGTCAACAAGACAGGGTACAGTGTACGACCCTGAACAAGAAAAAACCGCCATTAATCTGAACGTTGCAGCAGTATCATTCGTCAACTGCTAACAGCTTCGTCGAAGATGATCAAATTAGCTGTGTTTCAAGAAGCTCGCAGCGAACCTCCTCCTCAGAGGTATTTATAAGAGCAAAAGCAAGAGCCGAGGCGGCAAAGCTACTTTTTGCAAAGAAACAAGCCGAGCTAATGAAAGCGGATGCAGAAAAAGCTGCACTGCTGGAGACTCAAAAACTTCAATGAATTGTCAACGAAAACACACGAAAAGCATACTTTGAGGCAGAAATGGCAGCCCGTCAAGGAGAGCAAGAAGCAGCAATCGCTAATGCCGAGGAAATGGTATACGAAACTGCAGATCTGGAAGGTGAAAACTAACTTCAACAAGACCCAGTGCCAAATGATTCTATTCAAAGAACAGAGGACTTCGTGAGAGTCCATGCTCAAGTGAAGCAATTTGCAGTTGATGAAGAGCAGCCAGCCATAATAAAACTTAATCGAGCAAGACCACCATGCTCTACAACACCAAGGTTTGCTCAGCAGCCCATGATGAAGGCAGAGTCCACTCCAAGGCAACAATTTTCGCAGCCTCAGTCAGCAATTCAGCAGGGTTTCCGCCACTAAACGTCCCTGCCAGCACCACCAGGTCTGACTCAGCACTCTGGTTTTGCCCTGGAATTCAGCATACATGTACCAAGTACCACACGATGACAGCCTTTGCCAGCAACCCTTGAAGCTCCACAGCAGGAACAGCCTGATGCCTTCTCAACCCTGACAAAACACCTCATGAAAAGAGAGCTGATCTCAACTCCCCTCCTCAAATTTGATGAAAACCTAGCAAATTTTAGAGCATGGAAAACATTCTTCAAGTCAACAACTGAAGACCTTGAACTTACTGTAGCAGAGGAGCTGAACCTTGTGATAAAATGGCTAGCGGAGAAGTCCTCCAGAACGGTAGCCCCGCTGCGGACGATCAACATCGAGAGCCCACAGGTTGGCCTGCAAATGGTATGGGATGCCTTGGAGAAGAGATATGGGAGTGCTGAAGTGATAGAAGATAATTTGCTGTCTAAATTGGAAAAATTTCTAAAATTCAACATCAAAGGCCGTGAGAAGCTGCAGCAATTGTCATAGCTATCTACTGCTAGAAGTTCGAGCTGCAAAGGACACTGGCATGTACAAAGGCCTAGCCGTTCTTGACACAGCCAAAGGTTTTAGAAAGATGCTGGAAAAGCTACCTTACCCCTTGCAAGAAAGATAAATGAGAGTGGGATCGTCGTATAAGAGGGAAAAATATGCTGTGTCCCCGCCCTTTGAAGTCTTTGTCAACTTCATTGGCATGGAAGCAGATATGAGAAACGATGTCAGTTTCATTACATCAACCTCAAACTCAAGACCTTTTTACAACACCGTGGCCAGAGAAACTGGACTGGGTACCAGTACCCCAGAGGACTGGGTACCAGTACCCTAGTTCAGAAATAGCTATTTGGGCCATTTTTGAAGCTTGATATGGGTTTCATCTTATTCAGTATATCGGATTGTGTACTTGTACCAAACTTCATGCTATTATCATAACATGCGCAATTCCACTGCTATGCGTCTGTGCTGTCATGAAACTTGAGAAAGCAAGTTGTTTGCCAGAACGAAAAGTTTCAACAGCCATAACTTTCGCTTATAGATCAGATCACATTGCTCTTTTTATATTATTTGCTCAGTTTTGCAATCTCTTTCTGATGGTATCATCAGATTTGAAAAATTTGAAAGACAAACTTCAACAATTTTGGAAACGTTAGGGCCACGCCCTAGCTTCGTGCACCATTTCCGGCCATTAAGGCTCTGGTTTTTGCTGTCAGCATGTCGAGTTGTATCAAAATTACCATTCAGATCTTTTTGCCTCACATTGTTGAAATCCTGCCCCCATATTGTTGTTAGGCCGTGTCACAAATACATTTAGCTATTGAAGCAGTTGAGAAGCTTATAAGATTAAGGTTTCTTGGAAAAAACTATGCGATTTTGCACCCAAAAAGTTTAATAATGAACCATGCTCTGTTTATATAACTTTTATCGCAATCAGGTATGACACTAACATGGACTTACAGTTTAAAATGATCCCCTGATTGGCTGTAGATTTAGCAAAATGTTATTTTTCTTTTAGGTGTAGAGTTAGTGAATAGTTGCCATATCCTGCATCTGATTTCTAAAAAAAGAAAATGAGCAATTTTGAGAAGTATGACTCAACATCAGCCCATTATGATGATGGTAGGGTCCCAGCTGGTGCTTCTGTTTATGCAGTAGTAATACAGGACTATCTCAATAAGCCTTTAAATGAGGTATGTTAATCAACATAGAATATAAATATTCCTTTGTTTTATCAATAATTACAGAAACATGTCTGCTGTCTCCTATTCTTGCCCTGCTCTGGCTACATCTCTGCTTCAATCATTTTTTGCATCTTTTTCTTAAAATTATATGTTTGATGTGGTTTCAAACCCTTGTTTATTGTTGTTTTTCATCTAACATCTTAGTTGCAAAACTTTTTTCAATGTAGATACACCTACTCGATGCGGGATGTGGCACTGGAAACTACTCCAAAGCTTTTCTTGACAATGGAATCGGCAAAGTTTCATGCTTTGATGCCAGCGAAGGAATGCTGTCAAAAGCGAAAAACAAATTGTCAGACTACATTGCCAACAAGAAAGTTGTTGAAATCAAGCAAGGGTTTCTGCCTAAGATACCCTATGAAGATTGCGGTTTTGATGCAGTTATATTTGTTCAAGTGTTACACCATATTGACACCCCGGAAAGCAACTTTGCCAATCTGAAGGCGAGCATGAAAGATGCATATCGTGTTTTGAAACCAGGAGGAGTCCTGATGATAAATTTCTGCACAGGCAACCAGGTAAAGTCTTATGTTTCCCTGCCCTATTCAGTGATATATTCCCAAAGATTCTTTCTGTTATGTACATAACTCACAGGCACCGCGGAGCGTTGAGAAAAGTGGGGGGTCTAAAAAAAGTGGGGGGCCAAAACCGTATAAAAAGAGGCTTTTCTGGTAGTTTAACACTGAATATATGGCATTTTTCGCAAAAAGTGGGGGGGGCTAAAGCCCCCAGCCCCCTTGCTCCACGGTGCCTTATTCAAGGGTTGTAATTTTCTCTGGCATGATCTTCAAAACTGCATTGCATGCAAGTCAGTGACCAAAAGTTTTGTATACTTTTTTAAATATATAGCAAATCGAAACTGCAACATGGTAATTATCGACCTATTTCGATTCAATTTTTAGCAAAATTCTCAAAATATGATGAATTCTCGTTTGGTTAGATTTTTAGGAATAAATGATGTTATATACAAGCATCAATATGGTTTTCAAGAAAATAAGTCAACTTCCTCAGCAGTCTTAGAGTTTCAATCTCAGTTAAGTAACAATATAGAAAATGGCCTTTCCTCTTGCTGTATATTTCTTGATTGCAGTAAGGCATTTGATACTTCCAATCACAAATCTTATTAAAAAAACTAGAACACTACGGTATTAGAGGAGTTGCTCTCTCATGGTTTAAACCATACCTAAATAAACGAGCTTAAGTAGTAACTGCAAATGGTGAAACTTCAACTGAACAAGAAATAAAATGTGGGGTTCTACAAGGAAGTGTGCTTGGACCTTTGTTGTTCCTGCTTTACATCAACGACATACATAGCTTTGCTAAGCTCTACTTGATTTCCGCCTCTTTGCTGATGACACCAGTATCTAATTTGCTGATAAAAACCTTGATCTCATCGAGAAAACCATCAATTCATAACTAGAAAAAGGACCTGAGTGGTTACTAGCTAACAAGCTATCATTAATGTTTCGAAACCTAACTCACTTCTGATCTGTCCAAGAAAAGTAACTAAAACTATAAATCTAAGCATAAATAATGAACCACTTAAACAAGAAAGTTATACAAATATCTTGGAATAATGATAGATGAGAAGCTATATTGGAAGCACCATGTAAAACAAGTAAACATTAAAATATCTAAAGCTATTGGAATTCTTGACAGATTAAGAAACTTTGTCCCAAAAAGTACATTAAGAACACTCTATAACTCATTTCAAAAATGAAAAATTACATTTTAGAGTCAATTTCTTAGAGACATAACCTTACTGTTATTATTCGACCTAAAAAAATTGTAATATGTATATATCGTCCAATCACGTCATCTGGGCACATGGCTTTCATAGCTCTGTCTTCAGTTCTATCCATGTGTCCATCAGCTAGTTAAGAAAATACTAATGTTGTTTATCTTAACCTTTTTGTATTGCTTTATCTTCAAATTTACATTACTGATTGTACTTAAACAACTTTAGAACGACGTAACTTGTAATAAGCTTGATATGCTGAAAAAATTTTTAAAATGTGACATGCACAAAATTTTCGTATAGCCTTTACTGCTACTGTATTGTTATTTGTTTGGGTCAATGCGTAGACATGTCAAATGTAGTTTTATTTAGGCTGTACATGAAAATATAAAATGATTTTTTGTGTATAGAATTCAACACTGAATTGAAACATTGAAAAACAATGCCACATCAATCACGATGTTTGATTTTTCTACCAGCAATATACAAAAATATAAATTCTCATTAGGAAAGGACAAGCATTCCTAATCAAACGTTGAAATTTGTGTGATTTAGCAAGCACAGTAAGAACATGTTGCATTGCCTGAAATATTTTTAGTTAACTAACCAGACATGGAAAAGCTACGGTAAGTTATATAAGAGTTTGAAAATGACATTTTTTGGAAAACATTTGACAATAACTTTTAGAGCAAAAGATAACAAATACATGAAATTTCCAGATTTTTGCCGATGTCTAAACAATATCGACACATTCAAAAGCATAACAATTTATTTATCTATAATGAAATTGCTATGTTTGCAAAAAGCCACTTTTGTTTTCTTTTGAGGTGCTGTATGGGGCCTGGTATAACAATTTGATCCCAAGAAGTACAGCTATTTATAGAAAGAAGTACATGCCACAGGAAGATTTGCTTGATTACTTAGAAAGTATTGGTTTTGAGAGTCCAACAACAGTCACCCGCCCAGGTGACATCGTCTTAACGAAGGAGAAATACTTTCGCAAAGATGGTCCTATGGATCCCAAATGGAGACAGATGGATTCCATTTGGAGAAATGCTGAAATCGAGAATGAAGTCGAAGAAGCAACGAAGGCGTTGCAAGAAAAATTTGACAACAACACCTTTGATGCTTGGTTTGCTGAAGTAGAGAAAAAGAGAAAGTCGATTGGAATCACCACTAGCATTTTTGTCCAAAAGCCCAGTGCATAGGCCTAAAGAAACAATTTTTTTTAAGAAATTATAATGAAAGGAATATTTTTAATATATATTAACAATTTTGAATTGATGAATTCGGGCTGTAATTAAATTGTTTTTACACACTGTCATTCTTTGTTTACAACCACGTTTGTTCTTTATTTGTTTAACACTGCTTTTCCTCCGACCTCCTGCCTGTTGTGTGGTTCGAAAGTCTTGTCTCATACATGCCATTTCCTTAATAGAATGAAAAAAGGGAGGGGCTATATTTGGAAATAGGGGGCAGAGTCATAACTGACTATTAGACTTCGGTTATAGAAAAACATTTACGGTACGAATTCATTTTCATTTCGGGGCTTATGTGAATGGTCAGAAGCCACGAAATGCTCTTTCTGGTGGATTAGCTGAGAAGCTAGCAAGGACTCGTAATCGCATAACACAACATGTATACCTGAGTGCGTGTATGTATATATGTATGTGTATTGGTGTGTAATTGTATGCATGTATATATCTATAATTGTATGCATGTATATATGAAACACTCTATATGAAACTAAATAAATATTATAGAATGCATATACTGATCTATTAATTACCATGAGCTATTAATTGCTATCAATTAATTACCATAGACCATGAGCTATTAATTGCGAAATTAAATGCCTATGGTTTTTGTAAAGATACTCAATTATTGATTTATAATTACCTGTCCGGTAGAAGACAAAGGGTAAAATTAAATGGTTCATTCAGCACTTGGCGAGAAACCTTTGCAGGTGTACCACAAGGATCAGTCCTTGGGCCTCTTCTATTTAATTTATATATTAATGATTTATTCTTAATGGTAACTGATACTGCAGTATGTAACTTTGCTGATGATTTCCCAATCCCAATCATTGGCAACATTTAAAAAAGAACTAAGAGCACACCCTATAGAATGCGACTGTAGATTGTGTAAAAAAATTATTGCTGGGTTAGGTTTTATTTAGAACATTATACCATAAACATTTTTATTATTGTAACGCTGCATAAACATTTTAGCCATATACCATATCAGTCGTTTCATAAACCTTTTTAATATTGTATCATATATTTTTATTTCATACTAACTCTTTATAGATAGTTGGCCTTAATTAGCTTCTTTATAGCTATCAGCCGTTCATTTAGTACGCCAACTTTAAACAAATTATTTATTATTATTATTATTATATATGATATGCTGATACAAGCCCCTCTAATGCGGGCACACTTCTTCAACAACAAACATGCTCCCAGACCTCGATCGGCACAAGGTTGTCCGCTGTGGGACAACGCCCAGCTCATTATAGCTGCAGTTGGTATTCACCATTATTTCTTAGTTTTTTGACAACCTTAGCTTGTCTTTTTGTATGGTTTTAAACAAACATATTTGTATATACAGGTATCGATGTATCGATGTCACAATTTCAATGTATATTCCTGCCTAAATGAACCGTAGGGAAAAAACCAGGGACACCGGAGAGGGGGGGAGGGGGTCAACTGCCCCTGTTGCCTTTCGATAGGATAGGCAGGGGGGCTAAATTGCATTTTTCATAGAAGTGCCCTTGATGCCGGCCTTTTGTAGAAAATCAAAGAGATTCATTTGAAATCCTGATTGTATTAATACAACTTAGGAAAAAACGTAATTTTGTCACAAATATTCAAATGTCTCAACATTTGTTCCCCCTCCAGGGGTGGCGCTAGAAACCAAACCATGATTTGCCGAGAATCTTAGAAAATTCAAGTGCTGACGACTATAAAAATGGTTTTCGACATATTTCATAAACTCCTCATTATAGTTTCTTTAAATCTTGAAATGTTTTGAAAATGAATAAAAAAGGTTTTTATCCGTCAATGAAATTGTGTATACATTTTTTAATCTAACAATTTCATTAAAGCGTTTCAAATTACCAAAATTTGATATGCACATTTTTGATGTGCCTACCTAATAGGCCCTTGTACAGTACATCTTTTACTAGCCTGTGCTCCAGACCTCTAACTTGAAAGTAGAGGGTCCGTGTTACATTTAAAATGGCTCCTAGAAATGTTCATGAATTTTTTTATGAATGATCAAACATCAAAATTTGGAGATTTGTGTTTAAATGGAAAAGAAATTACTAGCCTGTCCGGAAAGTACAATGCCTAGGCTTACTACCCTTCTTTGCGCCCAAAATTCAGCCCACTATGGTAGGTAACCTCATCTGAACATATGTTGAATTCTTCATAAATCTTTAGCGATTCTCACTGTCTGTAAACCAGTGCTTAAAAGTAGACGTCAAAGCGTCTGCTGCTTGAAGGCAAAGCGTCTTGTCTACATTTCTATTTCCGGCCATTTCTTATGTGGGCTCCGATAGACATATTTTTCGTCATCGCCGTATCCACCACCAGATCTTCAATAAAATAATCAACAACAATAGTATTTATTTTAGACGAGATACCTTTCAGCAAAAAAATACCTATTTACAATATTTATTTAACAATAATAAGAGTAAAAAACAAAATAGAAATAAATAAATAAAATAAAATAATGCGAATTGTTTATCTCATATAGACAAAAATCCACCTCCACATTATAGCTTGTAAATAAGTCTTCTACTATGCAAAAAATGAACGCTCTACTCGGTGCAAATCTACTCGACTGATTTCCAAGTAAATTCTACTTTTACTGCTTTAGGCTGCTTAAAGAAAAAGTGGCTGGAAACCGTACTAATACATCATAGAAATGTAAGAGCAACGGCTCATTCGCCTCGGCAAGGCTTGCTCTTATCAACGGTGGTCTCGTTTCGGACAACAGAGCCCGTTCACAGATTCTGTGGCCCGTTCTACCACAGACCGAGAATCAGGATGCGAAAAGGGTGGTCAATCGAGGGGTTTTAGTTAGACTATCTTGGTTGAACCATGGCTTAGTTAGGTGCCTATGATAGTTTATTAAACGAGCTTCACTTTGAAAAAGGAGGAACTTCTTCAAACTTCTGTTTTTTGCATCGCGATTTTTGTATGAGTTGGGTGTAACATCCCACAAACTTGGTTCTTCCTCCCAAAGGCTAAAAAAATTCTTGTTGCTCAATGCACTTCTTTTCGAAAGGCAAAAGGTAATAATTGATTTCTCCGCATGAAGTTGCACATGAAGCAATAATTGATAAGAGTATAAAGAAGAGATTAACGCCCGCATCATTTTCAAAGGATGATTGACATTCAGTTTTGAATATAAAGTTGAACATGTCCAACTTTAAAAAGCAGTGGCAGTTTAAACTGATTGCCGAAAAAAACATCAGTTTTTAGCCGTTTACACGATCAGTTTTTCTGCCATCAGTGAAAACTTACAGTTTAAACTGATCGTGTATTTCCGCTTTAAAGGACAAGTGACACGTATTTGTCGCCAAATCTTTTTCTTCTTTTAACTTAAAGTAAAATGCTGTATGAGAGTGTTGTTAATAACGGTCCGCGGCAAGGCTTTTCACTTTACATCAAAGGTTTTGAAAAGAGCTTCATGTCGAATAGGAGTAACGTAAGAATGGACAAGCTACTGTCAGTCATTGCTGTCAGTTAGAACAAGAGTGGGAGAGGGAATGTAAACAACAGTGCCCATACCAAAGAGGTAGGATGACACAGTGATATAGTGTAACTGGCACCTCTATGGCCGTGTAAGCAGGACCGGCCAACAAACAAATAGGATCCCCAAGAAATATTCGGGAGTTTTATATGGTGTCATAGGGTTCTTTTACACTTGTCAAATGTTTTCGAAGAACATTGTCTCCGCAAGTCGGACAAAATATCTACGTACAGTTTTCAGAATGATTCATGGGATGGTCAGTCCCAATTAATTCATAATAATAGGGGTTGACGTAATATTCATGGCTAGGGAATTTTCAGAAGATAATTTACAAAACTGTATAAAGATGTGGAACAATTTATATAGATAAAAACCTTTTTATGATGCTATCTGGTTTTTTCGTCTATTTTGTTGAGATAATATAAGCCAAAACAATTTGCGGTAGATTCTATGCTATTGGCTTTTTTACTAATCGTGAAGTATGAAAAGCCGCCTCTTCTTTTAAGCGCCTCCTGTGAGAAAATGCCCCAAAAGAGTTTGAAAAATTTAAAAAAGCAACCCAGCCCAATATGGTATCTTAACAGCTCTACATATCAAAAGTCACTTGAGTCAATGCTGTTATCAAATAGATAATTCTAACACAACATTGAAAGATTTATTCAGTTGTTTTGTTATTTTATATTGGGAACCAAAGGTATTTCATATTTCAAAACCAAAACATCTAAATAGTCATATTTTCTCCCCGAAAACTTTGATATCTTCATATTTCAATTACCCTTTATAGGGCCTCTTTTGCTATCGCGGCCGCGTTATCGCGTTTAATTTCATTGCAGATTGCGGTATTTGGTTGATTTTTGCACGGTTCTGCGGCTTTTGGTCCCCCTATAATAAGCCCCCTCTATTAATGACAGGAAAATTCCGAGTTATCACAATGTACGTCGTAGGGTCACGTGATAAAAAGCAAAATCGCGCCCCCTGCGCCCCCTGATTAGAATTTTTTGTTCTAAACCGGGAAAAACTTACTTCTAAATGATGGTCTATAAGTTAATGAAAAGAAAAGATAGGGTGAAAAGCATAAGCGTACGAGCCGGGGGGGCTGGGGGGCAGCCCCCCCAGTTTTCGAAAAACCATGTGAGTCGGGCAAAATTTCAAAAATTATCCGCAAATAGTCGGGCAGAAATGACTTCAAGTAACCCAAAGACTGAAAGCTACGAGTCAATATCGTTGCATTATCAAATCGACCAAAAGTGCCTTAAAAATGATAAGATGGATTTTGAAAATTACAAGAAGCAAAGCGCTTCTGAATCGTATGGTAAAAATGCAGCAATGCTTGTCCAGAAGATGTTTCAAGAAGATTTTGCATCAAGTACTGCCATTCCTGTATGAAACAACATTGCTAGCAACGATTCCAGCAACATCTTCCTCAGCTGAAAGATCATTCAGTGGCCTTCGACGGCTGAAAACACATCTCAGATCAAGCATGGGCCAAGAACGGCTGAGCAATTTGGCACTACATAGCATCGAGAGGAAATTTTCAATGTTTCCAACGTACGCTTATGGTGAAAAGTGTGTCACTT